TTTTCACATGTTAATGGCATAGTAGGATTAGGAGGAGAAGGTGGAGGTTGATCTGGTTGGGATGGGGTTGAGTTAGGTAGAGAAATATCCCAAAACTGATCTTCCGAAATATGCTACTCCCCCTGAAGATCAGTTTTTGAAAAAAATGACTGGTTCTCAAAAAGGTAACATCCATAGAGGTGAGAAATTTCCTTTTTCTCGAGAATAACATCGGTACCCCTTTTGAGTAGGAGAGTATCCCACAAACACACATTTTATGGCTCTTGGATTAAGCTTGCCACGGTTATGGCTATGTATATGGACGAAAGCAGTACAACCAAACACTTTGAGAGGTAATTTGCTAATGAAATGTATATGAGGATAGGCTTCAATCAAAGAGTTGAGGGGAGTTTGATAATTTAGGACTCTAGTGGGCATACGGTTTATGAGATAAGAGGCAGTGAGAATTGTTTCTCCCCAAAAAAAAATTTTCATATTTGAGGTGAACCTGATAGACCGAGCCACTTCTAGGAGATGGCAGTTTTTTCTTTCAGAGAGGCCATTTTGTTGGGGAGTATCCACACATGAGCTTTGATGAATAATGCCATGTTTGTTAAGCAACTCACTGAGAACAAAGCTAAAATATTCTCGACCATTATCAGTTCTTAATATTTGAATTTTTGTTTGAAACTGATTTTGGATCATGGAGTGAAATTCTTTGAAAATATATGCAGTTTCAGATTTTTCTTTTAAGAGAAAAACCCAACAAATTCTGGTGTGATCATCAATGGAGGTTACAAACCATTTTTTTACCAGTAAAAGTTGTTACTTTAGAAGGCCCCCAAATATCACTATGAATGATGGAAAAAGGTTTTGATGATTTGTACAGTTGAGATGGAAAAAAAGTACGATGATGTTTAGCAAGTTGATATATTTCACATTGAAATAAGGCTGGATTTTTATTCTTGAATAATGAAGGAAATAGGTTTTTTAAATAGGAAAAACTAGGGTGGCCAAGTCTACGATGCCACAACATCATTTCTTTTTCTCCAGATAAAGAAAGAACTTCGTTCTCAGCTTGTTTTTTGAGCTTGTCCACTCACGACTATGTCCTCGTCAAAGTAATAGAGCCCTTCACATTCCCTAGCACTGCCAATCGTCCTCCCCGAAGACAGTTCCTGAAATTCACACAAGGAATTAGAGAATTTAGCAATACAGTCTAGATCCTTAGTCAATTTGCTAATAGACAAAAGATTACATGAAAGATTAGGAACATGAAGAACAGATTTGAGGGTTAGACTCTTTGAAATTGGAATTGAGCCTTTTCCTGCAACGGAAGATAATGAGCCATCTGCAATTTTTATTTTTAGATTTCCAGGACATGGATTATATGAAGAGAAAAAATTTGCACAACCTGTCATGTGATCGGTGGCTCCTGAATCAATGATCCAGGGTTCCTTTTTGCTGACACTTAAAACAATTTTAAAATTACCTTTTTGGGCTAAGAAAGACGAAGGATTGCTGGAATTTGTGCTAAACTGGTTAAGGAGTTTGATCAGCTGCTCCATTTGGTCCTTGTTGAGAGATAAGGCACCGAAGCTATGGCTGTCTGGAACGGGGATCGGTGGCTGACCGTCGGCTGCAGTTTGATATCCTTGTGGTTCTCTTTCTGATCTTGGCTTCCAGTTTGGTGGTTTTCCATGTATTTTCCAGCATGTTTCTCGGGTATGACCTGATTTGCGGCAATGGTCACACCATGGTCTGCCTTTCCGAGGACGGTTGTCGTAGTTTGAGGGACTGGAGTTTTGGGTAACCAAGGCTGATCCTTTTATTGAAGCAGGTTGATTTTGGCTACCCATCATCACCTTTTTTCTGCTTTCCTCACGTCGAACTTCTGAGAATACTTCACGGATGCTTGGTCGAGGTTTAATACCGAGGACTCTTCCCCTTACTTCATCAAGGTCTTTATTAAGACCCAACAGAAACTTATAAATTTATTCTTTCTCGACAATCTTTCTATATTTTTCTGCATCTCCGGGAGTATCCCATATAGAGGTCTCGAGCAAATCTAGTTGCTGCCAATGACGAGTGAGTATATTGAAATATTGGGTAACAGACATCTCACCTTGTCGTAGATCATGAAGGATACCCTTAATTTCAATCAGTTCTGATGTATTTTCATTATCAGAATAAGTCTCTCTTGCTGCATCCCACATCTCCTTTGTTGTTGCATAGAACATGAAGTTTTCTCCCACCTCTGTAGTCATGGAATTAACCAACCATGACATAGCCATCATGTTCTCAGCTTTCCAAGTTTTGAATTTTGGATCTTCTTTTGCTAGAGCAGTGATCTCTCCGGTGAGATAGTCGTCCTTTCCTTTGCCACAAACGTACATCATGACGGATTGAGACCATTGTGGGAAATTGTTTCCGTTCAGTTTGTGTCCGGTAATTGGTAAGACTGAGCCTTCGGATCCTCCGACATGGCTGAGGATGGTTTTTTCTTGAGTAGATGTCATGTCCAAGCAAGAGCTTTATTTCTGCTCTGATACCATAATGATGACAGGTGAATACTTCGAGAGAAAGAGAAGAAGAAATTCTCTTATTGCATATTTAGAAATTGTACAGAAACAATATATAAATAGGAAAATTTGGAGGCTACAAACCAGCTACTCAATTTCTTTAATTGATGGAATAAAACAAGCAACAAATAAATAGGAATTAAACTAGGAAAGTCAACACACAGAAATAATCAAATCAACATTAATAGGAAAAACAATCAGCTAGCATTTACACCTTAAGATTAGGGTGCCAGCTATTCACGGATAAATCCATGTCTCCACTACGTATTGAGAAAAAAGAAAGAATTCTCAGCATAGAATATAAATTTAATGGTTATAATGGCTAGGTAATGGCAATATAAATTTGAAATTACTAGCCTAACTTCAAGGAAGGCCTTAGTAATTACGGCCAATCTTAACATGCTTGTACAGATACTCTAAACCTTATGATAAGTATGTGTGATTTAACCCAACTGTTTTCACACTGTTGAAAAGCATAAAACAGAAGCGAAGTGATAAATAAAATATGTAGAACACACAAATATTACGTGGTTCAACCACTAAAGCCTATATCCGTGGCACAAAGAGCCCAAAGGGCTACATCACTTTTATAATCTCTTTCAATTCATATACAATACAGTAGAAATATAAAAAGAAGAAAAATGAGAGAATTGTGTAAAGGCTTGAATGAGATTTAATAATATGTAAAGGCTTGAATGAGATAATCACTCATTCACAGCTTTAGTATTTATAGAAAAAAAGAGCACATGCTCATATTACAAGAAAGGAAATTAAAACAAATCTAAATCAAATCACAACATATTTTATAGCATATTATATGGCATATTCTATAGCATAATCAAATCTCTGCTGATACGGTAAGTCATTCCATAAATCATGGCTATCATATCTGCTAACACTCCCCTTCAAGTTGGTTTATAGATATCTGAAACGCCCAACTTGGACAATGCATTCTCAAACACAATCTTGTTGACTCTATAGATAAAAAGAGTGCATGCTATATTACAAGAAAGGAAATTAAATATCAAATTACAACATATTCTATAGCATAATCAAATATCTGCTAATACGGTAAGTCATTCCATAAATCATGGCTATCATATCTGCTAACAAATACAATGGTGGAGGCTCCTTTATATAGGAGAAGAAATTATGGGAACAGAAAGAATTAGAAAATAAGAAACAAGAGGTTTTTTCTTCACTGATTCCTCTAATAACACCAAATATTCAATAACAGGAAACAACATCAATTACTGAAAGATTTTTCTCCACTGATTTCTCCATTAAATCTTCAATACTCCCCCTCAAGTTGGAGCATGAATGTCTTACTTGCCATTGAGATGACGAGTAACAACAAGTGTGAATGATGAAGAGAGAAGAGAGGAGACTAAGAATAATGCTACCGAACAAACCGACAGCCCAAACAAGTCGACAAAAAACTACCGGAGACACGGCAAAGGCAAGGACAATGCTACCGAACACACTGGCAGCCCAAACAAGTCGATAAAAACTACCGGAAACACGGCAAAGACAAAGACAATGTTACCGAACACGCCGGCAGCCCAAACAAGTCGATAAAAACTACCGGAGACATGGCAAAGGCGAAGAAAGTTACTGCCGAACAAACCGGCAGCCCAAAACATTTCAGATGCTAAAGGCCCCAAAATAAGGTTCCGAACCTAGGAAGAGAAACTTGGCTCTGATACCATGTTGTAAATAATAAAATAGAAGCGAAGAGAGAAATGAAACAAGAACACATATATTACGTGGTTCAACCACTAAGGCCTACGTCCACGGCACAAAGCCCAAAGGGCTACATCACTTTTATAATGCTCTCTCAACACATACACAATACAATGGTGGATGCTCCTTTATATAGGAGAAGAAATTGTGAGAATGGAAAGAATTAGAAAATAGGAACCAAGAGGTTTTTTCTCCACCGATTCCTCTAGTAACACCAAATCTTCAATAATAGGAAACAACATCAATTACTCAAAGATTTTCCTCCATTGATTTCTCCATTAAACCTTTAATACACACTATCTAGTTTGTTGTTTAGATTAATAAATTTCAACTTCTCACATGTTAAGATTGGCAAAAATTACTAAGACCTCCTTTGAAGTTTGGCACGTGATTTCAAATTTCTGTTGCCATTACAATTTTGGCACGTGATAAGTATGTGTAATTTACCCTAACAATTTGACACTATTCAGTTTGTTGTTTAGTTTAATAAAATTCAACTCTCAAAATTTTCTCTGTTATCTCTCTTATGATTGTATTGGGCTATTGATTGGATATTAATTATTAGAATATTTGAATTTTAGTTTTACATTCTTCTATCATGTTATGGGATGGACCATAATATTTTTATTACTGCTAGATGTTAAAGGCCACAAAAAGGTGTTATGAATTTTTTGTTTAATTTCTGATGATTTGCAGTTTGTGGTGTGGAGATTTCTTCATCAATCAAGTAATTCAGATGTATCAACTACAAAACAGCAACTACTAGTCATTGTCTTTCTTCAGTATATTCCTAGGTTTCTGAGGTTCTTGCCATTATCTTCAGAGCTGAAAAAGACTGCTGGTGTCTTTGCTGAAACTGCTTGGGCTGGTGCTGCATATTATTTGCTGTTGTTCGTGCTTGCTAGCCATGTAAGTAGCCGTCCTATTGTGTACAACTAGGGATGGAAAAATAGCTTGTCCTGTCCCGTTTAAAGCAGTTTTGGAGTCCTGTTTAATGGTTTTGGGTGGGGACAGGTTTTATAGTGAAAACCCACTCGGGTGTGGGGCAGGGAGAGGGAAAGGTTACCTCGCCCTGTTTATAATGCAAAAATACTATTGACCCTTACACCTTATTGTATATACAAAATTACCCATGTTGTTGGAAGAATTTTAATGTGTTTTTGATTAATTTGGTACAGCTTTATTTGGTTTATATTCCTAAATACGAGTTTTAAAATTTTGAGTGGGAAATTAGGGAAAAGAAATTTGAGTTGTAATTTAAAAGGGGCAACTGATTGAGGGGTTCAGCCAAACATCTTTTTCCTAAGCTAGGACGGAGCTCTGGCGAGTGATGATTGCGGGGTGTGGGGCCCGTTTGCTAAACGGTTTTGTGTAGGGACGGGGAAGTGGGGCCCACCCCAAACCCACCACCCCTTGCCATCCCTATGTACAACCATGATAAATGTTTATAGTTTAGTTTTTAAATTTTATGCTTTATTGTGGTCCGAGATATAAGAATTGTAGAAGGTGAGGCCTCTAGTTGAGGTTACATTTTTTTTTTTTTTTGATAAGCAAAAGATATATTAACAAAACACGCTCAGAGGGGAGCGAACCCTTAACAAAACAAAATAAAAAATGCAAACGCGTCAATACAATGATAAGTTGTCAACAAAATCCAATAAACTATCTACAGATGGGCAATTTTTCCCATTCACCCAAGAATAAAGATAATGCAAAATATTCGCCTTGATAACCCACACCGACGATTCCTGGCCTTCAAAAGATCTCCTATTCCTCTCATGCCACAACCCCTACCAAATGCAAGTTGAGGTTACTTTTATCATGGTAGTTTCCGCACTTTGACAGATAGTAGTTCACTATTTATGCATGTTACATGTCTTTGAACTTCTTTAGTCTCAAATTGCATGTAGCGTATTCTAGTCAGGGCCCAGGGGTTCCACTGTTGAAGAAAAGGGGCTTTTGGATGTCCTACGGGATTTGAATCATTCCACCATGCTTAAATTCTTTTGATCACACTTGGCAATGTAATGTGGAGATTCTCCATATTATGGAATCTTTAAGTGTCCTTGTTTTAAACCAACTTTAGAAATTCATAAAAATGCTAGCAAAACTGCAATGGGTCCTGAACATTTGCTTGTGGCCTTATGTTTCACTCCTTCTACTGGTGCAAGCACGTAGGCATTAAAGCCTTGCTGTTGTTACTCGGCCTATTTCAATTTGTATGTGAAACTCATCGAGTCTCCACGGGAATCTAGAATTCTAGATGACTCATTAGTTTCCGGTGTTGTTCTTTAATTAAATATTAATGTAGATGATAAGGAGCTCATACAAATGTTAGAAAAAAGGATTGGTCTATTCTAAGAATTATGTATTTAGTTGATATAACATTTAGACAGATTATCTATTTGTAAATCTTAAGCACTCCTTGTTCTTTTCCATGAGCAATCAGCTAATATATAATATGGATGCTCTTAAGCAGTGCATTGAATTCATTTTTTAGTGCTAATTGTAAAATTACAGATAACCGGGGCTTTCTGGTACCTATTTGCTGTACAACGTACTGATACATGCTGGGAGGAAGCTTGTAACAAAAATGAGAAATGCAAGATCGATTACTTGTATTGTGCAAATCAGGATGTAGCAGGTTATAAAGATTGGGAAAGCATTAGCCAGGGAGTTCTTCACTCAAATTGCTCTGCGGAGGATGAAAAAAATCCACCATTTAATTATGGAATCTATAAACAAGCGATAGCATCTGGAATTGTTGCATCTGAGAATTTCATCTCTAAATACTTTTTCTGTTTGTGGTGGGGCCTGCAGAATTTGAGGTAAGCTTTCTCTTTTCTTCTTCACTTGTTATGATATACAATATCTTATGCTCTTTGTCTGGCAATGAGGATGCTTGTTGTTGGTCTGGGTTTAGACTTGTCAACTTTCAGCTCAGATAAGCATTTTATTTTCAATAATGAACTTATTTAATATGGATAATGAGATTGCTGGTACTTATCAGCAGATACATAGATCCCCATTCCAGGACTGTCACTTTGCTTCTCTGAGCTCAAGTGAATGGTGTTTAAAACCTGAGTTACACTCTGACTCTAATTTGATTAAATCTGAGCATTTTGTGTATTTTTTTGTGTATTTTTTTATTTTTTTGTGTATTATTGAATTTGTATTGCATGTTATGGTATTCTGTATAAGTCAGTCCAAAAGGTAAGCAGATTATCAATGAATGATGTACACCTGGATTCATTAGTTGCTTTAAAGTTCTCCAGAGTAACTGAAGATAACTTATGTGCTTTCACGAGGTTCAATTGTCATTAAATTTTTTCTCAGGAGAACTGATTGCAATGATCTTATTTAGAGGTTTTGGAGGCCCTCTTGGATAAGCACTCAAATGTTACAGCATAGAATACTTCCATTTCTTCTACTACTAGTCTAAATGCATCTTCTCTGTGGAGAGCATTTAAGTTATAGACCGTAGAAAATTTTGGAACTTTTAAAGAAAATGTTGTTACAGTTATTAGAAAAGGGGATAGGATGATATTAGTGAACGTTGTATTGGAAGGAAATATAGTTTATATAATTTGCAGTTATGCACCCCAATTAGGATTAAACGAAATATTGAAGCAAAATTTTGGGGATGTATAAATCAAACAATTCAAGCAATACTTAAAGGAGAAAAATTATTTATAGGAGGAGACTTTAGTGGTCATATAGAAAATATCCTGGAGGAGGAAATGAGAGTGCCTAGTGGACAAGGATCTAGAGATGAGATTGATGCTAGAGAGGGTTATCTTAGATTTCACAGTAGCACATAATCTTATGACCAAATACCTATTCTAAAAAGAGAAATAAACATTTAAAAACCATTAAAGAGAACTAAACATAAGTCAAATAAATCTTTTTATAACTAGAAAAGTTAATAGACACACGCGCAAGTACTGTAAGGTAATTCCAAGGAAGAGGTGCTAGTCTGCTAATGCATTTGAGTGTCCTGAACCTCACTAATTTGATTGGTTTGTATTTTACTTTTCGCAGTACACTTGGTCAGGGGCTAATAATTAGTACTTATCCCGGAGAGGCTCTCTTTTCCATAGCAATAGGCATTTTCGGACTCCTCTTATTCGCTCTACTGATTGGTAACATGCAGGTGCGTGCAAAAGTTACTTTGTGGGCTTCATAGATGTTAATTTATTGTATCAGCAATTTACGTGGTGAATTAATTTGCATTAACTTTTTTCAACCTGTGCTGACCTTATTAGGGAAATCAGCAGGGCGTAAAGTGAATTTGCACAAAAGTTACTCTTAGTTGCTTGATCCTGATTTCTGGCTTTTATAAAATATAAATGCTTTATTTGATTATACACCAAGAATCTCATGGTAGTGACATTACATGATTAACCTATTATGTCAAAATGACGTTGCTGTCATCAAAGAAGACCAGTGTGCCACAAATTGATTTTGCACGTAATCTTGTCACAAGTTATTTTATGTGTCTGATCCTGAATCTCTGGCTTATAAAAAATTAAATTATATTTTTGTCTAGTTAATTTGTATTGATGGAGTTGAATTAAGTATTAGTTAGTGTAACCATACAAAAATGACAGTTGATTGTATTGGTTGCTTTGTAATCCGGCATTGGAGGTGAGATTAACAACAACAGTTGATTGTTGCTTGGTGGTGATGCTACATATTAATTTAAATTAAATAATTTTAATGAGTGAAGAGAACTGGTGGTTCTTTTATTGGATGTAAAATGAAATGTTTGAACAGCAAGGACATTCATCTTTAATCTGAGAGATTAAGTCCTTTTTCCATCCTCATGCTTGAGTCCCTCCTGGGGGCCCTTACTTTGTACAATGGTAAAATCTCGGGCTGACAAGTTTGAGGACCTAGTCCTGAGTGTAAGAGCAGCCACAAAATATTTTGAAATGTTATGTTTGTATTTATTTTTTCTTCCCTAGCACTCTCCAAAGGTGGGATTGGTACTGGCTTATGGTCCCTGCCCAGGATAGCTCTTTGGGGGTGTAAGGAAATTCTCATTTCATGGCAGTAGAGAGAAGTGAACAGCAAATTCTATGAATCATATCTGTTGAAGGATTTATATATTTAAGTTACACTCTCTCTAACAGCTTAAGCTTTTGGAGTAGATGGTTGTTGACATGGTATCAGAGCCAAAGTTCTCGAATTCAAACCTCACTGTCCTAATTAAAAATTTGAAAAAAAACATGTTGGACCAAAAGAAGGCCACAAGTGAGGAGGCGTGTTGAAGGATTTATATATTTAAGTTACACCCTCTCTAACAGCTTAAGCTTTTGGAGTAGATGGTTGTTGACAATAGCCATCAACACTTTACTCGAACTTGGAAAGACCTTTCCAATTTATGCAATGGTTTTGACTCAGCACACTTTTGTATGATAAGATTTAACTGGTTTGTAATACCACGCCAATGAAATGACATGGTGTTCCCATTGCATTGAGTATTTACTCAAACCTCCCTCCTCCTAGCAATGCACTGATCAGAACTTTTTGAACAGAAACTATTGTTGTATTAGATATAGGTGTTTGTTGTAGCAAAATTCTAGAAGTATATGCATGGCAAATGCCAAGGAAGGGATTGGGTTAAGAGTTTGAACCTTGCTGTCCAAGTTATTTTTTTATATAAATTATATATGTGTGTGTGTGTGATATGTCTTTTGCCCTTGTGTGAAGTAAAAAGAATATAGTAGGCGTTTTGTTATCAAACCTAAAGGAAGACCAGATCACCGGTTCAACTACATGATACACTGTAGAACACTATAATAATAAAAACTAATGTTTGCAAAAATATAGATATAATTTCCTTAAGATGTCAATATAAGTTAATGTTATCTTATTTCAGTGTTTCTTGAACTTGAAGCCTCAAAATCTGATTAATGATATTCATTGTTTTTTAAAATTTGAAATCTCAATATCTAATTAAACATAGTTTTGTGTCAACTGATTAAGGACAGTTGCATAATGCAATCTTAAAAGCACACCTTTGCCAAGTGTGCCAACACAAGTTTAAGTCTGGAGACAGCCACTGATCTGAATAAATCCAGAGCATAGGTCTGTTCCCTGTCAATAATATCCAGTAACCAAGATTGATGAATTGTTACCGGAAGGGCCTTTCTATCGGCTCAAGGTTAGATTATAGGATGATGTTGAAAATGTATCTGTAATACGTGTCTGTTGTGTTGACATATATATTTTTGTACGAGTGTGTGTGAACATTTTCTATTTTTATTAAAAAATAAATATATTCAATGCTAATGGGAGGGAATGAACAGAGACAAACCTAATTTTCGGCATTATTTTTCATGGAAATGGTTACTCTCAAGAGTCAAACTCGAGGTCTCATGCTCAGTCCAAGCTTGTTGCCATTCATTAAAAGGACAGTAGTGTAGTGGCTTCTATATCTATATTACTGCTGAATTTCATTGTTCAAAATTGATAATGATCAGTTCATAGAATTTTTGAATAACCTATCCAGTCAATTATACCCAGCTAGGTGAGAATTATCCAAGTTGTTCAAGTCCATTGGCTTTTACTATATTATAGTTTTAAGCGGTCTGAAGTTAAGTCAAATGGTCATATCTAATTATATAACCAGCCAATCTACTCCGAGTCTAGGTTTATTTCTTGGTTTTAATTCTAGGAACAGATTTAAATCTGTTGAATCATGGATGTAAATATTGCTTCAATTCAGTTCTCAAATGGATATTACTTTCTTAGCATTTGAAGTAGGTAATAAAGCTTTGAGGCTTGAAGCAAAATCAAATTTCAATGCCTGAAATTTGGGGTATCTTGTGATTGCATCAGACTTATCTTCAGTCTCTTACGGTTCGTCTAGAGGAGATGAGGGTAAAAAGGCGTGATTCTGAGCAGTGGATGCATCATAGAGTGCTTCCACAGGAGCTTAGAGAAAGAGTTCGGCGCTATGATCAATACAAGTGGCAGGAAACAAGAGGAGTTGATGAAGAGGACTTGGTCCAAAATCTTCCAAAAGACCTCAGAAGGGATATCAAGCGGCATCTCTGTTTAAATTTGGTGAGAAGGGTAAGTATTTTGGTCATCTTGGTTATCCTTTGTTAGTTCTGAACCATGTCATCTTATGTGTATGTATAATGGATGTATGAGTTCAAACAAGGAAAATATTCCAAAATCAGCATTCTCTTGAAATTTCAGTGTGTAAAGCTATGATCTGTAGACGTTGACACCACAACATCTCCCAATATGAGATGCAACCATCTTACATTGTGTGTGTATCATATTCAGAACATGCATATTATGTACAAGTTATGCTGTGTGCATGTTGAAAAACAATAAAATTTGACCTGATGTAGTACAGCAAAAATACAGAACATATCACATCACATCATGGGGGAGAATAATAATGGTTATGCTGTTGAGCCCATTGAGCCACTCGCATCGGTTTGAGTTTCATAGCTGTCATTACATGCAGTTGTACATGGATACGAGTCTTTGGTTTTCTGTTTCTGCCAGTCTTGCAACATTAATGACACGACCTATATTCTGTCATTGATGATGATCTTGTGTGGCATTTGCAGGTCCCTTTATTTGCAAATATGGATGAACGGTTACTTGATGCCATCTGTGAGCGATTGAAACCAAGTTTATACACAGAGAACACTTACATTCTCCGGGAGGGAGACCCGGTTGATGAAATGCTCTTCATTATTCGTGGACGCCTGGAGAGTGTAACTACAGATGGTGGAAGGAGTGGATTTTACAACCGAGGTTTTTTGAAAGAAGGGGATTTCTGTGGGGAGGAGCTTCTAACATGGGCTCTGGATCCTAAATCTGGTTCTAGCCTACCTCCATCAACTCGGACAGTAAAATCTTTGACAGAGGTGGAGGCTTTTGCCTTAATAGCAGACGAGGTGAAGTTCATTACCAGTCAGTTTAGGCGTCTTCACAGTAGACAGGTTCAGCATACTTTTCGCTTTTACTCACAGCAGTGGAGGACTTGGGCTGCCTGTTTTATCCAAGCTGCTTGGCGACGGTATTCCCAGAGGAAATTTGCAGAAGTTAATCACGATGGAGTCCATGAGGAAGCAGGAGAGAATGAATCAAATGAAAAAAATGCACCCAGCTTTGGTGCAACCATATTAGCGTCGCGTTTTGCAGCAAATGCTCTTCGTGGGGTTCAAAAGCTTCGTGAGTCAACAAGTCCCACGGGCTTAGTAAAAATGCCGAAGCCTTCAGAACCCAACTTTTCTGCTGACAGAGATTAATCAGTGCTTGTATAGCAGATGATGACATTAACCGAAATGTTGTTTTGCTTCACCGATCCAGCTATTGAAAATGTATCATACTCGTCATTCCCAATTGTAATGTGTTTAGTTGGAATGTTTCATTGCTAATTTTGTCATTGAGAAGTGCTGAGGTGAAGGCAGAATACATCGGATCCCAAAATGATGAATGTCGTTGCTGATTGTAACTTATTCGACAACTGCTCATTAATTGGTTATTGTAACTTCTATGTATTCGGGGCTCTTGCATATGAATGAGAAAAATATCTTCACCCAGTGAGCAACAAATTCCCGTGTTCATATTTCCTTCGTGCTACCGAACTCAAAAGTCTCTGGTTCCAACATTACTCCCGAGCTATTACAATTACAATTGATATATGACCAAAATGTGGTCGCATGTGAGAGGAAGATTTAAACTATTATTAAAATGTGATCGTTTGGCAACCATAGTTGCTTTGTGCTTTTGATTTAACCCGAAGTAGAAGTAATGTTTCTACTTTAGGGTGTGTTTAACACTATTTTGAAGCTTGTTTGGTAACATAAATTTGTTACAAGATTTTTTAAAGCAAAAACATGAGTGCATGTTTGGTAAAAAGTGTTAGCAAATTTGAATGGCTAGCTAAAAATGTTAATTTAGATTTATTTATTTATTTTTGAACAGTACTTTGCTACAGTGGGGAAATAAACAAAAGCATCATTTTGATACTTCTAATTTTTGCCTCAATTTTAGAAGCACTTCGATACTATTCAAATAATAACAAATGTTACCAAACATGTTTGAACTATTCAAATAATAACAAATGTTACCAAACATGTTTCGTGCTTTTGTTTTACTACAGTACAATAACAAAAGCAAAAAACAAGAAGCAAAATCATTTGGTACTTTTACTTTTGCTACAGTTCTAGAAATAGAGATTAACTTCTGCAAAGTATATTAATTAGCCACATCCATCAGATATATAATAGATCATTTTTGTATATATATAACGGTATGATTTGAGAACGTAGCGATGATTAGTAAATTTTTCGAACTATTGATATCCTGTTTGCATTATCCCTTATTCTCATTTTTTTCGATTCAAGGAAGCTTTATTTCATTACAACACCAATTGATCCGTAATCAATTGCTCATAATTATGCAATCAAGATACATAAAAACATAAATCCCCAAAGTTAGAATGATCAAAACATAATACTTGAATTCGGGCTACATTAATGCCCTAAGAAAAGGTCCAGTGACATAATAGGTATCTTTATTTAGTTCATTTCATTCAAAGATTCAATTTTTACTCTTTAAAACACTCTTCGCAACATCATAGAGAATTCGAATAAATTTAACTCAAAACTTTCTTTTTTTTTCAAAAATTCAATCTTTATACATTAAAAAGGTCTAGTGATATAATATGTATCTTAATCTTATCCTCGTAACTACTTTTGTCCTTATCCTCATAAATATCTCAGTCCTTATCCATATCCAAATAAGTGCGCCGCCATGCCTCGATCAATCGAAGCAACAGTGGGCAGCTCTGGAAATAGAGAATTTTAGGCATAGCTTTTAAAAAAAATAAAAAATAAAAATGTTTAGGGCTTAGGTGAGCACGTGTGACGTGACGACCTCAGTGGGTGCAAGAGCACTAGTAGACTATCATATTAGGCGAGTTATATACGTACAATCTCATATAACCTAGATGTGAAAAGATAAAGAGTTATATATGCACGTGTTACTCTAATTGATATGGACTATTTTAAAGTAAAATTTAAGGATAAAATTGTAATTACAAATGATACGATAAGCATGGTCACAAGAAACATTACCCAGAAGCCGAGGAAAAATGCTATTTTGGTCAACCATAAAATATAAAAGATCAATTACTATGTTGCTGACAAAATAACTCCAATATCAGATACGTAGTGAATAGTTAGGATTGTTTTTTTGGTTAACTTTTGTGTACAGTTAATTAAAATTACTATAATTTTGCGAGGATTACTACTACTAAATTGACATAAATGCGAATACACACAATTTATAATCAGAAAATATAAGTGCGTGTTGTTTTTTTCCTTGTCGTCTGCAGTGTGCTTTTGTGCAAATTAAAGTGGAACACTGATGTGAATGGAGGTGCACTTGCCACGTGTAAAGCAGCTACATATATAAACGTGCGAATCTTCAAATATTCCCTCTGACACCTGATCGACCAAAGTATTTATATTTTGTCCATCTTATCCCTGCATGAGAAAGCTATTGTACTCAACAGCAGCAACCTCTCAAGGTCACAGCAACCTCAAACGCCCAATCACCGATTGCCACATAAGGAATTTGTTTTATAGTACCACCTTTGATTCATGTTGAGAAGAGCGATGTTGGGTTGTCGGGTCCATAAAATTATTTCATTGCTAAAATTGTGTTTGGATTGTAAATTTTGGACCCAAATTCTTTTTAGTAATATTTCTTATTGTTGGTGAATTTTTTTTTTTTTTTTTGGATAGAAGTGATGAAACTCACCTATCAAAGAGAGCTTCATAAATTTTACCTTGATTTCAAACGATTTTTTAAACAAAAATGTTAAACATCAAACACAATCTTTATTACACATTATAATAACAATAATGTTAAAGTATTAATAAATTGAACTCCGACTTGAATCAAATATGAGCTTAATTCGATTCTAACTCAATTAATTCAAAAATAATGAAAATTCAAATGATAAACTCATGTTAATCTATATTAATGATGATGATAATATTTTATTAAATATTAATAAATCCAGTAATTCAACAAATTTTAACTTAATATTTACTAATCTAACATGAGTTATTAAAAGGCATGCATTCTAATAGTGTAACATCCTTGAAGAGAAGGGGAGGAGCTGAAGTCGAAGTGTGAATAATAAAAATGTGTGTGAGTGGGGAGTGTAAGTATATTTCTAATCAATGTAAAAAAAATAAATAATAATAACAATAATAATCTAAAATGAGTCTAATAATCAAATCGAGTCCAAATAAACTCAAGTGGGTTTAATTTTAGAGTAAACGTATAGCTGGGGTTGATGGATCAACCCGTACCCGTCCAGTCCAGACGAGTTGCACCGTTTTTCCGTTCACTTTCATGTCTGTAAAGTTGGCCATTAAATGCATGCACTACAAAAGTGCACTTTGAAAACGTTTGTTGACTCTGGCTCTCAGTGTATTGCGTTGGTCCTTCAAAGCGTGGACGAAGAACAGACTTGGAGTCATGGACCTCATTTGCCCTAATTCTCCATCTGTATGCAATTTTCTTTTTAATTCCATGAAATTTTCTTTTCTCATGTACTTTTTTTTTTTTTAATTGTGTTTATTTATTTTCTCTGAACATTCACATTTGTTTCTAATTTTCTTTATTTATTTTTGTTTTTAAGTTTTTTTTTTTTTTTTTCTGAAAATTTAACTTCGCTCTGTTTGGTTGCTCAAAAACTAAGTTAAAAAAAAATAACGAATTTTTTGAACTTTAGGTTTTTCATTTGGCTAAACAATTATCAGTTATGCTCTTCACTTTCTTTCTCGTCAGTTTTCTAAAAAAAACGAAGAGGTGTTAAAACCTACCATTTTATGTATTTTTCCCCCAATTTTTTTTTTTTTAGAAAACAAAGCATAACAAAGCTTGTTTCGGTTTTGAGAAAATGTAAGAAAGAGTGGAATAGAATTTCATGTGTTAATTTTACAAAAGTTGAGATCATAGGAAGTAGTACATTATGCTTAACTATGCCTAATACAAGTTGTATGGATTAGCCGAGATAAGTTTTTCGTTCTTTTAAAGATTGAATAATATGAATGTAAGTCTTTCCTTTTTCCTTTTTCTTTTTTTTTTTTTTTTTTTTTTTCCGACTTTTTTGCACTATGTTTTCTTGGGAACCACAAAGAGAATACCAAATCTGTATTTCTCAGCTTTCTGATTTATACAACAATGTACTATTAATGATTCTGATAACGTGTGTGTGTGATTCTTATTGAAATTTACCACTTATGTTTCTGGTGTTCAGGTATGGGATGGAAATGGACTTTCAGAGTGTTTCGAGAACATATATCCTTTATTTTATGGATTTGATGTTTATTTCTCTTTGACAAAAGGCATATTGGTAGTGGTTATGATTTGATTTCCTATATGATCTTACGATACTAGGTTTTGGAGGAAATTTAGTGACTCTAGTTATGATTGCTGTACTCGGAATTACTAGAACGACTGTTGGAGGAAGACGGAGGGTAAGTTACCATTTATTTCCCCTGATTGGCTTTTTAGCAGAGGAATAAAGTACTAAAATCGACTAGATGGGGCTAAAGGTTCTAATTTCTATTATTTATCTTGTCGCTTGTGAAATAAAATTTGTCTAGTTGTTGAGAATATGTGTGACAATAAGATACAAGAAACTGCAGCAGACTGCACCTGCCAAATACAATGTCATTCTTTCAGTCTTATGGATTGTAGGCTGAGGTACTGTTTGAATTGTAATGCAGAAGTACTTATTTTGCTACAGTGATTAAAAAAAATTGCTTCAAAATTTTATCTTACAAGTGCTTCCAGAATGCGAATTCGAGAGTTATGTAGAATATATTTTGAACTAATGTATTATAGGGTTGCTATCATAATTTATAACTGTTGAATCTTCTCATTTGCTATGTAGTTTTTGGATTATTTAGCATGTTTTTTGTGGGTATTGAAGGCTAATACATGGCATGAAGGGGGGACATGAGGGTGGTTAGAAGAGGCGAGGTGAGAGGTGAGAAAGAGATGGGATCATATGCCCATCGAAATGGAGAGAGAAAGAACCCTTGCTCATAAGTGGATGGGTGTATATGGAGAATGTCACAAGCCTGAGACTAGGCAATGGTGAAGAACAACCGAGTGGATAGGACATGTGTTCAACGCATTGTTACTCTCAAGGAGGAACACATCTCCATAATCTTTTTTCTAGGGGTGCATGGTTTGGTTCGGTTTCGTTCTAAGACCAATCAGAATCAAACTAATCTTAACGATTCCAAAAATATTGGAATTGAACCGATCCGTTGGAAGCAGTGGAACCGAACTTTAGTGATCGGTTCAGTTCTACAGTTTTGGACTTTCGTATATATATATATATATACATACTAGTAAAATGAAAAACCTAAATTTGAAATATATATATATATATATATATATATATATATATATATATATATATATATATATAGATAGATAGATAGATAGATAGATAGATAGATAGATAGATAGATAGATAGATGATGATGCTATATATTGTAGTATATGGTAAATTATATTCTCTACCAATCAAAATTGAACAAGTGTATCATACATTTTAATATATATCTTTTTATACTATCAGTTTGGTTTAGTTTGGTTCGGTTCTTTGGAACTCAAACTGGAACCGAATCGTTCAATTATAGGACCGGACGGTTTGGTCCGGTCTGGTCTAGTTTACCGGTTCTAACGATTTTTTGTGCACCCCTACTCTTTCTCATTCTTTTTTGGTATAAAGCTGTTAGGTAGAAGTTGGGCTCAAATGGTGTAAGGGAGATACAATAAACCTTGGTGGCCTTGACACTCTTCCTTTAGCATGCCACAGTGATGAGATCCGCTTGGCATCACCCCTTAACTAGCACTTCTCTCTTGGTCCACCAAAGTTCAAACTATTTGAAGGTTCCATAATGATTTTTGAAGACATGATTTGGAAAATGCAGTCGCGGAGCCACATAGGGTCCCGTGGGGGCGGCTACCCCCACTGGACTTTCTTATTATGTTAATTATCTATGTATATTTTTTTATCAGTTTCAAAAATTCGCTACTAAAACCTTGCAAAATCTTCAAGAGAGATCCAACAATATTCTAAAATTAACTCTTATTAACTCCAAATTCAAAAAAGACCCATAACTTTTTTTTTCCTAAATAGAGACCCATAACTTTTTTTTCTTAGTTGGTACTCACATGCACATGCCTCCACTGAGGCTTGAACCCCTGATCTCCCTTTGGGAAGTAGGGGCTTGGTATCTCCACTGAGACCCATAACTTTCTCTCTAGTGAGCCCCACACTACAAGATTCCAAAAAGATTTTGAACAAAAGTCAAACTAGTCATTACTTATATATATGTATATCAACTTTCTGAAAGAGAGAGTAGGCCTCGCAAGATTGTAAAAGATATAAGTTTATTGAATAGAAGTATTGTCAATCAATGCTTTAATTTTTGCATTTATTGTTTTGGTTATTTTTTTATATATTTTTTTATTGATAAGGAAAAATTCTTTTTAGGCAATTTGGACCAAGCTGAATAGAAACATGTAGGGGTGGGACCCACCCTGGTATGTTTGTATTCGACTTGGGCTGAATTGGCCCATAAATAACAAAAATCATTTATTGAAGGTTGCCCCACTGAAGTAAATTCTTGCTCCGCCATTAGGAAAATGGCTACCAATGAGGTGCCTACATGGAAAGAGGTGGGATGTGAATGCATTTTTTAATAAGCATTTATATGAATGCCAATATTAATATAGGATCATATGGCATAGAGTCTCTGATGTGTGTTTTTATTTATCAATAATAAAATACCACTCGCAATAGAACGAATCCTTGTAGGATAGGGCTATGTTGAGGGTGTCAACTGTCAAACCTCAAGGACTGTGGTGGTTTATCGTGTCTTCAATTAATACTATTTTAATTTTGAAATAAGATATTATTTGTTGTGTTGTGCTGTAATTCAATGACATAAAAGAAAATAACGGAATAAAAGGATTGAGATCAAGAGAAGAAATATTTAGGGATTGACTTTACCACGATCCGCCTACTATGGTCAACTGTTCAACATTAGGATTTCAACAATTATGCATTATATGGAATTAAACTCAATAACATTCATTTAATTCAGATTTAAAGAAAGATGTTTCATTGAACTTAACTAACTATAACATATCTTCGGTTGGCACGAATTATCTACCTACCTACTTTTAACTAATTTTGTAGTTTAACTCGTTTTCCCTAGGCATAGACTATGAAAACATTCATTCATGAAAAACGTTTGACACCATTGCATGATCTCCATTCTTATGTCCGATAAGCCTCCACCAAATACCGTCCGATAAGAATGGGTTGAATATAATCTAAGAACAATTAAATCTAAGACAAGGTATTAATTATCAAAAAACTATGTAATCATTAAAAACCAATTGAATTAAGTCAATTGCCCAAAATCATGCAATCAAAATACACAATATATTAAATTGCCAAAGTATAGAACAGTCAAACCATAATATTTGGATTCGGGCTACATCAATGCTCTAAGAGAGGAATTAGCTACTCATGACGACGCAAGATATCATTTGTGTGTTGTTGTGGTCTTCATCGCCATGGACCGCCAAAACTCCTTTTGGATTTTCTTCTTCAAAACCCTAAAAGCCGCCGTGAGAGAGAGATTGATGGATTTTTGGATGGCTCCCTTAATGTGTCTTCTCCTCTTCTTTTATAGTGGAGAGCAAGTCCCAATCCCCTTTGGATTGGTTTTACAGCTTTTGGTAACAATTGGGCCCATAAGGAAACAAAGAGGAGTCAAAATATATAATTCCCGCATGTATTTTTAACCTTCAGGACGTCAGAGCTCGAGCTCTGGAGTCAGGGCTCGAGCTTAACCTATCAGCAACTTATTCTGACGTTGTAACGCAATTTTGACACATTTAGAGCGCGAATCTCGAGATGGCTATTAGAGACAAAAACATCGGGCTTCGAGTCTTCTTTCTAGAGCCGCTGAGTTTGCTTAATTTGGAGTTTCGAGTCAAAAGTTATGCCCAAAATACTGAAGCAGGTCCAGAGTTTTCAGCAATGCTCGAGCCCTGAGTGGTTGTGCTCGAGCTTTCTGGGTTAGGCTTGAGCTTTGGAGCTTGGGCTCGAGCTCTAGGAGCAAAATTTGTCGTGCTCGATCCCTCCTTCATGGTGCTCGATCCCAGGGTGTTCGGCTCCAGCTCTGGGGCTGTGGGAGGTGTTAGTGCTCGATCCCTGAGGCTTGACACGAGGTCCTAGGAGCTTGGATCAACTTTTCACATTCCGATGCATCATGTGCCCGAGCTTTTAGGCAAAGGCTCGAGAACCCTGTGGTTGGGCTCGAGTTGTGAGGGTCAGGGCTCGAGCTTTCTTACCTTTGGAATTTCTTGTCTTTTTTTGCTGAGCTCGAGCCATAGAACTGAGGCTCAAGCTTTTGAACTTGAAACTCCCTAAAATTCACCATTTTGACTCTTGGCTTGCTTTGAATGACCGGCAACGACTCGATCTTTATCATTCTTTTCATCATAAAAGCTCGGTTTTAACCGTTTCTTTGGGAAAGTACCTAAAAATACGAAATACACAGAAATCAGTCTAACAATGGATAGAAGTATCATTTTAGATTTTAACATACGTATATTTAGGGGCTCGAATATGCAATATTCAGCCCTCATCAGTCTTTTCGTTAATTTGAATGATTGAATTGCATTAGATCAAGCAAGTGGATGCTATGGTTATGACTGTTTAGAAGGTGAGAACAGATATATCTCTTGATGATTAACTATAGTTTGTGTGATGAAATGAGTCATCATGGAGTGGGAATGGTTGGCTTGAAGCTGAAGTTAATGTTGAATTGCTCAAACTGAAGTTAATGTTGGATTGCTCAAGATGAAGTTAGAGGACAACATGGTGTATATTGTTTTTAGATGGCATGAAGTTTGAGGAGTTCAGGCCATCATTGAGGCAATTGAGTATAGTGAAAAAGCAAGAAGGAGATGGCATTATTGGGCCCGCGGTGTGATTTCTAACTTGAAAGACACAAAGGCAAATATCATAACACTCATTCCTGATTAGGTTCAATAAGTTGGACTGGCATGCATATACTGAGTAAAAGCGTTGGGGCACAATAAAGCATACAGTGAGGATAAGGTGCAAACTGCAAAATGTAGATAAAATACTTCAGCGTGACAAGGTACTAGGTCATGGTGAAGCAAGTAGAGAATAGTGGTGTAGCGAAGTGCTAAGAGTGTCGGAGCATCAACTCATGGTGGACCATTTGAGTTTTGTAGAGCAATCAGAGTGTCTCAGAGCAAAAAAGAGTGTGGTAGAACAAGATAGTGTTATAAAAATCAAGGGGTACAAAAAAGTGCCTTAACGGCATGACATATACCCAACTGACTCCTCACTAGACTCGGTGATGTTTGATGAGTGATTTTATTTCTCTACGGGGTTTAAGGTGGAACACAATGTTTTTTATGCAAACCAGAGGTCACACTATGGCCCTGTACCTGGCTCAAGGAGCTTTCTAGGACATATTTCTGACCAAGTAGGCATAAATGCGTTAAGGTGCATGTGTTCAGAGGTGTCTTTGTAGGGTTTTAAAAGTGGTGGAGATCAAATGTGCATCGAGTTGCAATGGAGATCAAATGCGGACTCAGAGTGTCAACACAGATCAAATAACATTTAATGATCTCGTGTCTGGGTCTTAAAATTGAGGTACTACATTTTGCTTTCCAACAAAACAGTCCGTACCAAGATAGGTATAAACTGTTTTGATAGGCTGACACTGCTTGAACTTGGTGAAATGACTGCCTTAAAAAACAGCGACTTACACTTGAAATATTGAAGCACACAGGAGCTTTTTGCCACATTTAACAGTTCCAAACATTGCCAAATGCCAATGGCGAAATAGCTATAAATAATAGGCATGGACCTCTTCACTATAAGGATAAAGGCATCTGGGGTTACACTCTGGGTTGCTATGAAGTTGTAAATGCTACACAATGAGTTAGCCATGAGCTTATTGACGAGTTGAATTGATAAGATACAAGGTAAATAATAATTTAGGGAGGTATCGGTGGTATGAAATCATGTTATGCTGCCATGGACTTGCATAATGAGATCTACATTGCAATAGCTTTTCCACCCACAAGAATATTGCATATAATTTGAGATAAAAAATTAAACGAATTAGAAAGCAAGGAAAGAACATAGGGAGTTGACTTCAGTCCAATATATATAACGTGGCAAATAGCAGCAAAATTTGAAGGCAAGTTAAGAGTGTGGAGGTGATAGTGGGCATCAGTACACTGGTGGTCTGCACAAACAACCATTTTTTGGTCAGGATCCATAGGTCATGTTATCAAGAAGGAAAAATTTCTGGTTTGATCCCCAAAGGAGTCACTAAAATATGGGTATGAGGTTTGTGCATGCCATGCTGAGAGGACACAGAGAGGATGGTTGGAAGAAGAGAGGAGGAGAGGAGAGAAGTGACAGAGAGAAAACCCTCAGGCTTATAGAGTGTGGAGAGAGACGATCCCTTACTCATAAGTTGAGGGGTATTCTTAGACATGGCCTATTTGTGTGTGGGGTCTAGGCACATGTAAAAGACAAACAAGGAGGTACAGAGTATCTTTATTAAAGAGAGACATGCGTCCATGATAACCCCACTGTCTCCAAAGGTATAGATCAGCTAGCTAGAGGTCAACACTCATGGGATGTAAGAGAGATGGGCCACCTGCTGGGCCCCTGATACTTTGCACGATCATGTAGTGGGATCCATATGACGTAACCCTTTAAATTAGCAGTTCCTCTTAGCCTGCTAAACCTCAAACCGTTTGAAGCCCTCCTAGAGTGATATGTCTTGGTATGACGTGGAGAATGGTTGCCAATGTTGTGTCTATATTGGAGGAGGTCGGTTCAATGGCTGTTTTGTTTGGGAAATTGCTTTTACACTTCTCCATAATGGCGTTGCTCTGTAATTGTTGATTCTTTTGATTATATAAATTAATAAAGGAAAATATAAGGGATTAAAACTATCAGAATGATGGTTAATTTTCTCTGAAGTGTTAGTGTGCAATTTCTTTGTGTTCCCATACATAACCTGTAACTTCTATGCTGCTATTTTAATCTTCAGTCTTGCAACAAGCGTTCTTTCTTCTTCTTCTTCTTTTTTGGTATTTTAATTTGATGAGTTAAATTAGTGGTACTGGGGCCAGGGCTCTACCTATACATTTTCATCTGAAGGGATTTTTACCTTGTACTAATGGTTTTCTAAAATTAATCAGATGTACTTTACAGAGAAGATCTTGAATCTTCTAGCTGCTTTTGGAGCATGTGTGGCATTCTTTGACATGGTTTTGCTGTTGAAGAGAAAGCTAAATGGTCACACTATTTTTTATCATGAATGGTTTTTTAGATGTTCTCAATTCTCAATTTGGGTAAGCTTTTAAATGTTGGCTACACTACCATGAAGCTTTTACCTGATAGTTTCCTCTTTGTATTCTGAGCTTTGCTTCGGGTGTCATTGTGTTACACATAGGCTACCATTCTATTCATGTCAAAGTGTAACAAGTGGTTTGCTATCTTTTGCAATCGTATCCTTTGTTTTTGGTGGATCATAAAGCCACTCTTGGGTATCCCTCATCTGCAAACAACTTTTTCTTCATTCGAGGTACTATTTTGTTACATGCTCTGCAGTAATTAGATTATTTGAGTAATGATATATATAACTTGCTTTGTCATTTCTAGCTTTCTCTCTTATCGAATTATGGATATAACATGCCAAGATAGTAGGTCTAGATTATGAACTTGGAATATAGGAATATTGACAAGTAAAGGATAGAAGGAAGAGAAGAGAGAGAGAAAGAGAGAGAGAGAGAGAGAGAGAGAGAGAGAGAGAGAGAGAATAATGGAGAGAAACCGATTGAGAGAGAGCTCATTAGCAAGAAAAAGTGAATTACATATTTTGCGGCCCTGTAATACATAATATTATAATCTCAACAATCTTAAAGTTCACTAACAGTTTTAGATCATTCATATTACAAAACAAATTGGTGAGAAGGTCCTTTAAGTATTTGGAAACCCATTTGTTAAACAGTTATTGGAACTCTTCCTAACAGAATTAAATTAGTTCTTAATGCGTTAGCTGCTTCATTTGGTTACCTCAGAAATAAAGTGCTTGTATTACCTAGTATATTGTGGATTGCAATTCATTTGAAGTTCTATGTGGCAGGTTTTAATCTGTCTCAAAGAGATATGTGTTATTTTGGTGGATATCATGTTTGGCATCTCCATTAACATTATCAGGATAAAAGAGGCATACTCCAGAAGCAGGTACAATAATGTGGTCGTCCATTCTTCTGCAGTTCATTGGTGCTATTTAACTGGTCCCTCTTATGGTTATCTTCTAGGATTCGGTGGTCAATCATTTAAATAGTATTAATCATAATATAAAACATCTAGGTAAACAACATACGCGAAGATTGAATGTATCAAAGCAGCAAGGAAAAGCAAGTACGGGAGTAGAACATTCAGGAGAAATGAACACATTCATTTAAGCTAAATCTGCAAATTATTTGTGATAGTGAATTTGAATTTAGAAATTTAATTAAATCCAACAAGATGGGTTAGTTGATAAAAAATTAATGTCATTTTCTGTAATCAATTTTTAGTACAATCGTTTTAGTGAATCATGATTAACGAATTTTGACTTATTGGTTTGTTATAACTTATACATAGTTGGGTTAAAATTAGAAGGCATGATATAAGGATTTAAACTAAAATGTGATGTTGTAGCCTGAATTTGGTGCTGGGTCGCAACTCGACAACCTGTTGACTGAGTTTTGTGTGGGCCTAGAGAGACACTGAAAATCGCAAAAAAGAGAGAGGGAGTGAGAGCTAGGGTTTGGGGGCTGAAATTTGTAATCTCTAGTTTTTCGTATAGTGAATTCTTTCATTGGATCTTCACCGTGAACATAAGCTTTTCCGAACCATGTAAATCTTTGTGTTCTTTGTGTGTGGTGTGTTTATTTTCTGTTGTGTTTCTTGATTGTTTCTTGGGTTCACTGCGTTTGTCGTAACAGAAAATATATATATATATATATATATATATATATATATATATATATATTTTTTTTTTTTGATAAGTTGTCGTAACAGAAAATATTGCTGCGTCTGTTTGGGGGTAACAGTTTTAATTTATATTTTTTTTATTATTCATCAAATGTTTTGTTTCATAATTTCAACCCTGTGTGTGTGCGCGTCGCACATCTTCATGGATCCTCGCTATCAGAATTTAGTACTATGACCAATTAACCACTGGCTGGTTTCCTTACAGAACTTTTCCTCTCTTATGAGATTTAAATTTAGGAACTGAAGAAGGGGCATTAACTTTTTATTACTGAAAGTGAGCATACCATAGCATGCAAATTAAGTAACTCATTGGTCCAGTTCTACTTTACATGTTCGTTATCCTAGTAATTGGTTTTTATAGTTATCCTACTATTATGATCCATCAACTGTATTATGTTTACATGCAGAAAATCTAGTTCAATGGAAGAGCCATTTATCTCATGTGATATAGACATTGAAGAAGCTCCTCCTAGGGACACTGTATGGTGTTTTTATCCCTAAAGGCTTGTTTTCGTAATTTATATTTATAGCTACTGTTATGTAAATGTCTAGCAAGCCATATATTTCATTTGGCCATATGGAGAACCTATAACAACTCTAACCATGTATTTTTCCAGTTCAAATTATTTTGGCTACTTGTTTCATTGGAAAACCTCGTTCATGGAAATTTTAGGACTTCCAATATGGGACTTAGAATGTTGAAAAAATAGTTTTTTCTTTTTTTTCCTTTTTATTGTATAACTCAAAGAATGGAATATAATATGTGTATTTTCCGTTTTCTTTAGTGCAGATGAATAAATTTCTATTCTCTCTTGTTGGCTAGTGATAGATTAATCCCGAATAGATTTTCAATATTTTAGTTCAAATAATTGAATATCTTAAGTTAAGTTGGTGGGCGTGAACTTTATCTTGAACAATTTCAATATTCCATTTTTCTAATATTCTGTTGTAGAGTTTCTTGTGTGTGTGTGTTTGTAGGGTACTTGGAAGATACTGGCACCAAAATATGTTTTGATTTATGCCTTCCGTAATTCAAGTTAGAGCATGTGGTTAGTTGAGGTTTTATCGAGAGTCTCTAGGAATGATTCTGATGCAATGCAAGTGGAAGTGGACTTTCTTGGACTGAAATTGTATTAATAGGGGCAGCATTGTTCCAAGTTGAACTCAACAGTTTTTCTACTTCTCCCTTTCTTTTGGGATTGAGTTGTGGGTGTTGAAGCTATTCTCTAGCTTGATCTAGCTCTCTGTATTCCCTTCTTATAGATTTTATTATCTATTTCACAGCTGTTTGCATTAGATGGTATCAGAGAAGGTTTTGGTCCAATGGTTGTGTTGGGTTATCAGATCTCTCTTAGGTTTTGCAACATGCCACCAAGGAGAAGAAACCCAACTCGCAGACCAGCCGTTCGGCCTGATAAAAAAATAATAGTTGATCAACAACAAGTGCTTGCTGTGATAGAAGGTTTAAGAAGGTAGATTGAAGCTTTAGCCCAGTGCGTTACACAAACCGCAACCTTTTTGCGGCGACCTATGTGGGCGGGTGCAAGACACTGGGCGAGCTACCACACTTGGTGAAGGTGAAGTGCTTATATGTACTAGTTCTATCTCCAAATGGTATGGGGATTTTTGGGGTAAAACCCAAGAACAAAACCGTAAGAGCTCAGGCCCAAAGCGGACAATATCATACCATGTGGTGAAGTAAGTTGTTATAAATGGTATCATTGCCTGAGCCAAGCCGAAAGTGTGGCCAATAGGGACGTTGGGCCCCTTAGGGGGGTTGATTGTGGCAACTTACGTGGGCGGGTATGATGTGAGCGGGTGCGAGACACTGGGCGAGCTACAGGTTGCACAATCCCACATCACTTGAGAAATGTGAAGGTGAAGTTGAAGTGTCTATATGTACTAGTTCCATCTCGAAATGGTATGATGCTTTTTGGGGGTAAAACCCAAGAATAAAACCATGTAGGCTTAAGCTTAAACTAGACAATGTCATACCATGTGGTGGAGTGGGTCGTGACACTTTTCTCAAGATGGTATCGAATCTAAGGAGGACAATCTGGAAGAGGATTTTGTTAATATTTTTTTGCAGAAATGTAGCACCTACACCAATACCTATTTCATTTGTGTGTTTCGTAAAGGAGGGTGGGAGTTTGGGATCCGGTTGAGAGAAGATTGGTTGGATGGAAGAAGCAGTATCTCTCGAAAAGCGGGAAGGTTACTCTAAGAGTACTTGTTCGAGTTTCCCAACTTTTTTCCTCAATCTCTTCTAGATTCCTTCCTCTATAGCTGAAAGACTCGAGAGCCTCCAACGGAACTTTCTTTGGGGTATCCAAGAAGAGGATTCAAGTATCATCTTGTCAAGTGGGAGCAAGTTTGTAACGACCCAAACTCGGGGGTCCGGATCATTACCCGGATCCTTATCCGAACCTGAGGTCAACTAAGGGCTTCACAGTCAATTCCAAGGTCAATATATAAACAAGTACTCATTATAAAGTGTACAGTGCCTCATTGCATACATAAGTAGCTTGGAAGTGGTCATGCAAGACAAAGAGTCAAGGAATAGGGTGAGTGCAGGAATTGGTCAGCGTAAACAGGTTTAACGTCAACTGTTTTAACTCCCAGTCTAAAAAGGATCCTTTTTGCACATAACCAACATCATAGCCTTGGCACTTTAGACATAGAAAACATGTATCAAGTCAAAACATTCATACATTTTTACATTAGCATAATTAAGCAAGTAGATTACATATAAACCACATAGAACACATCCATAGAAGAGCTTTAAACTACACTATGTTATAAAACCAATTCAAGGAGGAAATTCACCAAGAACAAAGAAATTGAGCTTTAGAAAACCCCTACATTTTAGAAGCTCAAATGATCACCAAATGAAGGCCTAACCACACCAATGAAGAGAATATGACGAGGAACAAGTTTCCCTCTTGAAGCTTCACCAAAACCCTATTTTCAAGGAGAAATTTCAAAAATCAAGGGGAAGAAATGGGGTTGATTTTGACATCAATGGAAAGCTCTCATCACAAGGATCACTTCTCTCTTCTACAAAGCTCTCACAAGTGAGCTTCAAAGAAAGCTCCCATGGAGGAAAAATGGAAGAAGAAAGAAAAAGAAAAGAGAACGAAGGAGGAGGAGGAAGAAGAAAGAAGCAGCTCTGGAAATAAGTGGAGTTCTGTAGAATGTATAGTGTACTCCACATGACTAACATGCCCTCCTTAACTCCTTAAACCACAACCATGCGAAATACCAAATGTAACCCCACATATAAGACAAATAACATATAAAACATTTAAATAAGTCAAGAAATTAATTTCGGAACATTCAAATTTGGGTGTGGGACCCATTCGCAACCTCCTGGACCAAAAATTCAAAAAATGCAAAAATGACCAAAATGTATTTCTAAGAGTCCTAAACTCAAAGAAATACTCAAAATCACCCTTATAAGTCTCGTGACACACTAACCAATGCATAACACGCAAAGCGAGACACAAAAATAAAATAATCCGAAAAATCAGAAAAACAAGAAAAATGAAAAAATGCAAAACATCACAAAGTTTGCAGGCCTCTCCAGATGGGTGGACTTTGGATTAGGAGGTTGGTCCCTTTCAACAGGGCACTCCTTGGTAGGTGGCTGTGGAGATTTGGTAGCGAAAGTCATCGTTTATGGAGGAGGGTTATTTCGTGCCGCTTTGGGGAGGAGAGAGGGGGATGGTCTTCGAAACCGGTTAGATCTGTTGTTGGCGTGGGAGTGTGGAAATGCATTCGGAAGGGTTGGGATGAGTTCTCTAAATATATTAGGTTCAGAGTTTGGGAGGGCAGGGATGTCTGGTTCTGGGAGGATTTTTGGTGTGGAGATCCCTCGTTATCTTGTTTGTTCCCAAGACTTGTCAGGATAGCTGTGGATAGACATGCTATGGTAGCAGATTGTTATCGGCTTGATATTGGTAGGCTTACGTGGGATATGCATTTTCGGCGTTCCTTTCATGATTGGGAACATGATGTTTCTGGCCTGCTGGATTTGTTGTATAGATAGGATGTGGATGGTAGAGGGTCTGATTCCTTGATTTGGGTGCCGTGTCCTTGGAGGAGTTTTGAGGTCCGTTCTTTATTTTTCTACCTCGCCGGGTTTCATGGATCTATTTTCCAGTGGAAGATGGTGTGGCATTCAAAGGCTCCTCTCATAGTGGCGTTCTTTGCCTGGACTGCAGTTTGGGGCAAGATTTTGACCTTGGACAATTTGAGAAAGAGAAGATATATCATTGCTGTGGATCACATTCTTTTGCATTGCCCTATGGCTTATGCCTTCTGGAGCTTTATTTTTGGTTTGTTCAGTGTTCAGTGGGTCATGCCTCGGTCCTCGAGGGATTTGATTGATGGTTGGAGAGGCTTTAGTGTGGGGGCCCATGCTGGGGACTTTTGGAGGGCGTTTCCCTTTTGTGTTTGGTGGTGTATTTGGAAGGAGCGGAATAGAAAATCTTTTGAGGGGGAGGAATCTTCCATTGGGGTGCTAAAATTTACTATTATTAGTTCTATTTTTAGCTGGGTGATGGGGAGAAATTGTACATCTTTAGATGAAATCATGGATTTTTTGGGTTCCTTGGGTCCCTAGGACCTTTCTTTGTACAACTTTCGGGATTGCGTTCCCCGTTTGAACGCTCTCTAATATATTCTTTATTTATCAAAAAAAAAAAAGAAAATGGCTTGACGGCAGCAGGTTTTGAAGTTCAGCACCAGCAGGCCAAGGTTTTCTGTATGAAAATGTAATGCAGCCTTGTTTCTGTCTAGACTAGAGCTAGAATGGACTCGAGATGGTATTTCAAGTCTGCTCAATCCATAGGAAAAGCTCACAACACCCAAGTGAATCATAAAAGGGCTGCCCATGGTATTAGGACATATGATCTTGCACACCATGCCTACTTCTTGCATATTCAGTTAATTCTTTTCATCGTTTACAAGAGTCGTCCAGATTGTTGCATTGGTTGGCATTGTCTTTCATATGAGCTTTCTATGTACTCTTACAAACTGTTAGCTTCTTATATGTAAATTTTTAATCTGCCAATTCCAATAGGTAACTGCTATTTTGTTTTTGCAAATATCCTCCGGCATTTATAATATAAGGTCAATTACAGGAGTGTTGCATGTATAAAAGGTGCATTTAAAGCTTAAATTTGAAAGTGGTATGACACTTTTTCTTTACCTTCTTTTTTTTAAACTGATTTTTTTTTGGCTTGGTTGTAAAAGGGAACTTCTCTCAGCTATTGGCATGTCCTTGCATTCAAATCTATCACATCTGTGATGGAACGTGGAGTGATAAAGCAGCTTGACTTTGAAGATTTGCTTCAAATACCTGTTGATATGGATCCTTCATCCTGCCATTCTACGCTTCTAAGCTGTTGGCAAGCTCAACGAAGAAATAATTTCCCCCATCCTTCCTTGTTTAGAGCAATTTTTTCTGCATATGGATGGCCATATTTTTGTCTAGGTCTGTTAAAGGTATGATATTTTGTTAGTTAATTTCCCCCTCCCATCTGCTAGATAGCCAACATAAGGGAAAAAATATAAAAAAACAAGAAAAGAAGAAGAAAAATACAAAACAGCTCATATTTCTTCTCTATGTAACAAAGTCACTCACTTGAAAAAAGAAATTTATTTTTTGATAGTTATTCTGTTTTATGATTCTCAAACTTGTATGAAGTGCACATTGCTCACCACAACTTTCATTTATCAGTCATTAACTGCTTAACATTATGCTCGTATACACATGCTGTGTATCAGAGACAGTTGCTGGTGTGAAGAGGAAAGAGAGGAGGAAGAGAGATTCATTGAGAGAGGCAAATTGGTATATGTCTTTATGAGAGAGAGGGAGAGATTAACCCAGTGCTGATCCCTCCTAAGTAAGGTTTTGGCAGGAAAAGATTGGAAAACAGATCTAATTCTGCAGTCAAACTCAAACCTGTGTCTACACACATTTCAGTCAAAACTTTCGCCATTGCACCAAGAATAAGGTCAACTGTGAATTTGTAAATTTTTCATTGACTATGACTTTTATAAACCATTTTCTAAAAAATATAGAAATACATCTAATTTTTTATAGAACTTAATTTTTTATTTTTTACAAAAAAATTGGAATATGGATTAATAATAGTTTTTCTCAGGTGATAAAGTTCCTTTATTGGTAGACTTTTCAATTTAGTTTCCCTAATGTCTCAATGTCATTTCCTGTATTTTTATTGGTTGTTCTTTTTATTTCTTGCATTTCTTCCCTTTATTTTCTCATATATCTTGCAATTTGAGTAGGAGATGACTGCAATTTTTATGTGTTTGTGAGTCTAATATATTGGACTGTCTGAATGTGTGGGTCTGTGTGGAAGAATAATAGAGAGATAGCTCTATATTAGGTTGTAAAAACACATACACAGTTCACTTTCTTCTCGAGTTTCTTTTTGAAGTAAGGAAAGGTAGATTCTGGTGGAAATGTCCCAACTTGAGTCAAAACGGGGTTTTGTCAGCACAGTTAAAACATGTCAATTATCAATAGTTGATAGGGAGAGAATTTATATCAGATATTTTTATTGAATATATTATCATTGGATTCTGTTCATTTATTAGGGCTGGTTGAAATGACATGCTCTAGCTATTTGATATCTGAAAATTTCTCGAGTCTCTTTTGCCTTTTAAATTACAATCTATTTAGTGCAACTTAATGGAGAGTTATTTTGTCAAATGCTAGAATGTTGAACAATGTCACTATTTGAACTGTTTGCAGGTGCTTAATGATTGTATTGGTTTTGCTGGACCCCTGCTTCTCAATAAGCTCATTCAGTTTCTCCAACAAGGTATATATATTTGATTAGTTCTTTTACTCATTTGTTGAAGAAATAGCAACTGATATGCTTGATAATTGAGATTAGATCTTTTACTCGTGTGAACTTATATTGACAGATTTGTTTTGTTTTTATTTTTATTTTAATCAGGTTCTCAGCATTTCGATGGCTATATTCTTGCAATATCCTTGGGCCTCGTATCTGTCCTAAAGTAACTCTGATTTTTTGTGTATTTTTATTTCCTTTCTGATTCTTGTGATTAGGTGCTGGTCTTTTTTTTTTTTTTAATTTTTTAGAACCATTACTTTTGAACTTATTCTACAGTGAAAAACACCAACATTTGTCTTGTCATAAAAGAAACTGAAAAGAACATATTCATTAGTTTTGTGTGTTGAATTACTGGTTTAATTTAGTCTGAGTCAAAAGGGTACTTAGTCGGACTTAATTTGCATGATTAGAATTTGGTTGGTTTGATGAAGGATGAATGCCGAGAAGAGAAAAAAAATAGGAATAGAGTAAGAAAAAGAAGTAGAATGCAGAGTGACTTAGGTTTCTTTCTTTCAAGCTTTTTTTATATCACACACAAGATGCATTTAGTTAGCTGGATTTGAGGGTAGAAGTGGGCATCACCTTCATGTTTGGTGTGCACTATTGGAATCTGGAATCTCATTCCTTTGGAAATGAAATATCCTCAAATTAATGGTATACCATTTCCACCAATAGGGAGGTACTCTCATTGTATTTGCAACAGAATAAAGAACGGATGTACAAAAGGAGGGTTGACTATAATTTTTGTCGTCCCAATTATGAATAGTCAACAAAATTTATCAAACTTAAATTAACGTAGCTTGTTAGCAAAAACTGGTCCCCTGGGAACCTTCCGGGGTCGGTTATCTCTGACTTTTGGTGTCGATTACATAAATCTCATTCTTTTTCTTAGGGCATACTTCAATTAAGCCATACTCTTACCATATCTTTCCTTATTATCACAGCCCAAGTTTATTTTGGCTTTCTGCTTCCCTCTGCATCATTCACAATATGGACCATATTACTCTTTCTCACTGATACAATTGTTGTTCTTTAGCCATGGCCAAACCATCTTAGTAAATTTTTTCTCATTTTATCTCCAAAGAGTGCTATTTCAATCATTTTTAAAATGTAGTTGCTATCACGAATCCTACCATTTCTACTCTTATCACTAATCCATCTTCACATTCATATTTCGACCATATTCATTTCATTAACATATGGCAAATAAAGTTAATTATTCAAAATTGTTAGTTGAATATTATACAATAGAATATATAAAGACAACTTGATAATAATTATTTTATGGAAGTAATATACTAATATGTAACCTCTAAAACCAAGTTGTAAAGAATAAGTTAAATGAATCCCTATGCTTTTCTGGGTCCGAAGTTTGTTAAAGAAATGGGGAGGACGTGATTCACGACAGTTCAATATGAGGGCCTTTTAGGAGAATGAGAATGAGGAAGAATTAGGACAGAATGAAGGGCAGGACAAAGGCAGTATCCTGGTGATGCTTGTTCTCCGCCTTTGACATTCTGATACCAATTTATAACACCTTCACACGTGTCAACTGCTGGCATACAGGCTCTCTGAGCTCGCCATGTGTCCTGCCTTTTCACCATAATTGACGTAAGTAGGTAGAGTGTCCTCTGAGACGTCATTCCTCGCTTACTCCCACATGGCTGGCCCCTAATTCCAACGACCATGCTACCATCATCCCAAATCCCTGTATGAGGGTATGACACTATGCTATGGGGGTCACACCATAATCGTTGTGGTCAAGCTGCTGTGTGCACATGATCCTGATGTCCTGATCCATGTCAAGACAACCTGATTACTCAATATTAGTAAGATGGTCCTGGGCATGCTGCACCATGGTAGAGTGTGATCACTGTACTAGAGAATAGAATGCTAATACTTGCCTTCCCCAAGCTTAGACCGTGAATACAATGCTTGTGGTCTAGGATATGAGTTGAGTACCGTCATTGTTATTCTGTCGTCTTTTCTCGTGAGAGAAAGATAAAGGGAGACTGAGGTATGGCTTGGACGCCTTACTCGCTTCCCTGGGATGTTGATGGGTGCACATACCACAAGCCTGAGTTGGACCATAAGAGGTAACGTTCGTTGTCTAATTTGGAGTCTAAACTCTGAAGAGCCGTCCCTCCATACAGCAATGCGCATCTATCACCATGTGATCATTGTGATGCCTCTTTATATTGTAAGCATCACTCTATTTTCTCTCATCTCTCATTCCTTTATTTTTCTTTAGGCCTCCGGGGACTTCCACATCTTGCTGCACTTTATCATTTTTTCCTTCATTATGCTTTTGCTATTCTTCCCTTTATTGTGTAGCTTCACAGATGATTTTATACAGTCTTGTTGAGTGTGCTGTAATAAGACCTGTCATGTTATGTAAATTCCGTCATATATGTGCATATGTTGTCTTCTCTTTTATGCATTCTTTACACTATTACTGTATTCAGCTGTTAGATTTTGAGAGTATTTGCTCAATGGTGCAGGTCCTTCCTTGATACACAGTATAGTTTTCATCTTTCCAAGCTGAAGTTAAAGCTAAGATCTGGTATTATGACTATTATCTATCAAAAGGTTAATCTCCTTCGTTTTCTATATAAGTTGCTCACACGAACTTTATATAATGTAGTCCATTTGATATTATTATGCACTGGTCATTAATTTGCTTTACGGATCCCTAGATAGGGATCTATTCCTTTTCACTATGATCAGTCTTTACAAGCTGTCATTTGTATTCTACACGGTTGAAAAACTCCTATGGGGTGTTATGTGATAATCAGGTTGCTAGATAATGTTTCCGATAACTTGATTTTAACAAGGAGGAATATTTTGTTCTGGACTGCTCTTTTTATTTTTTTTAATAAGTAAAAATATATTAGAAAAGCGTTCAAAAGGGGAACGCGTCCCTAATACACAGAAACGAAAGACCTAAGGACCAACAGAGTCCAAAAGATCAAAAAAATCATCAATCGAGGAGCAAGCGCTGCCTCTTACATAACAGAAAAGAGAACGAAGAATATGAGATTTTAAGTTTGCTACAGACGATTCCTTTCCTTCTAAATTTCTGTTATTTCTCTCTTTCCAAGTACACCACCAAATAGTGTGGGACGATCGTCCAAAAATCATGAGGATGACCAGTAACAGGGCATCTTCTCCGAGCGTTAATTAATTGAATAGAATGCTTAGGCATTACCCACTGAACGCCAAAAATACTGAAAATGAGATTCCAACAATCAGACGCAACAGGACAATGCATAAGAATATGGTCCACGGATCACCATCTGTTTTACAAAGACAACACCAGTTAACAATGGTATTACCTCTCTTGCGCAGATTATCCAATGTTAGAATCTTTCCCCAAGTAGCAGTCCAAACAAAGAAGGCGACTCTAAGAGGAGCTTTAGAGCGCCAAATACACTTCCATGGGAAATCTTGTCCGGCAAATTTAGACAAGCACAAGAACATGGATCGTACTCCAAATCTACCATGAGTGGAGGGGATCCACAAAATGTCATCACAACCTCTGCCAACACCTTTCTGTCTATACAGCAGGTCCAAAAAAAACGCATACTTCTGCCATCTCCTAATCCTGAAAAGAACGCCTAGTTCTGGACTGCTTTTTTTAAAGGAGATGGTTATGTATAAGAAGACAATTACTCCTTATGTAGGCAGAAGAACAATTTGACAACTTGTATTCATTCCTTGCATAAGTCTTTTCGTGACAGTAGCAAGCTGAGTAGGGGTCGGCAATGGGCCGGGCTGGGCCTAAAAAATATGCCTAGCCAATGCACAGCCCGCTTGCTGGGCTTGGTGGCTGGCCTGGATGCCACTACTTGGGCACAGATTCGGGCTAATTTCGGTCTAATAGGGCCGAGATTAATTTGGACTCTAGGTTGACTAAAATTTGGCTAGTTTTTGGGCTACAATCAAGACTTTTGGAGCCAAATTGGACTAGTATAAATAATAATATAATATCATATATATATACATAATAAAATAAAGGTTAAATCACCCTAAACCTTCCCTGAGTTTTTTGAAGTTCTAAAAAAGATGTGGTCAACATCCCTTGAGATTTTCATGAAGTTACATATAGTCCCCTGTCATTACTTGGTCGTTAGGTCCATTAAAGTTGTTTGTTAAATCCCAAAAATGTCTTTATGTACAGAAAAATGACAATTATTCCCACTTAACAATGTGAAATGGCGATTTTGTCTTTTCCTTTTTCTCTCTCATCTCCATCACATACTTCCGTAAGCACCATCCTCTCCTTCATCAAGACCTCTTTCCCTCTCTCTCTCTCTCTATATATATATATATATATATATATATATATATATAGTAATAAATATATATCTTTTCATCTTTAAAGCAGCAGAAGTTACAGAGTGAGAAATCCACAATTGATGTGCTTCGATACACTAATTGAGGAATGTAGGACTGGCATCCAATGCTTTGATAGGTCAGATTATCGGTGCTTAGCTAGCCTTAGAGGGAGAGGTGAATAGGTCTCATGATTCATTGCGAATAACTTACTTTTCAAATCTTTATTAATCTTTTTTCAATTTTCAGTTGTTAATTGATCACACGTCTCTCAATTGTGATCACACAAAAATAAATTGAAGCAAAGATGCAAGATCTTTTACGTGAAAAAACCCTAGAAAAGGAAAAATTACGGGACATGGTTCAGTCATGAACAATCCAATATAGAGAGGGTTACAACTAGGTTGACCAGACTCTACCCCAAGAATCCTCTAGTTACCACATGCCAATACTCTCAGAAGAAGATCCTCCATGACCTTTCCTGCCATCTATAGACAAACTTAATCACTCACAAACTTGCTCTCCAATGTTTTTTCCATCCTTGATCTTCATAATTTCTCGGTTGATGCTTTATTTCATTCTCTCCGATGTCTCTTTGCTTTGAATCTCTCAATCACATATATAGAATAGTGTATGCAAACCCTTAATTGGATCTCAAAGATTTATTTTTCTAAAAATATAAATTATCTCATTAGATTGAAGAGAGATAAAAAAATTTACCCTAGACTGACTATAAGCCCATATATATAGCCAATATAGGAGTACTATGTGAAATAGGAGGATTAATCCTTTTAAAATTCTGTTTTGAAAGAGTTGTCAAAAATGTTTCGCGCCAGTTGATCAGTCGAGGACTGCTAGCATTGTTTTTCAATGGATTGACACCTCAATCAAAGCATTCTACACCTCACTAAAAACTTTTGGAAATTTTCAATCTATCGAGACTTTGATTGAACCTTACTGTTTTTGTAAAAATCCTTGTTTGAAATTTGCAAAATTGCAATTAATCTCTTTGAAAAGTCCAAGTCCAAAATGTTTCAAACAATATTAGAAGCCTTTTAAGGTTCATACCAAGATCATAAATGGTCTCTAAGGTCACACCTTTCCTTAACCGAGATATGTAATTGACGTTAAGAGATTTCTGCTATGTCTTCGTCGATCTTCATCTCCATCACCTTCTTGGTATTATAGACAAATGACTCATGGCATAAACACATATTACAACCCTAGTTTTGAGTAGAAATTTGACTACACGTGACTTAATAACCTAAAACAGAGCAAGAGAATTAAGAAAGAGTAATTAGTAACTTAATCAACTGTGCCGAGAAAGAGAATCAAGTGTGCTTGAGGCTGAAAATCAATATACAAACACAAATTAACCAGTTATATATATATATATATATATATATATATTGTCAACTGTAATACCAGCAGTAATCACCTAGAGACAGTAAATGCAAACAAATCTTACCTCCCTCTATCTCTCTCTCTCTATGTGACCATCAAACTGCATTGTTACATAGAGAGATACATATACATGTATATATATTAAAGATCCAATCTATACCTTAAAATAAAAAATGGGTGAGGAGATATGTGCATCAGCTTCTCGAACCAAAAGCAGCCCACCTTTCGATCAAGTGATAGTCTTGAGAGAGAAAATATATATACCCATTTTCAGAATTGAACTTTTCAGTGGTGACATTATTTTCATGCAAAACAAAGTAACTGTTTTCGTGTTCAATTTAATAATGCATATATATGCTTGAGGCACTACATTAATTGCAGTGTTCACTGCTACTTGAGTGATTGGAACTTGTCATGTTGTGGCCCGAATTTGGTGCCGGGTCGCAACGATTAGCTTTGTGTGGGTCGTGGACACTAATTAGTACCCTCTTGTAGCCCGATATATAAATGCGTTTAGGGTTTGGAGTGAGTAGAGATTTTGAGACACTGAAAATCGCAGAGAAAGAGAGTGGGGCTGAAACTTGTAGTCTCCTATTTTTTGCATAGTGAAGACTTTTGCCAGATCTCTACCGTGGATGTAGGCTTTGCCGAACCACGTTTAATTCTGTTGTGTTCTTTGTGTGTGGCTTGTTTATTTTCTGTTGTGACTCTTGGTATTATCTTGGGTTCACTGCGTTTTTCGTAACAGAACTAGTATAACAGCAGCATTGCATTTTAGTGCTTCCAAAAGGTTTAAGTGGTGCTACATATTTGTTTTTTAATGCTCAATTCACTTGTCTGTGTTGTATTTTTTACTCTTCCTGTGAATAACTCAAATCCACATATGAGCTATATATATCTTGTTCAATAAAAAAACGTTTATTCTATGAGGTACAATTGTTGAAAATTTATTCAAGGTTACTCTTTTGAATTTAATGTACTCTTGTGTATTTCTTTACACCTTTAGTTTTCTTTCTGTTACAGAACTTTATTGCTTATTTTCAATTTTCAACTTGCACATTCTTCAGTGCCTACGTGTTAGCCTAGCAGAACGGTCAGAATTTTCTGAAGGGGAAATTCAAACATTCATGTCTGTAGATGCTGATCGAACTCTCAACTTGTGTAGTAGTTTCATTGATTTGTGGAGGTATAATTTACTTTTGTAATTCTATCAAACTTTATACACACCATACATATTCCTTTTTTGGGAAGCAAAATAAAAAATATACCACTACTCTCAAAAGCATTTTTTATTTTAATATGGTTGTTTTTGGCTCAATGAATTTTTAGGTGACAGTTCAGTCAGTTGTCAATTTTTTATCAATGATAATAGATGACACATTAATGAAATATCACTCTATTGACCTAAAGCTTTCAGCATGTTTAAAGGGATAATGTAATGGCCTACGCGGCTTTCTTTTATTTGCCAACTCTCCTCTCTCTCTCTCTCTCTCTCTCTCTCTCTATATATATATATATATATATATATATCTTTCTTTCTTTCTTTTTGAGTGTGTTGCGTGTGTGTATGAAGGCCTGGACAGGATGCCTTGTAAGATTAGTAAGAAGCCATGTAGGATACTTCTAGTGTGCATTTCTGGCGATCAGCTAATGCAGATGCCAACAAAAAAATTGATTTTTAATTACAGAAATCATATCATCTTTGCGACTGTTGGGAACACTAAATCATGTAGAACAGTTCTGCCTAATGATGATTGGCTGTTCGGGGACCTATTATCCCCTTATCCGCTCATGCACGACCCTTCTTTGACACTTGCAGAAAATTCTCACTTATATTGACTAACTGTAATATATATATATATATACTCCCTCCATCCCAAAGTTGTTGGGTGTTTTGGGGATTCCAACTTTTTATGGTAGTGGGGTGAATTTTCAAAGTTACCCTTGCTAAAAGGCAAAAGAATACTCCGTAATTAGTGCACAAGTCAATGTGAAAAGGATAGTTTAGGTATATTATGCAAAAAATACATCCATTTTTGGAATGAGACATGTATTTTGGGACATCCCAAAATAGAAAGATGGACAAGAATTTTGGGACGGAGGGAGTATATATATATATATATATATATTTGTTCTATTGTGTTGATCTAAGGCCCTCCAAAAACAAGCAAACTTGTGACATTAAAAAATGTAAATGTTAAATGTAGTATGTTACACAAGATTGAGCGCAATTTTTTTTTCCCTATATCTAGACTCTAGATTGAAGGGTTGCACCTAGTGTTTGTGGAGAGCAATACGTTTGTCTTTACGGACAACTATACAGGTGTAGGTGTAATAATTTGACAGGTCCTTTGCATAAAGTTCCATGAAGACCTTTGCCTTGAGGATAATGTTATATTCAGCTTGTAACATTGTGATTTAGTTCCGTGTTGTAGTTATTTCATAACAGTTGTTGGGCTAAGCCTTTTAGGTGTCATTGTCATAAATATGTCCTTTCTAGGCATGGACTTTCCCTCTCTTGAATCTAATGCATTATTGTTCATTCCCCCCTCCCTCCCCAAAACCCAAAATAATAATAATAAAAAATAAAATATATATATACATCATTGCTACCTTGTTGATGTACACTTTGTATAATTCAATACATAAATGCTATAACCAGGGGAAGCTTTCATGGACACATTTTCTAAAAATTCTTTGTGCATAAATGCACCCTAAACTTCCACATAACACAGAAGTGGCGGTGGCCTACCTGGGTTGTAGTTGGGTCATACTGAGCAAGTGCCCAACTTTGGCATGTTTTATCACTTGTAATTGTGTAAGTTATGAAGCTGATGTCAGGGCTCTCTGTCCAATCAATATTAGATCTTGTTGCAAGCTATAGGCTTGATTTAGTAAAATTTATATATCAGTACTTGATGTCATGGTACCCATATATGGTTTCTTTGTATGGTAGCCACTAGGTTTTCCTCGCTGTGTATCATAAATCTTGGCAAGCCTATATAATTATGATATTAACAATTTGTATTTGATTCTTTTGAACATTATAATTCTCTTGCATTTTTTTCAGCTTGCCTTTACAAATTGGAGGAGCATTGTATCTACTGTATACACAAGTCAAATATGCTTTTTTGTCCGGAATCACAATAACCATCTTGTTAATACCAGGTATAAGTATGCAATGGTGATTAACTTATCACTAAAACTGTGATAAGCAGATCGTACTTGTTCTGATATCAGATTTTGTACTTATAATACCCATTCATTCTTGTGCGTGTGCATATCTGCACATATACATGCATATATATGCATGCTTGCATCTATGTATGGTTTTTTTAATCTAAAATTGGTCATTTGGACGGACAAAATCATGCATTGGTTCTTATGTGGTACAAGGCTACCAGACTTCAAACATTTATGGAAAAAGTTGCATAGATTGACACCTATCAATAAAACCCATATGCTTATGCCTAAATTTAGTACTGCTAAACAGAACTTACTAGCATTATTATTGTCAAATGAAGGATTAAGTACCAAAAACCTAGGCTCTGTTGTAGAGTAAGCGCAATGCCCAATCTAGACCTAGAGGGGGAATGAATAGGTCTTGAAAAACTAATTACCAAACTTTAACTAATTTTTAAATTAAAACAGACTATAACTAAAATTTAATAATTAAGTAATTAACTAACATAACTAAAAAGCACTTCCAGCAATCTGTCCATCATACATGTAAAATAACCTCACACTCCTTGACTCTAGGGAAAAATATGTTAATCTCTAAGGTTACTACATTCTTTGAGCCTAAAATTCTGAATGATTTTCATTTAACAATTTCTCAAAATAACTTTTCTATCATTCTTTAATTTCATCATCTTTTACTAAAACCCTTGAATCTTCACTCTTAGTGCAGTTAATATGCTCTAGTTTTCCTATCCCTTAGTTTAACAAGTTCATATATATTCTTTTCCCATCCTTTATGCCTAGTTTAGAATAAAAAGCATCATTTGCTCTATATTTTGCTTCGCTTCCTTCTTTTTTAACTTTCTTATTGACATTTTTGTAATTTTCAAAGGTTTCACTAATTCTAATTTCTTTCCAAGCTTTATATCATGGGATATTTTAGCTATCTAATAAATTAACTAATCGAGATTCCTATGTTTGCTATGGTTTCTTTTTACTTTTCCTAGTATGTGATAGAGCTTGATGAATACTTCGTGTAATTTCAACGCATCTCCATCTTCAATCTTCACTTATCACCACCAGTTCTATGTTGTGTAACAAAACAACTAGGACGAACTTGCACATGAAGTTTTGGTTCAACTACTACCAAGTCGCATGCTCGTAAACTTCTGTTTCAGTACAACTCAGCTTGCTGCAAAGCCTTTATTTCTCGTCCAAACACTCCAGATATGCACTCTTTGTTTAGGAATTTGCCAGTACTAGACTTGATTTCCTAACAACATCAAGTTGCCACAACCCCATGGCAACATTGTATATGATCAGCAACCTCTAGAGATCTAGGCTGACACACTAATTTCATGAACCATTTATAGAGAAATCCCCATCCACACCTTGTTGAACTTGTAATAGTGTCCCCATGTCACATTCCAATTTGTAGACTTTCTATTTCCAGGACCGGAGGCAAATCTCTATTAACATTATAGATTTATTATGTGCAGTGAATAAATGGATTGCTGAATGTATTGCAAGTGCTACCAAGAAAATGATGGAGCAAAAGGACGAGAGGTATGTATATTTTATAGGAGTTTGCAATAATAATAGGACATTGTTTTGCTTCTAAATTTCAATGCTTATTACCAACTCTGTGGTACGTCTTCCTCAAGATACCAAAAGACTAATATATCTTAAGGAAAGAACCAAGATACTTAGGTTGGTAAAGTTCACATGCAAATTGATTTTTTCTCCTTGTGATGTTGTGGCCCAAATATAGTTCTGGGCCGCGCGGCCTGGTTTCAACCCGTCGACCCGATGATTGATGCAACATAATTAGAACTCACTAGTTAGGGTTTTTATTTTTCACATTCATGCAACAAAATTAGAACTCTCAACTTACTGTTAATTCCACATTTCCACTGTGTTTTCTGGATGTTGGGGTGCATGGCCTCTTACTATTCCCCCTAAATCTCTAATTAGTTTGACTCATAATCTCTATATTCTAACACAATTACTCTTTGGCAGGATAAGAAGGACAGGAGAACTTTTGACATATATTCGCACTTTGAAAATGTATGGCTGGGAGCTCCTTTTTAGTAGTTGGTTGATGGAGACAAGATCCTCAGAAGTGTTACATTTATCAGTAAGAAACTATGCTTAGTTCGTAAGAGTGATTGCAATGATATAACAATATTTAGAATGTCCATACTCTTCAAACATTCAATCTTAATTTTTGACATTTTTTCTATTAGACGCGGAAGTACTTGGATGCATGGTGTGTATTCTTTTGGGCAACAACACCAACTCTTTTTTCTTTGTTCACATTTGGAGCTTATACATTGATGGGGCATCAACTTGATGCTGCGACGGTATTATAACTTTCTTCAGTAAATATGTTTCCTTGGTTTCAAAATTGCATTCAATATCGTTTTAACGGTATTGCCTTCAATAATATTGTCATGTTAATTGAGACAACTGATGTTATTTGCAGGTGTTTACTTGTCTTGCTCTGTTTAATAGTTTGATCTCTCCACTAAATTCATTCCCATGGGTTATTAATGGTTTGATTGATGTGAGTAGTCCCTTTCCATCTGACTGTTAAGAAACAACCATTTCTTTTCATTACCAATTGGTTGCAATTCTGCATATTTGCTTTGTTATTGCAGGCCATTATATCTACCAGGCGGTTGAGCAGGTTCCTCTCCTGTCCCGAGTATGAACTTGAAGTGGAACAGACTATGAATCCACCATCATCATCATGCTCCACTGATGAATCTGTTTTCACTTTTGAAGATTTGGCTATTATCATCCGTGATGCATCTGGTGATTGGTCAAGTGGCAAAAATGAGGAACGAGATTTTGTATTGAATCATGTTACTTTGGGCATTCCAAAAGGTTCCTTGGTTGCAGTAATTGGAGAGGTCAAATCTTTGCCCCAAGTTCTCCACCATACTGTTTTTTAATTGATAAGTCCTGCACACAGCGCACATCCCTCAGCCTTTCCACCCTTGTGGAACATGAATTTCCCCTCTAGAATGGGAAAGAGTCCTAAGGATAATTGCACTTGAAGGAAGTATACTTTTTTTGAAAAACAAATGGCACCAGTTAGAAATTCAAGAGGACTGATCATAGAACTCCTTATAAAATTACATGACTGGAAGGGAAGCTTGATAGACACAACAGACAGTTTTGCAAGTACCTGACAACCTGTCCTATTATCTTGGGCAGACAGTAGTTATAAAGATGATATGGCACTCACAATGAGCAGGTGAGGTAGTCAAAGCACCCCCAAGAAATCATTGAGGATGCTGGAGTGGGCACATTCAGCGACACGCAAGCTGTTCTTGGCAACTGTAAACTACAGTAATAGGGAAGTTCGAGTAACAAATATATCTTAGATTAGAACTAAATAGAGCGTAGTTAGTGGATTGAAGTCCGTATTTTCAAGCCCAGAGCATATGGATTGACTAACAAGGAGGGATGGCAATCTGGCCCACCCTAGCCTTATTGGGATTGGTTTGGGGGGGAATTTAATTGGTGTCGAGGCAGGTATGAAAGAAAAAACTTAAAATCCATGAAGGGGTCACCCACCCAGTTTATGTTCTGGTTTACATAAATCCCCTTATATTTCATCAACCATTCAACCCTTAACCCCCTTTTTTTGTGTCATTTCCCCCCATTCAGCCTTCTCTCTCTTTCGGACCCTGCGTTGATCCTTCTCCGCCAACATGGTCTTCTCTTAAATCATGCTTATCATCCTTCTCCACCACACAGAACCAAACAACGTTGTCGTCTTCCTGATGTAGCATTTACATTTCATCTGTTGATTAAACGGGTTTGTATTATAAAACAAAATATCTCACAAAAGTACATAAGAAGAAGAGGGCACAAAATATCTGTTGATCAAAGCTTTTTTTAGTCCTCTCCACATACGAAAAGTTTTGTTGCTGTATCATTTATATATATTTCATATGTATTTTGTTGTCCTTGGTGGTGTTTGTCTTGGAGTTGTTGGTTGTGAACATTTTGTGCAATGGTTAAAAATGATGTCTTCTTCTCTGCAGTGAAAGAGGTTCTAGTGGATTGAGGGAAGTAAGAGGGTGATGGGGAATGGTGTTGGAGAATGAGAGGTAAAGGCGGGGACTTCCATAGATCTGGTGCCCATGGAAAATCCAAGGTCATGGGTCCAACTAGTTTCAATGGGGTTAGGCCTAGACAAATCAGCAGAGGAAGGATAAAGGTAGGAACAGGTCAAGGCATCTTTCATGGGGACAAAAATCAGACTCACCTGGTCTGTTCATGAGCAGGTTTGATCTTGTAAACAAAGGGTCACAGATTTACTGGACTAGGAGGGCTATTTTTCATAGACTCACAGCAGAGTGGTTATTTATTAGTGTGAGACGCCTCATCAATAAGACCTTGTCATATAATTAATGGAAGAGAGATAGGCTTGTTTTGGTTAAGGAGAGGTATCAATAATTTCTCACTTCAAGTTAGGTGGGAGCATCTCATACCAAGGTTGTTTCTCCATATAGCTTGCTCTTTAGCCACCAATCCAAAAACCTTCCTAGAGGATCCCTTGAGACTCTCTCCACATGAAGGTTGTTTTGGTATCCTGGTTTGTGGAACCTTTTGATGCCTTGCTCTTAGCCTGTGTACAGAATGTTGGATGTAGTAATTTGTTGAGAGCAGAAATTTGGAATTTATCTGTGGGAAAAAATTTCTTGTTTTTAGGTGGAGAGACTAATCTGAATTCTTCAATGTTGTCCGTGGGGAAGAATTCGTCTTTTGTGTAGATAAGGTTTATTTGAGGTGAAAAACTCCTTACAATTCATGGTCTGACTTACAGCCACCTGACCACTGTCCTGCACTGATGATTTTCATTGAAGCTATAAATGCCTCCATTTTTCTTAAGCTAATTCTCCCCTCAGAATGGTGGGGGAAGAACTCCTTGTTCTTTATGTTGGAGAGTTAAATTTGTGGATGAGAGCTCTTTCTCTTCGAGGATTATCTGGAGGGAAGAACTCCTCATTCTTCATGTTGGTGAAGTTTATCTAAGAACTCCTTGCATTTAAGGTTTATTGGTGGGACAGAACTACTCAATGCTTTGTTGTACAGACATAGTCTATCTATTGGGAAGAGATTCTCACCCTCTGTTAATTTTTGCATTATAAGGTTCTTGAGAAGGGTTACCTGTGAAGTTTTAACATTTATCCCTACTTTGGTAGTCTCTAAGAGTGAGATATTTTGATTGTGGGCCTTATGCAAATCCTGACGAACGACATAGCCACATAGGACACACCATCATCACAACATGGCCCTTTCTATGATAGTCCTCCTTCCATGTGGCCTTAGCATTGTCATTGTCCAAAGTCCTCCTCCCGAGGAATGATATTTTGATTGTGGGCCTTATGCAAATCCCGATTAATTCTTGAAGGGTATGATGGTTAAATCGTAAGATTGGCATTCCCTTTGTTCTTCATTTCCTTTCTAATCTAACAAACATTACGTGGAAAGGATCTTTCCCTTTTCAAGGTATGTTTCTTCCATCCCTTTCACCTTCTTCTCCTTAAAATTTTTCATCCTTTGCAGGGTATGATGCAACTAATATCAACTGCCTTGGTATTGCCTAGATGCCTGTCTAACTGGTTTGGCCAAAGACAATTTTTGTTTTTCAGTGACACTTCTAACTATATTGATTGTAGCATACTTTCGAAATGTTTTGTTTCTTCGTAAAATAAATGTGATGGTGTTAAGTTTGTTGACAAAACTTTTGAAGTATTCTTAGATAATACCAAATGGAGAAAACAACATATACACAATTTGGCCACTTGAGTTTCAATGTCTGGTAGTATTGACCTCATCATTACAATGAATGTTCCCATTTGCAGATCTGTTGCATCCACCTTTCTGTTACTAATCTACGTGTATTCAGGTTGGTTCAGGTAAATCATCCTTGTTAAATTTGATTCTGGGAGAAATGAAGCTTACCAGTGGTTTGATACATACAAGTGGATCTATAGCATATGTACCACAGGTTATACATTTGCCCTAGAAAAGGCTTCTATTTTTTATCTACATTCTTCTTAATACAATCATCTTATGCTCTCGTGTGCCATCTGGAGCTGTAGGTCCCATGGATTCTTTCTGGAACATTCCGTGATAATATTCTGTTTGGAAAGGATTACGATCCAAGAAGGTGCAATTCCATAAACGTAAAAATAGAAAGGATGAGTTGTTTTGGTATATTTTATTCCAATGCCTTTGAGTTCTTTCCACCACTGTCTAATCTTATTCCTTAAAATAATGAAAATTCTTAAAAGCTTTAGATATGTGAAATTCTCCCAAAAAAAAAAAAAAAAAAAATTGAAAAACAAATATTAAAAGCTTTTTCTGATTCTTTCACCTGTGGATGTGTTTTATTTTTACTTTGAACAGATACTCAGATGTATTACAGGTGTGTTCTCTGGATGTTGATATTTCACTGATGGTTGGAGGTGATATGGCTTATATTGGAGAGAAAGGAGTCAACTTATCAGGTGGACAGAGAACTCGTCTTGCTCTTGCCAGGTAATATCATATATTATACCCATTGTGACTAAATTATGGAGGAGCAGCTTGAAGTACTTTCTTTAATCTTTTGAAAGAGTTGTTGATCTGTACAATGGACAGGGCTATCTACCATGGATCCGATATTTTCATGCTTGATGATGTACTTAGTACAGTGGATGCACAAGTTTCTTGCTGGATTTTACACAACGCCATTCTTGGTCCTCTTATGAACCAACAGACACGCATTCTTTGTACCCATAATGTTCAGGTTAATTCTCTGAATTTCTTAGGAGGTTACTGAGATGTGTTTTGCTCAATGAAACCCGAATGAAAGTTCAGATTTGTCTGCTTATACTAGTATGTAATCTGATTTGACTATGAGCCTCACAACATGAATCAGCATCTTTGTTCATGAAAAATATTTCAATTTTGAAATGAAGTTGCAAATTCTTCTTATGCATTTGGCAGGCTATATCTTCTGCTGATATGATTGTTGTAATGGACAAAGGACATGTGAATTGGGTGGGAAGTTCAGCTGACTTATCAACTTCTTCATGTTTTGCATTCTCTTCACTGAAAGAATTTAATGTATCTACTCAAGTTCAAACCCAAGAAATTAGTTCAAACACTTCTTCTGAAGCCATACACAATGTTGTTCAAGAGAGTGATCGTGCACATGTTTCTGAGGTAGCACAAGAGATAATTGAAGACGAGCTAAGGAAAGAGGGCAGAGTTGAACCTACCGTGTACAAGTGAGTAGTAACAATTTTCAATATTTCACAGCACACATGTTGTTTGAGATTTTGAAGGTTGGGGGAGTGTATTTAGGGTGCTTATTCTTCTTTTTAGATGTCATTCAATTTGTTTATCAATTATGCTGCAAGTTTGTTAATTCTCATCTTCCACAGAAATTATGCAGCATTTTCGGGTTGGTTTATTACGATTGTAACATGCGTCTCAGCAATTTTAATGCAAGCTTCTCGTAATGGGAATGATCTGTGGCTGTCATATTGGGTTGATTCTACTATGGGAAGAAATTGGAAAGAGTATCCCATTTCTTTTTATCTGGTGAGTAGTCCTTTTGTTTTACCCATATTGGTTATACTCTAGTATTTTATTTTCACTTTTCTCGAATCTATGATAGGTAGTGAACTTCAGCTGCCTTGAAGTATATTCAGGACCATTGATTTATTCCAGAACATTTTCTTTCATATTTTAACATTCCTTTTTTAGGAACACTTGGATTCAGAATCCTTGGAGATACAAAGTGATTATCTTTCTAAATGGCTTTCTTCAACTAATATAAGCTAGTGTTGGAAAATTGTTTGATAAACGGAAGACAGCGGGTTAGGGCACGTTTGACACTGCTGCTGAAATAAAAAAAACACTTTTATTAGAAGAGTAACCACAAAATTGCTGTTAGTAAAATGCATGATAGGTGTTTGGTGATACATTATATAAAGTACCTTTCACAATTAAAGTACTTTTTAATTTGTTTGGTAACGATATTTTTAAAGCACTTTAATTGCTAATTTTGCAATATTTTTAATGGAGTGTTAGTATATTTGATAATAGTAGGACTTTATAAAAGATGAGGTAAAATTGTCTTTATGTATAGAAATTAAAAAGGATAAAATTGTATAAGGAAAAACAGTTACCTAAAATATAGAAACTCTAGTCAGGATGCAGTTTTAAAAGCTAAAATTTTTTGTTTCATTCAAAAGGTCTACTGAGATATAATCTCTACCACGTCAAAGTTCTTTTTTGGTTACCAAATACATTAAAAGCAATATTTTAAAATACAAAGTGCTTTTAAGTGGTCCAACAGCAATCCAAAACGGACTCTTAGTCTAGTATTCTTGGTGAAATGAATACTACTTGCTATAGAAATGGTTGTTTTGAACATGGATTGAATAGTCCTTGGAGAATGTTTTATTGTAGTCTTCGTTTGAGAATGGCTTGTAACACTTCCATTCTAATCATAGAAATATTATTGTGAGAGGACTTTGAATGGATCTTTTGTCTTTGTATTAGGTGCAGGTATTTACCACCACGTTAATGTTTCTCCAGCATTGCATTGTGTAAAGCTGCCATTGTAATTAGTAAGCTAGTGGCTTGTGACACAAGAAACACTTTAACTTGCACTGATACTTGCCTCAATGCTTTCCCTGTCATTAGGCTTAGACTGCCACCAACGATCTTTGCATTTGTCGTGCCACAAGCACCTCTCTCTATCATTGTGCTCGTTGTCACTTAGGTATACCAACCTTCTTGTGCTTCTGGTCTTCCACCTTCGCCGTGATCCATCCTTGGTCATCCCACCTAACATCATCAAGGCACTTCACTGTTACCATGGCAGATGCCATGTTTTTAGGCTCTTGATCATGGTCAGATCCTCGATGGCCTCGGGGTAAAACTGCCGTTTAAGTGCTTGTTTAAACTCATCCTGAGTCTCAATGGCTTGGGTGCCTTTACCTATGTAGAGCTGCCTTTTCAAAAGCAGCAGTGTATTTGAAATACATTGTTGTTGTATGCACCTTCAATATCATCCTCAATTTTATGTGCTAGAAAAAGAAGTCGGTCTGGGAAGCATCCCTTGCCCAATCATATGGATTAATCTCTAACTAGACAAACCCCTCTTGCACTCAGTGAGCTCCTCTTGCAAATCATCCAGTTGTTCTTGCATATTTACACTCCCTTTGCTCTCTTTCTCTGAGAAGGTAATTAGTAGTTCACGAAACCCATTAGCTTTCCTCAATAGAGCGCACTTGTTCATGCAAGTCACTGAGCTTCTTCTCTGCCTTGGATAGTAGAGGTTCCCTGGACTGTAGCCAGTTCTCATTCCAAGGCATCCATACGTTGCTTTATTGCTGTCCTTGGTATTCACAATGCTACAGACTCCAACTCTGAGGACTCTCGTGCTTGGGACCTAGTTGGAATGAATGAGAGTCCCTAACTTTATATGGCCATCACCTCCACAATGAGTGGCTTTGATTAATTTTGATCAGTGGCTTAGATCTATTCTCTAGAACTCTCCCAAAATATAAAAGGTCTACAACTCTCTCAAACTATCTAATATATTTACAAACAAGAATCTTCTACCTTCTAGAATTCTCCATGCTAGGTCTATATAAGTGTAGGATTTTTCATATACTAGCCAATAAGCATACTATGCTAATGCCATGCAATTGCCTAGTGAGTGCACATGTGGCGCCTGCATAGTTCAACCTCAACAAAAGTTGATGGGGCATGACAGCATGCTTAGAAAGTTAGTCACAAATAAACAGACTTAAGAAAATGATAATTCTTTTTCCTACATATCTGTCACGTTTAGGCAATTAATATAATATGAATGAGACATTACTCTTTCTCCTTTATTGTAATATCTCACTTTTGAAGTGCAAAGAAAAAGCAAGGGGACTCTTGGCTGAAAAGAATATATTTGTTGTGGTTAACTTTTGTCATTGTTGGTACAGGTTGTACTCTGCATATTCTGTATCGTGAATTCCTTGCTAACACTAGTGAGGGCATTCTCATTTGCATTTGGTGGCTTACGTGCTGCTGTTCAGGTGCACAACAGACTGCTAAATAAGCTTGTAAATGCACCTGTTAACTTCTTTGATCAGACACCGAGTGGAAGAATACTTAACAGGTAACATATAATTCCTTCAAGGGACTACTCCACTTTTGATTGTGCTATTTTTCATATTGAATATGTTCTGTAGGTTGTCTTCTGATCTTTATACAATCGATGATTCCCTTCCATTCATTCTCAACATTCTCCTGGCTAATTTTGTTGGCCTCTTGGGGATTGCTATAATTTTGTCATATGTGCAGGTAATTTACTAGAGCCTTTTCACTGTTGGTTTGTCCATTTTAGATGTTCCATAATTTTTGCCCAGCATCAAAATACCATTCTAAAAGTTTGTGTTTAGGTCATGTTTTTGCTTCTATTATTGCCGTTTTGGTATATCTACAGCAAATTGCAGGTAATCATTATATCTTTTGTATTAGTTTTGACATTTCTAGCATATTATAATTCAATGCATCAATTTCAACCTATAGTGTTTAATTTTTGTTTATCAAGTTTTGCATGCAAAGAGGATGGGAGAGAGAAGGTAATTTTTTGGTTAAACTCTTAAATGGCTCTCAATATCTGGAGATGATTTAATTGATATGTAAATTTGTATATGTGTCTAACAATTTTTTTTATCATTTTATTTGTTTTCTTTTCCTTCCAGTTTTGAGCTACCAGGTTATGGGTGGGCTTTGGGCTAGAAATGAAAAAGGGGGGAATTTTTTTTTCTTTTTTTTTTTTGTACAGAGGAAAGCATGTATGAAAGCCACAAGCACAGCTCCCAAAAAGGTTTTTTTTTAACTGCATTTTCCTTAAAGGATAAGGAAAAATGCTGGGAAAATATGTAAGCTTCATATATTCTAATGAACGTGGAAGTTTTCCTAACTTAAACTACAATTGAACTAATCATTATTCACAACTATTTAGTACCCATAACGTTATTCCTGTTCTGCCATTTTGTGCTGTGCAACATCTTAATTTACTTAAACCACAAGTTGTCATATTTTAATTTTGGTCCTCCCTTTAACCTAGCAGCAGATCTATTTTACTTGAACCACAAGTAGTCATATTTTAATGTTGCTCCTGGGGATACTGAATTCCTAGGGTTCAGAATTACAGAGTTGATCTTCAGTGTGCTTAAATTATTGAAAGGGGTCAATAATATAACTTTTAAGCTACCTTTATGACATTTTTTGGGTAAGGAGCTTACTCTATAACTTGATTTTAAGTAACTTCAATCAAACTAATTTATTAGATATCAATCATCATCAAAGGAAAGAATATTATTTTGACATTAAATTTATGGAAAGGGTTCAACAATATGGTTTTTATGCTTGCTTTATAACTTGGTTGATACATTTTATGAGAATGATTTCGATAATCGCATATGATAAGTAACTTTTATTGAATTAATTTATTACAATCGTTGCAGGGAAATAATTTATTTGGACTTTTAGGTTGTCATCTAAGTCAAAGGTGCTTGCAGTTTTATTACAGGTCAACATCACGTGAATTGCGAAGGCTAGACAGTGTGTCTCGTTCACCCATTTATGCATCATTTACAGAGACACTAGATGGATCCTCAACTATAAGGGCATTCAAATCTGAGGTAAGCATATGGATGTTAACAGCCTGTTATTGCTTTCAAATGGCTTATCACTATTATAACATGTTTATTTGTTCCCTTTGAGTAATTAGGTATCAGAACACACACTCACCTAAATAGAACCAACCAGCAAAATATCCAGTTCTTATGAAGTTCAGCCATGGTTTGAAATATCAGTGGTTACGGGCACGACTTGCCCGGTAACAACGGACTCGGCCAGAGTTGATCCCGACGAGTTGATCCCATTACAGACTGATATATCAGTGCAAATGAAAGTAAAATGTGACTCGGAGAGGCTTGGGAAAACTCAGAGAGAGAGCCAAATTGACGCTGTAACGGCCCAGTTATTCCTTTTTAAGTTGCCATAGTCAATCATGTCCATTTTTTCCCATTCTTTCTTTCTCTAACAGCCCTCTCACGTCTAAATTCATTCTAAATCCTAAATTTGCAAATCAAAACTCAAAATAATAATAAGATCTTCTGCTAAATCTTGGATCAAACCTCGTAAGTTTTTATTTATATTGGTTTTTCTATTAACTTGGATCTAACATGGAAGTGTTGTTTAATTCTTTATGAGTTTTATGTCATAAATTTTCATTTATTTTATGTTTAAATCTCTTTTGCCTCGTTAATTTAGTAAAAAGCGTAAATTACTAGGCCTTTAATACCCACAACGAGTTAAATTTCATGTACTAACAAATATTTATTATTAAGTGATATTTTAAAAATTAAAAAATACGAAAATTCATTAAAATGATATATTTAGTGGATTATGTAGTAAAATGTTCAGTATCGGTACGTTTTGGCCTTTATGCATGCTTGAAAAAAATTCACGACCCTAAAAACTGATTTTATTGTATTTTACCCAATTCGGGTCCGCACCATTACACTATGTCCGTCTTTGAACCATGAGTTCAACGAAAGGCTGAAAGTTTGTAACTAGTTATTAATGTTAACGTTAGGCACATTGGAAATGGCTGCACATATGATTAATAGGAAAAGTTGAAACTTATAACATCTGTTTGTTGACAGTGAGTGTTTGCCTAATTCTTCATCCATATTGAAAATTGATTGTGTCTTTATTTATTTATTTTCTGAAGGAAGTTCATTTGCTCCTCAGTAACTCAACTCTTTCCTTGGATCCTTTTATTTTGCTTTGACAAGGGTGAGAGGTCTATAATTTTGTGTTAAGACTATCAGTCAGTGTTGCAATCTTCACTCTAAATCTTGGTTGTAATGTGTGGCAAAGTCTTGAATCGTTTGTCTACAACCACAAAAAATGATAGAGATGGGAGTTTAGCGAAGAACACAGTGCACATTCCTCAAGACTCAACAGAAGTAATATCGGGACAAGTAACCGTAAGATAAATCAATTTTCCAACCAGGCGCCGGTGTTGCCAACATCAGCAAACAATTCCCATCTTCACCATCATGTTTGACCTTAGAGTCCATAGGATTATCAACCAATCGAGCACCTAAGAGACCGGTCTCAGACAAAAAATCAAGGACATATTTCTGTTGAGACAGTGAGATGCCCAGACAAGAATGAGCAACTTCAATACCAAGGAAATAGCGAAGAGCACCCAAGTCCTTGGTATGAAAATGTTGACTCAAATGTCGTTTCAACTCTGTATTGCCTGCTAAATCACTCCTAGAGATAATAATACCATCGACACAGACAATCAAGACAATAGTACCAGGAAAATAGAGACAAACATACCAACTAGGGAAAAAAAATTAAAAAATTAGAGACAAGACAAACACAGAATGAACAAAAGTAGAAGTAGTGCACTGGAAACCAAACTCAATCACCACATTGCTGAATCTATCAAACCAAGCATGGGGAGACTGCTTTAGATCGTAGAGAGCCTTTTGCAGTCGACAAACTAGGTGTTCACTACCAGCAACAATAACCAGGTGGTTGATCCGTATAAACTTTCTCCTGCAGATCAAGATGAGAAGGTGGGATTTCATGACTATTTTAGAGCCTGATTTAACAAAAATCTTCCCGAATTATTCCAATTTATTTGATACTTGATGGACCTTCGAATTTGTTTTAAGAGAGGCTAAGTTGGTGCAGTGGTAAAAGTCCAGTTGTCAATTGTGAGCCTACATGTTTGGGTTTGTGAGCGGCCACTTCATTCAAATTAAGTCAAAAATTATTCCGAGCACCCCAAATTGACTGGACAGTAGTATTTTGCCTTTTTTTTAAAATTTTTCTTTTTCTAGGAGACTAAACTGGAGAACAAAGGGCTTTTCGGGAGGGGTTTATTGCACAAAAATGCCTAAACTCCGCATTTGTTTCTATTTGAAAATTAAACAAATCAGATGGTTCTATTTCTCAATCTTGTCAACCTTGGTTCTGTATTGAACCAATTTATACCTTTTGTTGACAGGAATTTTTTGTGTCCAAATTCGCTGAGCATGTGACATTGTACCAGCGAACTTCATACTCAGAGATAACAGCAAGTTTGTGGCTTTCCCTGCGCCTTCAGGTGTGTCTTTGTTTTAGTTCCTTTTTATTTATTTATTTATTTATTTATTTTTATTTTCTTGATCTTCTTCAGATGTCTTGCAGAAACAGAAGAACCACATTACAATTTAAAGTAGATACCATTCCTTGGATGTATAGGATAGGGAGTGTATTGTGAACTCTTGTGTTGATCCTGCAACTTTTATACTCGAAAGTCCCAATCATCATCATCATCATCGTTGCCTTTATCCCTATATAAATGGGGTTGGCCACAAGTTTTTTATTTCTCCAATCGTTCCTATTACATGCTATTTCGCCTGCTATTTAGTATTTTAAAATCATTTTTAATAACCTCATCCCATGTTAATTTTGGTTGCCCTCTATGCCTCTTACCTTCTATTACAACTAGTCTTCCTCGCTTGACCGGTGCATTTCTAGGTCTCCAATATAGGTGTCCAAGCTATCTAAGTCTATTATCTCTAATTTTCTCACTAATGGGAGTCACCCCTAATTTATCTCACACTCTCGTTAGTAAGCTATCCCTCCTAGTCACTCCACTCATCCATCTTAGCATTCTTATTTCCGCTACTGGAAGGCGTTGCTCTTGTTTCTTTTTTAGGGCCTACACTTGCTCCATACAACATAGGTGGTCTAATAACGGTCCTATAGAATTTTCCTTTGATCCTATGTTTTGTTCTTTTATCATATAAAATTCCGCATGCTTGTTTCCACTTGGTCCAACCCGCTCCAATTCTTCTAGTTATATAACTCTCTAGTCTCTATCTCTCCATCCTCTTGCATGATCGATCTTAGATATCGAAAATGGTTGTTTTGAGTTTTTTTTTATTTTTATTTTTTTTATCAGTGAGTAATTTTATGGTTTTGAAGTGTTAATATTATGTTATCAATGACCGAGTCTTTATTAAATTTTGCACTCCATATACTCTATTTTAGTTTGACTAATTCTCAATCCTTTCAATTCTAATTTATCTCACACTCTCGTTAGTAAGCTATCCCTCCTAGTCACTCCACTCATCCATCTTAGCATTCTTATTTCCGCTACTGGAAGGCGTTGCTCTTGTTTCTTTTTTAGGGCCAACACTTGCTCCATACAACATAGGTGGTCTAATAACGGTCCTATAGAATTTTCCTTTGATCCAATGTTTTATTCTTTTATCATAAAAAATTCCGCATGCTTGTTTCCACTTGGTCCAACCCGCTCCAATTCTTCTAGTTATATAACTCTCTAGTCTCTATCTCTCCATCCTCTTGCATGATCGATCTTAGATATCAAAAATGGTTGTTTTGAGTTTTTTTTTTTTTGATCAGTGAGTAATTTTATGGTTTTGAAGTGTTAATATTATGTTATCAATGACCGAGTCTTTATTAAATTTGCACTCCATATACTCTATTTTAGTTCGACTAATTCTCAATCCTTTCTATTCTAATGCATTTCTCCACATTTCTAGTTTTGTTGCTAGGTTCTCTTTAGAAGTGTGTAAGAGCACTATATCATCGGCAAACGTCATGCACCAAGGAATCTCATTTTGGAACTCTTTTGTTATTTCATCTAAGTTTATAGCAAATAGATATTGGGCTTAACACCGATTCTTGGTGCAATCCTACATTTATGGAGTACTCACTAGTTTCAGCACACGTGATATGGACTTTAGTCTTTGTGTTCATGTACATATCTTGGATGCTTTTTATGATTTGTGAAGGGATTTGTTTCCTTGGTAGAGCCCACCAAATTATATCTTTTGGGACTCTATCACACACTTTTTCTAAGTCTATAAAGACCATATGTAAGTCTTGTTGCTTACTCCTATATCTTCAAACAATTGTCTAAGTAGGTATATAGCTTCCATTGTTGATCGAACCGGCATGAATCCAAATTGGTTATCGGATACCTTGGATTCCTTTCTTAACCTTTTTTATATTACCCTTTCCCATATTTTCATTGTGTGACTCATTAATTTAATTCCTCTATAGTTGCCACAATTTTCTATATCCCCTTTATTTTGTGAATTGGTATTATTGTACTTTTCCTCCACTCATGTGGCATCATGCCTTGTTTTGGGATGTTGTTAAATAACCTTGTTAGCCACTCAATTCCTACTTTACCTAGTGTTAGCCAAGCTTTCATGGGTATATTACTCAGGCCTACCGCTTTATTACTCCCCGTCTTCTTAAGTGTGTCCTCTACCTTCTTGTTGGTGATTTTATTTATCATTCCTTTGTTAACTTCATTCCTTTTACTTCTACTCTAAAGTCCCAATATGTAACCTTTATTCTTTGGTAGTTGGTAATTTCATACAATATCTTGAAGCTGATGTAATCATTAACTAACCAGTTAACCATGTTAGTTCTTAGCAGCATTTGTTATCTCATTTGTTGCTGTGTTGGCTGTTATTGGATCTCAAGGAAATTTGCCCATTAATTTTGGTACCCCTGGACTGGTATGTTCTTTAAGCCCTCAACTGTCTTCAACTTTTAGCCATCTCTGATTCCAATATTTTTGCCATTATAAACTGAACTCTTTGAAATACTGTAATAACCCTGACATTGTCACCAGCAAAAGATTCTAAGATAGCTTATTTGTCAATAGGTGGGCTTGGCTCTTTCTTATGCCGCTCCAATTGTATCTTTGTTGGGAAGTTTTTTAACAAGCTTCACTGAAACAGAGAAGGAAATGGTTTCTCTGGAGAGGGTTCTTCAGGTATGTATAGAAACTAATTTTAACCATTTATTTTCCCCAGAAATTAATGTGTTGATTCCTTGGCTCTAGTATATGGACATCCCTGAAGAAGATCTCCATGGATGCCAACAATTGGAAGTAGGTTGGCCACTGCAAGGACATATCGAGTTTCAAAATGTAACTCTGAGATATATGCCATCTTTGCCTGCTGCACTGCACAATATTACTTTCACCATTGAAGGAGGTACACAGGTAAGCATCTACTTTGCCTGATATGAGTACTTGAGAAATTTAAGTCATTTGACCATAAATCTGTCATGAATGTAAAACCTTTCCGATTATTTAAATTATCGATGCTTTGAGATTAGCATGCTTGTACTCAATCAGGTTGGGATAGTTGGAAGGACAGGTGCTGGGAAATCTAGTATCTTGAATGCAATTTTCCGCCTCAGCCCAATATGTCAAGGACGTATTTTAGTGGATGGAATAAACATTGCTGATGTTTCTGCGAGAGATCTTCGCTCACATCTTGCTGTTGTTCCCCAGAGTCCATTCTTATTTGAAGGATCGCTACGGTATTTTCCGGAACTTCGCATGTTCTTTGATAAATACTTGTTCATTCAGCATAGAGTATCAAGTGTCATATTTTTCTACTGATCTAATATGAACATTTACATTGTGAGTTATAGTTGATGATATTAACTATCTTAATTAATAAAGGCATCTGTTTCTATACCATGCAAATTCCAGGGATAATCTAGATCCATTCCGGGGGAGTGATGACTTAAAAATTTGGAAGGCTCTAGATAAATGCCATGTGAAGGAGGAAGTAGAAGCATCGGGGGGACTGGATATTCATGTAAAAGAATCTGGAAGGTCATTTTCTGTTGGGCAACGACAACTTCTTTGCCTTGCACGTGCACTTCTCAAGTCTTCGAAGGTAAAGAGTAAAATACACGTGCAGGCACACACACCACACCACACATATACGAGAGAGAGAGAGAGAGAGAGAGAGAGAGTACTGAAAATATTTAAACTTTTCAGGTACTGTGTTTGGATGAATGCACAGCCAATGTAGACACGCAAACAGCTTCAAAACTACAGGATGCCATAGCTAGTGAATGTAGAGGCATGACAGTGGTCACAATCGCACATCGCATTTCCACAGTTTTGAACATGAACAATATACTGATTCTTGATCAGGGGATCCTGGTATGCTTGCCATTTTGTCATCTTTTACAAGTGTTCTGTTACCTTTGAAAAAGCAATGCATTTACTAATCTTTAGGACATTGGAGATGGCGATATTGGGGATCTCATCAGGTAAAACTGACAATGGTAGAGTTAGCAGGTGGGGTATATTAGGTCAATAGGACTGAGTTGGCAAATCTCATAGATCAAAACATAGAGTATGTATTTTTTGTTTAATATATATCATAATTGGTATATCTTCCAAGAGTGTATTCATTGTAGTTCCCAAATAGTATATATATATGGGTTAGAGAGGGTAAACCTCTACACATAAAATTCCCAAAACTCATCTCTCTTCTTCTTCACATCTCTAACCCCGACCCTAATTAATCTTTGCCTTCTTTTACCTTTCAAAAAAAAAAAAAAAAAAAAACCCGACCCTAATTCCTATATCTGACCCTAACTCTTACAGCTAGTAAAGAGGCCAACCTTTTATTTCAGTTGAAATAAAACTTATCTTTTCTAGTAAAAAGGCCAACGATTTATTGCAGTTCATACAACAAACCCATTACTGAAAATCAAAACAGAACACAGAAGAGAGAGTTTCAAAATAATCTCCTGCAAACTGTTAGTGTTTCCTTTTGTCACTAGTCAGGCCTTTAATCATTCAATAGTCCCATCAGGGGGGTACTTGACAGCTTAGATGCAAACAGCATTCAAAAATGTTGTCTCGAGGAAAATTTGTGACCTCCTAGTGAGTTAAACGAGGACTGGAAAAACTTACCAAGTAAACTCCGAACCATCAGATGTGTGAAGTAGCACATGTTAACAACGGAATCATTTACTGCAGCAGCAAAATACCATCCAAATTACTCAATCAAGTAAAGAACAGGAAACGTAAATAACCACTGGAAACAAACACTTGAAACTGGGTTTCGTCACAGAAACAAGCATCAAAACTCCATGACAATGACAAACCAGCACGGTAGAGGATAAAATGCAGTCACACAGGCCATCCAGTGGTATTCAACACTATACAGATACGCCATGCACACATCTGTACAGTCGGTTTAGCATGGTCTAGACAAGCCATACCACTTCCAAGTTTCGTAGAGGCACGCTCCTATAGTCAAGTTCTTACCTGGCTAAGTAGTTATGTATAGTTTAATGTCCTTATGTTGCTACGGGCATATTGCAGTTTGTGTTTAATTAGCATTCATGGTCACTAATTAAATAAGTGTTTGCTACCAACAGGCCAGTGGCCTAGCGGTATCGGGCCCCTGCTTCTCAAAGAGAGGTCTGGGGTTTGAGCCTCATTGGAGGCATGTGTGTGAGTACCGACTAGGAAAAAAATAAGTGTTTGCTGCTACTTTTATCTTTTACTTTTTTGTGAATGAGTTCAATGCTACTTGAGTAAGAGAATTTTGGATCTTACTTTTTCTGCCCTTGTGTAGGTTGAACAAGGAAACCCACAGGATCTTCTACAAGACCAGTTGTCCAGATTTTCAGGTTTTGTTAAGGCGTCCACAATGTGAATCCTAACAAGGATACTGCTTGATCTCAGTGACATACATCTTCTCTGTGGTACTACAATGTGCCGGCATTTCTACTAACTCATGCAATCATTACAAGAGATTTCTGTTGTCAACCCAAAAATAGCTGGCGTCTTTGGACAACTCACCAGGATAGATTGTATATCGAGTAGACACTCTAGTATTTTGATATGTAGCAGCTGAAATCTTAGAACTGTTCAGCTTCCTAGTCGCAGCTTGGATTTTACTGAATCTCATCTTCAGCGGGAACCTTTTCTTAAGTTATACAATGGTATCTGGGGAAATTCTGCGAGATGATGATTTAAATTCAATATGATTAGAAAAGGTTTTAACCAGAAAAAAGGAAAGGAATGATTGTTCAACTAAGTTCAACAATGTGTAATCTATCTGAACGGTTGTTGTAACCGGTCATCTGAACTGTTGTTGAAAAGCACAAAAGCTGATGATTCTAGTAGTCGAAATTGGTCTTCCGGCCAATGCATTAACCAAAAGTTACTGTTGGAAGGGGTTATTGATGTGCTCGTCACCATAATTGGATGAGTATTAAAATGTCCAATTTTCTGAAAAAATGGGTATTTTCAGCCAGTTATATTCCTTGCGACAGTTGGATAACTAACTACTCACAGTGACTTGCTTGCCACACTCATATGGTGGGGTTTATCATGCAGGCCTCTCTTTGTCGGTTATCTTGACTGTCGTCGAGAAAATAAAAATATGACTGAACGGGTGAATGGACGATGATGAATCAAATTTCACAAAAACTTTTAAATGCTAGGACCCTCGCAATCTCTTTTCAGTTAACTTTATCAAATCACAAATCGAAATATGGCAAGTGCCGTATTAGGGTGTAATTTGTAAACATTATCATATGCATGGTTTGACAATGGTATTATAGTTTTAAGACTATGCTAGCATGTATCTGACAAGAAATCTATAATACTTTTAGGAAAACATTCTAGTACTATGATATACTAACATACTTTCAAGATTTCTCAACATTTCAAAAGAGAGTATTAGTATTTACCCCATAACTAATAGCATGTCTAGTATGTATAAAAAAATAATAAATAAATAAATAACCTTCAACTAGGCATGTCTTAAAACACTAACACATGTCACACTTTTGGAGAGAGAGAATAAAACCCTAGCGGAATTTTATTCAAGCTCAAATTATAGATGGAGAGAGGTCCTCTATAGTAATTGGGAAGAGAGAATACATTGAGTGCAAAGAATCTCTAGTTCGACTTCCGTTTGTATATTCTCTGAATTCAATAATTTTGGATCAATTAATTACAACTGAATGAGAAACCTGAATTAGTTACTTAAACTGCTTAATTCTTTTTTCTTTTTTTCTTTTTTTTTTTTTTTTTTTTTTTTTTTTTTTATCTTGACAAATTAGGGAGGAGACTCAAACATGAACACACTAAAACATAAACACACTAGAACTGAGCGCCTCTATTAATTAAGTTACTAATTAATACCCAACTACTTAATTCTTTATAAAAAATAATATATAATTAGACTTAAAATACTAACCAATTTAAAAGAGGAAGTGTTCACAAATGGACTAATTAGTGCCCTCTCAATCAGTTCCTTTTGGTTTTTTTTAGGTCTGGATGTCACTGTCATTTCTTTATAGGTTGGTAGAGAGGCCTAGAAGAGCCCCATACTTTCTTTTTAAGCAATATATGCCTCAAAAGTGGTAGTATTTCATACAAACAAGTGAGATAAAATTATGAAAAGCAAAAATGGGGTTGCCTTTTATTCACTTGTGTTTGTGATATTGCAAGAGTGGTCCAAGTTTATCATTTGTAATAAATTTTGGTTTTGACATCTGGTATGTCATTATAGGTGGTAAAGCTCCCAAAGTTACACGTGTCTGGATTCTCAGCATAATTGTTAATATATATATATATGTTTGGATAATATAATTAACATTCATTATAAGTAGTACAATTTACATACTATTGTTTTATTTATTCATTTTAGTGTATAAAATTAAGTGTTGGTTCTTGAGCAAAAAGAATTGAAGGCTTTTTAACCTACTCAACTTTTGGAACAAAGGACCACATATAGGTTAAACTTGTGAATGACACGTTAAAGATTGATTTATTAACATAATGGCTATAGTATATTATGATCAATATGTATGTGTGTGTGTGTGTGTGTGTGTGTATATATATGCATAGTTGCCAACATGTTCTCTCTCTATAGAAGGATCTAGAGAGAGATTGAATAATGGATTTGTAAATGAACTCTTTGTTTTCGATGTGAAACAGGACAAACTAGTCAATATACAGGCTTTTCATTAATGTTATTCTTATGTGCCTTATGTTAATTCTTGTTCTTCCTCTTTTATTTTGGTGTTGGGAATCAATTTTTATTCACAAAAGTTTACACGTACTAGTTGTAAAAGGTTATTTCCTTTCTCTCTTTCACTCTTTTTTTTTATTTATTTATACCGCAATATCATTTTACTTACGGTAAATATAATGTGAGGTAGTAGTTTAATTTAATTACGAAGTCTTATCATATTTGATATGAATGAAAATAATCTCGAACGTATAAGAATAGATAGGCAACACCACATATATTCACTTGAAAATGTTCAAAGTATTTACATATTCTGTCACCTATAGGATGGACAAGGGGTATTGCATGTTTGAGTAGAAAAGAGTGTCACGAGTCTTATTGATCATTGCAAGTCATTGAAAGAATTTTGAGATTGTGACTTAGTGAGCTAAGATCACGTGCATCGGTGTTAAATTTCGAGTCGTTCCGGTATCTTTCATTCATTCATTCATAAAATGGACAAGAGATATTGGGAGTTTTGATAAGAGGAATAATGGAACAAGAGTTTTGTTCAATGCACATCATTGAAGGGATTTTTAGATTGTGACTTTGGTGGTGAACAAGAGACAATGCAGAGTTTGGATAACAGAAATAATGGAACAAGATTTTTGTTCAAGGCACATCATTGAAGGGATTTTGACTTTAGTGAGCTTAAGAGTGTAGTGTTATTGGAGTTTTGTTCATTACACTCATTATTATTCCATAGAGCATTAACTAGGTTCTCTTTCACATTTGTCATTTATCTTGGACAAATGGATACACTCTTCCTCTTTCGTGTACATCAAATCTCTCATAAGATTTAAGCTATGTCTTCTTGCAAGATAAGCATCACTCAAAAGATATCACCGTGCTTAGTCATTCTTCATTTTCATTATTATTATATTAAAGAAATTTAAAAGTGAAACACAAATATCCAAATTTACATGTCTCAATTGAAAAGTTTTTAATTGAAAATTATTATATGATCGGGATCATGTGATTTTTGTCAATTACATAATGACATACAATCGAATGTGACAGTTTTATTTAGTTTTTTAGTTACGTATCAGTATGCATATAATTGGCCGAAACCAAACAGTCCTAGAGTATATATATATATATATATATATATATATATATATTAATTTTTTATTTTTAACAAATTATTTTTAACAAAATTAAGGAATTTTCATTAGATGAGAGAACAACGTAGTAAGCATGCTTAAAATATTGTATGCTTTCTCGTTAGGACTCTTACCCTCTTTTTTTAAAAAAAATGAGACATCGTACTCTTTGGATTAGCAAGCTAGTGGGATGATGGTGTTTGTCATATTCATTTTCCAAACTAATTTTGGTCATAATCTTGCACTATTTATAATGTATGCACGGAAAGTCATTTATTTGATATTTGATCGGATAATGGTTAACTAATTGACAATATAAAACAATTTTTTTCTTTTTTGTGTATGAGTTAGAGGTACAAAGTGTCAAAAATCACGTGGATCAACAAAGATCACCGAGGAAGACGGCTGTGATTTACACCAATCAGACGGCCCACAGCTCCCATTGGCTTCCTGCGTCGCGGTTGTAAGTTTCTTTATGCACCACAGGTCTTCAACCCAAGAAAATTTCCGCCAATGTGGAATGGCCTCTCTAACAGGGTCCCTCTGGCCCACCTCAGCGACCAGGGCCCCACACCCATCATCATCTCTAGCCATGTTATGGGCGAAGTCACATAGTGACTTCATGAGCCGCGAAGCGCCCTTTCCTTCCATGTGAAGCCCATACAAGAAATAAACACCAAATTGCCTAAAAACATTAGGAATTGAGGGCAACCTTAACCAAGGCATCAAATTGTCCAAAACCCTACTTCCTACGCAGCATGCGTACGTTAGCGCAGACACCCCCTTCACTTGCAATTTGAACACTTCTTTGGTGTTCCACACACTTAATATAGCAAAACTAGGCGGTAAAGTGCCACTTTGTGTGTACCACTTGGGGAGGTACTTTTTGGGCATGGCCATGAAAGTGCCCAAATTGAGCTTGTTGTTTATAATGACATCAATGTCCTTGGGAAAAAATTGTGAGTTAGCGAAGACTCTAAGATAGATTGACTCTGTAAATTGTGGTGACAGTTGAACTATCGCAATACTCGAGTCGATTGGCTTGTAGTGGGCATGGACAGGGTGCACCAACATGGTAGGGTTGCAAAACTTGACATATTCATATTTTAGCGTAAACAAATTTATCGAAGGCTTGTTGCTGCAATCTGTCGCCATATAAGCAAAATCTGCGCCATTTTTCTTACACCATTCTTCTAAATGTTGAACCAGTTTCGAGCCAATTCCGAGCCGCCTGCATTTTTTCAAAATTATAAGAATAAATTAATAATGTCTCTAGCTAGTTAATTAAGTCGCTTTCCAATTGTACAGTGTACACTCGACGTTAGGAAAGTGGAGTGGGATTATATGAAAAAGTAGGGAACATTTTATAAGAATATAATGATTTGATTAAAGGTTGCTTTGGATTAAACAATATACAATAATGTACGGAATATGTTCAGTACTCTGTGTGTGTGTGTGTGTGTGTATATTTATCATTGTTATATAAACCGATAAGAAAATCCCACTATAGTGTTACATGCATGCACCTAATATATATCTCATTTGTGCTTTCTTTTTCTATGTATTATCAAGATTTTTAGAGTATCAATGCCCTGTGATGTTAAATAATGATCAATGATATATGGAACTAATTATAAAAATAAAAAAGTTTAGAAAATAAAGCAAATTAAGAAGAGGTGACATAAGAGCACAGGGTGTGCTGCATTGGTGGACCATTAATCAAGGAATGCAATTTGGTAAATAATAAAGGAGTTATATCATATATATATATATATGTATGGATATACGCAGTATATGATGGCCCTGATGGGGATATATATTGCACGCAGTACTATATGATGGCCCTGATGGGGATATATATTGCACGCAGTGGATGCTATGGCCAAAGTAGATAATTTGGAGAATACGTGTTTAATGTTGTTGTGTGTGTGAGAGTAGCCCACCCGTGGCAGGAAGCTGAATTTATCAGCTAAGCAAGTAAATTAGCAGTGTTAACTCTTTTTCAGGATACGAGGAACAATATGTACTCTTTATGGTGGAATCTAATCGTTGTTTTGTGGTGGTGGTATATCTTAGAAACTAACAAAGCACATGAATGACACAGATTTTTTTTTTTTCAAGGAAGAATCAACCCGCCCGTTAACTACTTTACACTATGATGATCTGCAATTGCGAATGCACTCAGTTGTGAACAAATTAATCAAACATGAGAGAGTTTTTATTATTACTTTTTTTTTTTGTTTTTTTTCTGTTTTTTTGCAATTGAAGAATCAACTCACTGTTAACTACTTTACACTCTTACAATTGTAGCCAACAAATCACATCCATGAGAGTTGTTTTCTTCTTCTTTTTTGTGATTGAAGAATCAACCCACTCGTTAATTATTTTATACTTAACTTTACACTCTTGGATGATTTGCGATTGTGAACACACCCAATCACTAATAAATCACATGCATTATTTAAGTCCTAGTGTCACCTTTAGTGAGTCTCCTACTGCAGACTTAAAAGAGGAAATACTCCAAAAGTATTAACCAAAGAGAGCTGCTTTCTTAATTTGTACACCATTTCCTTCATTGTTTTGGTATTTAAGCACACATGCAGATCTCTCTCTCTCTCTCTCTTTGTTTGTGTGCTCATAGAAATCTAAACACTGTATAGAGAGAGAAGGATATATATATAGAGAGAGAAAAAGAAACCTGTGTGTAGGCGAAACCCTTAGTCCCAAAATATAAGCCAGCTTTACATAGAGTGGGAAACCACTCGAGTCATTCTTTCCTCTTGTCACAGTTTTGATACAACCTCTAATAACCCCACCAATTTCTTTCTCTGCTCCATACTCTGCAACCTGTTCACAACACATCATCAAATCAACTACATAATTAATTTAAAAAGAAGGTTGTTACTAATTATATGTGGACGTACCATGCAAACAAAAATGTGACTACCATTTTAATTCTGTCCATACCACTGCGTTACTTTAAATGATTACAACATAATTAAATTAATTCAAAATTTTAATAGGCTAGCTTTGAGATGAGATGATTGAATTCTCACCAGCATGACATGGAACAGGAAGTTGCGTACGCGGCAAAGAGGGTCCCCCATGAGGTCAGTGACAAACGAAGGCGCCTTCCCTAGTTGCCCGCCAACCTCACACCGCCTCTCGAGCTCCTCCACTGCCGCCTTGTCTCTCTCTTCGTCGTACTCTCTCACCACCACCTTGTCCGGCGAACTTTCAGCTGCTATCTTAGGTGACATTGAGAAAGTAGGTAGCTAGCTAGGGTAAAAATTGTGCAGACTGTACTAGAAGTGAAGTGTATTATTTATAGCTGGTGGTTCTGGTTTTAGCTTCATGTCTATTTCCCCTATATTTATAGCTAGTGGGCTTGCTGACGTGTCACTCCACCAGTACTAGTGGACCTTTCCTTTGGCTGTGTGACCATGTTGTCATGTCAATATATAGTTGATTTATACATGATATTCTATATTATATACCTCCCACAATTGATGCCTATCCAAAGTCATAAGATGCATTTATGATATATGAATTGGATGATGATTGAGCAGATCTATAGTGCTCCAATTATTGCTTCATATGGTTCATATATGGCAATATCCATCAGATGGTGAAAAGGATGATGGCAGCCTCCAATTAAGAAAGTTTTCTCTACATTAATTTTGAAACTATAAGTAATTAATCTTAAAATGCGTTATATTATATGGTAATGTTTTTAAGTTGTTGAAAAGGAAGGTTGATGCGTATTTTTTTGTTACAGTACTATATGTTAGAAGATCAAATGAGACACAATACTCATGATTTAGGTTCACTATATCTGCTTCAGCTATTCGATCTATAATCATATCAGCTTGTATTTTTTTGTCTTGTTATTGAAAATGCAAAATACTTGATAAGGATGATAAGAGTTTTTATTAAACATTACTTAAGCAATTATAATAATAAATAACGAAAAATTGTTTACCATTAGAGTCAAACAAAGTCATATAAATGGTTGAAGTGGTCTAATTAATCAAGCGACCAAGTGGTTGATGATCATTGACCAACCACCTAATATAACATAGAAGCATTCCAAGTATTAAAATTAGTAGGCTTAATTTGATCAATTATTGGGGGGTTGGGGATGGTGAGAATCATGCCGAGCACCTCGTTTTTTAATGAACATGTGGATGGTCTCATGAGTGCGTGTGCGTGTGTGTGTGTGAGAGAGAGTGAGAGAGAGAGAGAGAGCAGATGATCACATGATCTGATGAATTCAATTGTCATGCGTGAATTTTAAACCTTTACGTGAAAAAATGTGCTGACATAATAGGAGGACACGTGGTGGATGGTTAGGAAGCTAGAACTACTGCGTATATAATTTTAGTAAAATTGTGGCTGCTGATGTGTCTTATTCCTTGTTCTTGGAATTACTTTGACCGCGGAAACTGATGATGACGCGAGGCCCAAAGGCACCCTCAAGCATTACCTATTTTAGGAAATTTCTTCGTTTGCATATAGGATTTGGTCATAAAGCAAAGAATGAATGATCAAGTTAAACTTTACATAATTATCTATAAAGCAATCACATAATTTCCTACACATTAGAATTGCAAATATTTTTTAAAAAATTTATTCATTATTTTAAATATAATGATGATTCTCTTATAAAAATATATATATTTTTTTCATCATAGGCAGCATAAATATTTTTAGAATCTACCTACTTCCATTTAGCATATTTCGTAAACCATATGAATTGGAAGGAGGTAGATTATTGCATTAGAGTTCATGTTAGACATCTATGTCCTCAAAGTCAATATTAATTTATATAATTATGAATTTTACTACTATGTCCTCAAAGCCAATATGTATATAAGGAGCTAGATATATGTGTTAAACTGAATTTAGAGGAATTCTAATTAGAGTCTCTTTCCTTTTTTCAGAGTTACTAAAGATGCTCTTATTAATTATATGCGGCAAAGGGAGTCACATGGAGGAACTAAACAATGACCCCTACTAAATCAGCACCAAGATAGTCATGTGTGTCCTTGGAAATTCTTTCTAAATCAACACCAAGTTTCCTCTCTCTCTCTGAGTGATCTTAAAATCGATCTTGTATTAATATATAGTCTGTCTATTTAACCTTTGCAACTTCACGTTGAAACTTGACATCGTCAACTGGTGATGCTCAATTATGAGTTGTATACAAGAATGGACAAAGTTGCGTGAATATTATTGTATACACCACATCTTGTTCCATGTCATATTTTTTACCACTCTTTTATCACTCCGACTTCATATAGTCCATCCATGGTCATGATTAAGGAGTTTATTTGAAGATTCCAAATCTACCCCAAATATGAATTTCATCATTATTCAACATTTTGGATCATTTTCTTTGTTCAATCATGAAAGTTATCCAAATTGAACCTTAATTAGGGTTTCAAATATATTAGTTTCTACCTTGATCAATATTAGGTGGTCATAATCTTTCATCAAACCCAATAAAGAATTCAAAACATCATTTTGGATCATAAATCATTCAATTGCATAATTTGACTTTAAAATGGCCCACCCAATTGGTTTAGTTTTGAGAAATCGCGCAAATTAGAATTTTGGAACCATGTCAATTTTCAAATTGTCCCGAACCATCTTATCATCATGAAAGCTATCAATTTGACATTTGCATGATGAAATTCAACTCATTATATCTTAGAACCACCAAATTATTTCTCGATCATGATACTTCTACTGTTAGAGATCATATAGGAGACACCAGAATCGCCTAATCGTAAGCACCAATTATCGATATCTCCAAACACGGTCTCCTATATATCATCAAACCTTACATTGAAACTTCGTTGTAAAATGAAATAATTTTATTATAAAAGTCCTATAGGTTACTTCCATTATTCAATCTTGAAAAGAGCCCTGGACCAACCGTGACGAATTATTATAAAGATTCTAATATGTTAAAAACCTATTCAAAATCAGATTCTATTAGTAACACGTCCTATATCATCAAACCTCGCATTGAAACTTTGTTGTAAAATGAAATAATTTTATTATAAAAGTCCTAAAGGTTACTTCCATTATTCAATCTTGAAAAGAGCCCCGGACCAACCTTGATGAATCATTGTAAAGATTTTAATATGTTAAAAACGTATTCAAAATCAGATTCTATTAGTAACACGTCCAAAAATAAAGTTGGTCTTATCCGTTAATACCAAACTTGTTGGTGTTTGAGTCTCATATAGGGACTGAGATCCTCTGCAGTAAATGGGAGGATCTCAGTCCCACAAATAAGAGGGGGAAAAATCCTCTTTTCCTTTATTTCCTTTTATGACTATTCCATTTAGGTATGATTTCTATTATATTTCATCTTGCATACCATATATTAGTCTTAATTACTTTATTTAATTATTGTATAAATTTTTTTAGCATAAATGCAATTTACTATGTTTGGGAATATTGAATTGGTAGTTTGGATTCGAAATTGAAGAAAATTTAATTTTAAACTAAATTTGTTCAAATTTTAAATTCAAAATATCAATTCGTGCTTTCAGATACAACCAATAACAATATTTTTCACAAAAATGACTCAATGTGAAACTTTTTTTTTTTTTTTTTTTGGACATAAAATAAATATTTTTGGGTAGGCTGACATATAAAATGGCATTGAACAGTTGCTGATTGTATATGCAAGATATACACACTAAGAAGTAAAGAAGAAAAAGCCAAAATAATAATAATAAAAACAATAATACAACTAAGCATATTCTTGCTCTACGGTACTGTATATCAACAAATCTTAGATATAATAGATGACATATGATTCGATTACAAATCTTCTTTTCAAATCCCTTTTTGGGGATTTCTTCTACTGTGCTTGTCTTCGTTCAAAGTTCAAACATGCTACTTGCTTTAGCATAATCCTCATCTTCACACCCATCGTTAATCTGCACAATGTATGGTGATCTAAAATGGATTCATTTAGTATATTCTGCAAATTAAGGCTGAAAAAGAAACAATTAAAATAATATTAGCAGTGAACAATCTTTACTGAATTTTTAATTAATAAAAAATTGCAGATTACTAAGTGATAATATTTCAGAGAACTTACCAATCATATCAACCGGACCAATGGGATATTCCGCTAGTACAATGGAACTGAAGAATAGTTAGATGATAATATAAATAAAATGCATAACATTACTTGTAAAATCATATGTAAGTAACAGTGATTTGCAAAAAAAATAATAATAATAAATAATTAGATAAACAAGTGTACTTAAAAATAATTACAAAATGAATACATTGCGGCCAAAAACATGGCCATACATTAAAAAATATATAAATAATCTCGTCCTCTGTTTTTACAAGTCAAGTTATTATATTTATGAGAGAGAAGAAGTCAGAGGAAGTCAACTTCTGTGGAGTGAACCAGAAAATGACTCTTATTTCTTCTTCGATATAAAACACTCACACGCCAACTTACCTGAGGACTTGATCATCTTTCGGTTTGGGAGATTAAAAAGACACTACTTAGACTACATACATATTTTTTTAGATATTTGAGGGGATATTATTATTATTGTTATTAGATAGGCATACAATTTAAAAGCTATACAATTTTGCTCTCTTGGGGGGACTTAAAATTCTCAGCTTTCATTTACGGAGGAGAGATCAGATCACTTACGCCAACGATCGACCGATATTATGAAGAGTAAGATGAAGTGTTAGTTAATTAAAAAAAAAAATGATATTTTCTTCAATAGGAATTATTTCATTCTAAACAAAAGTGAATAAATAAATAAAACCACAATATTCCTTTGAAAGTATTCTCAAATTTCAAAATTGTAACTTACTTTAGTATCTTACAAGTTTGAGGATGTATTCGAAATTTACAAATTATTTGAGTTTAAATTAACTCCACGTATTCGAAATTTATAAACTAAGAACTCGAACAGTGGTACACCCGTCCAGAAAGCTCTAACTAGGCCGGGTAATAGGGAAGAAAAATCTCACAATAAAGCGTGGAATTGGACAAAAAGAGGTGGCTTTGGTCCCTAAATTGTTGAGTACTTTTTTTTCTTTAGAAAAAGAAAAGAAAAAAGGAGAGGGCTTGTTCCGCTAAATAGTTGGACCACAATAATTGGACTAATTGGTGGCTGACCCATCCTTTTTAGGAAGACTTAGAGCCCAGTTAGCCCATCCTTTTTAGGAAGACTTGGTGGCTAAATAGTGTTTGGTAGGGTTGATTTGGAGGGATAGGGAGAGAAAAGAAAAAAGAGGATAGTGTAAGTTTGTGTTTGGATAACTTAAGTGGAGGGATAGGGAGGGATAAGGAGAGATAGGGAGGGATAGTTATCCCTCCTTATCTCTTATTTGCTTTCTCGTCAAAATTGAGAAGATAGGGAGAAATAGTGAGAGAAAGGATAGTGATTTTAGTAGTATTTTGATAATACCAAAATTAGCCTCCACAAATCAATACACAAATTTATTATTCCATTCAAATCCCATGGTTATGAAAGGGTAAAAAAGTAATTTATCTATTATTCTTTCTTTTCTTTTCTCTTCTCTATCCTATCCAAACAAAAATAACTATTACTCCTTTTCTTTTCTCCCCCGTCTATCCAAACACAAATAGAAATTATTACTATCCTTTCTTTTCTTTTCTCACTGGTACTATCCTTTCTTTTCTTTTCTTTTCTTTTCTTTTCTCTCCTAACTAATACTATCCGAACACACCTAAATTCCATTCCAGAACAAAAGCAAAGTGGAGAAGAAAGGTCCAACAAGTACAAATACACACACCATCATCACCGTTGTGTGCGCTTTGAAGGAGTTTTTGATTGATACAATACAGATTACAGAGTACAGAGAGAGAAATGGGGATAATGGCATGCTTAGGGGTGTTAGTACCCTTCCCATATTACCACTGGCTGTGGAAGTACCCACAGACATGGGTGGATCTGTGTGGCAGACAACGAGACCCTTCAAAAGTGATGGCTCGAGTTTCTCACGCCCTCAAGCTCATTCAGTTATTCTCTCTCTTCTCTGTCTCCTCTCTCTCTTGGCCGCCTCCTCTCTACTTCTGGCCCCTCTTCCTCTTCGGCCAGTTCCTCAACTTCAGGTCAGCTTACCTACCCATTTTCCATTTTATCTCTCGTCTCTCTCTCTCTCTCTCTCTCTCTCTCTCTCTCTCTCTCTATATATATATATATATATATATATACACACACACACACACACATACAGTTCTGCAGTTAGGCTGTATTTCTCTACTCTCTTACTTCATTTAATCTTGAAATGCATTTGGGGCTTGATAAGAATTGGGAATTTTTTCCTCAGAAGACATGAACTTTTCCACCTATAACCTAGGGTACACATTTTTCAGCACAAGGTACTAGACATTAACTAAAGTATATTTGATAAGCTTTTAGGAGAAACTCACAGAGAGTCTTGTCTAACATGTCATTTTATTTATCGTTTCAATTTTTAAAATGATTAAATGTTGTTTTAGCCTTATTTCAGTTTTATCTAACACGTCATTTTGGTAGTATTGTGATCTTATCTAACATGTCATCTATAAATGTTGTTCCAAAGTTGGAATATGTAAATTGTGCCATGATGGTTACACTGAATTTAGCTTTAAAAATGAATTTTTTTCAGGAATTCAGTTTAAAATTATGAATATGATTTTTTTTTTTCCCCTTTTGTTTTGTGCGTCTGCGTGCATGTGTTATGATTTCATTCCAGAGAAACTACATATGTTCAGCTTGTAGGAGAAAGTCTAAAGACACAGACGTACTTATATCATGGTGCTTAAGTTTTCATATCAATTTCTATTGCGCCTAAGTTTTCATATCAGTTTGTATTGCTTGAAGTTAAAGTTGAATATATTTGTAAATAATATTCTGAACTGGGTATTTATAAACTCGAGCCAATATGGTTATGCTGCGATAGGCTTAGAGAAATTTGTATGCATTTGATAGACAGTAGTTTCTATGCATTAGGTAGATGGCCCCTTTGTGAAGCTTTTCTCTTCATTTCTAAATTATAAAAAGTTTATTTGTCTGCGGATTAGGTAAGTTGAAGTTCATATGAAGTGTATCTTTTTTTTTTTTTTTTTGATGACCATATGAAGCGTACCTTGTCACATAGAGGTACATCAATTATTTGTAGCCAAGTTAAAAAGAGAAAAAAAGAAAAGGTACTTTGCTTAATTAATATAGGTACCTCTATGAATAAGAAGACATTTTTGGAGGTAAAATGTGTTACTATTTTGCTTTAATTGGGCAATCCTGTCAAGATGTAAGTAATATTTAAGTGTCACTTCCCTTCACGATGACAAAAAGCAATGCCACAATCCATACAATCTATCTTAACCATTTCCTTTCAACATGTCTACCAACACAGGACTAAAACGTGTCCATATCCGTAATTATTCCCAATCTCAAACAACAGAATTACATATACATAATCTTATCAACATTTTAAAACATCAGGTTAGCAGGCAGACAACAATTCACAATGATCGAGAAAACGTACAACATTGCCAGTCAATTATATACCCCAACATCACCACCCCCTTGAATCACCTCTGATAACAACGTTGCCACAAGTCCAAAATCTTACCTCAGAATCATCATTCGCTACTATTCCAACAACACAATCGCTACCTTGTGATCTGCTTTCTCTAGCGTTTGGGCCTGTTTCATCCACTTCTGGTCCATTTCAGCCCGTTTAATCTATCGCCAATCTTTTTGCTGCTAATTACTTCACATTTAAACTGTGATTTTCATTTAAAAATCAAATCTCTCTTGTTATCTTCTAGAGTTATTTTGAACAAAAAAGAACTTGTATGTATCTTATATTTATTATTTGGTGAAATGGTGAAAACCCGCACTGACAAGCATGAGAACACAAGTTTGAGTATTCAAATTAGCCACTCTGTGCAATGTAATGTCAAAGGTTAGGTTTGTTTCGGGTCTTCTCCTTCTACCACTGGACGTAGACGGGGACATATACTATCATACTTCTTTTAAAAAGAAAAAAATAAAAATAAAAACATGGTGTAAAATTTGAAACAGACATCAAAATGGTCCAATACTATTACCATATTCCATTCTGGTGGAAAATCCAGAATACCTTGAATGCAAAATTGATAATATCATCTGAGATTCCAAATGCACTTTCTGGTTGATGCAGTAGTTCGAGGAAGGGGTAAAATGTTCTTCTTCCCATGAAAGTATTTTTTTTCTCAGGAAAATGAAGTTGGGAGAAAATTCAGAATATGCAAGGGACTTTATAAGTTTTTGCACTCATTATAATGTAAAGTTGTTGCTATTTAGACAAAGAGGAGTTGGCATACTACAAAGAAATTTCTATTCTCTTTCACTCTCAAGCACTCTCATATGAAGCAAGTAGCCTGGAAACATAAAAGCCCCATGAAGGAGGTTCATGGAGAAAAGACAAGTCCTTCTAGGAGTAGTAGAAGGAAGAAAGGGAACTCATATAACAGCTTACTTTGTCCCAGTGAGCAAATTAATACATCTTTGTGTGTGTATAGGCCAGGACACAGTTCAAGGACGGATACCTTTCTCCAGATCATTTTGCTTTGATGTTCACTGTTTCAAACACCTTGATTTATTTGTGCATCAAGATCCATGACCATTTCCTTGTTTGAGCAATGCTTTCTTTTACGAGAGTGTGGTGTTTGGGTTTTAAATCTGTGGATATCCCTTCAGAGTGGAATGGCTACCATCTGAGGGATCCTATGTAAAAGGCTACAAGGAGAAGATAGGGAGGAATATGCTGGCACAAGAGCATTACCGGAAGAACCTTTAGGTCAAGTTTTCCAGTGCTGCAACTGGAGGAGCCAACAAATTTCTGGTTACAAAAACCCCAAGAAATTTAAATTGTAATAAAGTTTTGACTAAAAATAATAGAAATATGTAGTGGAACAAAGTTTCTTGGTAAGCATGGTCAGACATCTGATCTCTCGAGGGATGATTGTGGGTTTAGATCAATGGTGATCCCTTTTTTTGGTTGGCGTCCGAGAAAGCGCTACATCTAATTATCAGCAGAAACTACAGAAGATGGTATTGTTAATTAGGTCAAGCACTCCGTATTTCTTAGTAATGAGATTTCTGCTCTCCTAAAGTGACAATGTTTATAAATGTTCTTTTTTTTGGAGGTAAGTAAGGTAATTTAGAAGTTAATATCTGCAAAAAATAAAAATCTCATTCTGGACAACCACTGAATCCATTCCCTTGATCGCTTAAATTTATTACATCTAAAACACTTGCATTGTAACTTAAAACACACACATGGGCGAACATTTCTTGAACCTATTTCTATAGAGCATTAAATGCAGTGCAATTTTTTAAAAAAAAATTTCCATTCTTTGGTGTGTTGTCATATGGTGCACTTTATATTTAGTAGAATTCTGTACTTGGTCAATGTACTAAAACAGTCAAATTACAGGGTATATCAATTGCTCGGTGAACCAGGCACTTACTATGGTGTACGCTTTGGAAAGAACATCCCATGGGTAACAGAATTTCCCTTTGGGGTGATAAAAGACCCCCAGTATGTCGGAAGTGTACTGAGTCTTCTGGCCTGTTTATCTTGGGTTCCCTTCCTGTACATTCTCTTGTGGGTATTGGGCTATGCATTCATGATATATGTGGAGTCCAAGGAAGATCCGGCTACTCGTGCCAAGCCACTTTCTTGAGATCAGCAAGACGCTAATCAGTGAGTTCCAGGAACCAATGACGCAGAGAATCCTCCTCCATGAGGTATTCAGTCTCATTTTTGCTTCATGTAGCATCTTGATTTGACATTGTTTTAGTTTATCATCCCCCTCTCTTCTTTTCTTTTTTGGTTTGGCAAGTAGACACCCCTCTTTCCTTTATCTTTGATAGTTTCTTGTGGGTGACACTGAGGTAATTGACACAGTTTTGTATGGCTGTTGCATCACTATGAGACACAATGAGATGATTGACACATTTTTGGCATCGGTGTTGCATTACGAGTTGTTTCGTTGGAGGTTGTGTACTGATAACGAAGGATTGATTGCTTAACAGTATTGATATAAAAATTCCGTCTATTTTTCTTTTCATTATTTTGGGTAATTGCATTGAGTATCGTCCAATAAATTTTGATCATTTGCTGGAAAAATAGGAACTTTCAATTTATGATGATCACACATTGACCATAAAGACAGCACTCAAATTGCTTTGAGTTGTTTCCCAATATCTGCCATTGATGATTACGCCTATAAAGACGACAGTCAAATTGCTTTGAGGAGTTTGCCAATATCTGTAATTGATGATTACGAATGGAAGCAGTTCCAAATTCGACTCGAGACGTAGACACGACCCCTTATGAACAATTACTAATTATTCAGGTTCGGTTTTGATGTAAACGAATGAGGCTTCTTTCTATCCAGATTTTGAAATGGTTTCTACACCATTGGTAAATGATTAATGCGGGAAACTTATTTTTTCTCTTGCAAATGGTTTCCGGATCCCTGGAGCTAGTGGTCATGTGTATCATTTCAAAGTTACGCTCTCTCCACTAGAAGTCCTTCCAATTACAAGCATCATTGCATGCACTCTCGAACTCTCATTTTTGAATTGTTCAAGATTTCTAAAGCCAGGTTTATTATGTGCGGTTTTTGGAGTGAATTCATGTGGCTTCGTACATATTTATATTCGAACAAGAATCAGATCGTATGGTTTTTGAAAAGGATTTTCTTAAGAACATTTATATCTCCATTTTAAAATCCAGGCTCAACTTATAGTCCGAGCTTGGTGAAATGTATTTTCAAACTCGAACTATTTCATGTGTTATAAATATCAACCAAGCTAGATTATGAAAGGAAAAGGAATAAAAATAAACTAAGCTCAACTCAAAGCTCAGTTCTCTAAACTTGTTGTCAACTGTCAAGAGTTCGTCCCTGAGGAATTTTCTTGCTAATTGCTTGGTGCACGTGAGAGGGAAGATTATATGGACACGATGGTAGATTATGGGTGAACGATATATACAGGTATGAATACGATGGTAGAATGTGGGGTGAACTATATATACAAGATGGTGGATTATGGGGTGATTTAAAAAACTCGACATCACCGTACAAATAAAAACTTGTTTCTAAGTTTGGAAAGACCCAAATCCAAAAGGCAGAGCTAACAAATGAGTGGTGTGTTCCGAGCGGCAATTAAGTTTTTAATGCCTAAAGAAGGGAATAAATTTATAATTTATTATATTTGTTAATAAAAAAATTTAATTAATTGTTTTTACCAAAATTTATTTTAACCATTATATCCAATAATATTTATAATATTGTAATTCATTCCTTCTTATTTTCTATCCATTCTTCTGTCATGTCGATGTAATGATATTCTACTAAATAGGTAAATCCAAACCTGAGCCATTTAATAATCGTGTCAGGAACTCTCAATACTAACCCGACCTGTTTATTAAAACGAGACATTTAATTCTTAATCAAATAATAAATACTATAAAAAAATTGTCACAATTAACCCAAATATTCAAAATAAGAAGAAAGGCTAAATATTCCAAATAAGAAGAAAGGCGTAATTAAAGTTTATGTTAAAATGACTTAATGCTGTGTTCGAGAGGAAGGAAGAAAGAGATGTGGAGAGAAAATAAGAAGAATAAATTTCCTTTTTCAGTAAGAATGATACAAGGAAAGAAAGAAAAATAGGAAGGATGAAAAGAGGGAAGACAAGTAAACTGTTATTAAAGTTTTACATTAAATAGTATCCTAAATTATACAAATTTTAAACTACAGTATTATCCTCTATAAATTACAATATTATAAATATTATTTGGTATAATGGTAAAAATAAATATTATTGGATATAATGGTAAAAATAATTAAAACTTGAAAATAGTAAATTTTAAGTTTATTCTCTTCTCTTCTATTCAGCTGAACAAAGAGAAGAAAATAAACAATCTCTTCCCAAGGGATGTCTCATCCATCCCTTCTTTTCTCTCTTCCATCCAATTTCTTTCTTCCCTACCGAATAGAGCATAACTTCTATATTAATTGGGTTTAAATAAGTAACATAATACATATGTCATATTCACGATTATGACATGTTAAGTTAAATAGGTTACATTGGTTGAACCCCTCAACTCTAACCCAACACAGTTAAATAAACGGGTTAATCGGGTCAACCCGTTTATGACCCAAACCCATTTAAGGTTAACCCAAACCCGATTATCTCGTGTCATATTAGAGTCTTGTTGGCAAGTCATGTATTAATTTGCCACCCATACTTCCTTCCCGTCGTACACAACATAAAAGTAAAGGCAAATTACACTCACACCCCCTGTGGTATTAGAGTTATGTTTCAAATTTATTATTTATTAAATTACTAAAACTCCAACTGAATTCTTAATGAATGAAGTTTTAATGTAGAATCAATAAAGTTTTATGTAACTTATATATTAACTTACCTCAATTTATGTGTTATTTAAGTGAAAAATTAAGTATAGCTTCATTAATACTAATATATTATATCCCTACTTATATTAATATAAATAAAAGGCCTACCTAGCCTACTAAACACACACCCTCAATACAAGTAAGTGAAAAAAAGAGATTTAAAAAAAAAGTGTTTTCAAACTATTCAGTTTAAGTGTGTGAGTTTTATATTTTCTGTTGATTGAACGGAAATAAATTCATATGTTAATGAAGAAGAAGTGCAACCTTCATGAACGCACATATTTGATATCTGGGCTTAGTTAAATCCCGGAGATAGTGCTACCATTTGTCTTCTATTGCACGTAGGAGAGGCTTCAACTATCTTTAAGAAGTGATTACGCACCTCTAAGCCTCGATACTCACTGTTTTAATATATCGGTTACAACAATTTGAAGATTATTTTCTCTCTAATGGTTTCATCTTCGTTTCTGTCCAACATTGTTTCTTCGGTTTTTCAACCGAATATTGAGGCATTTGATGGTAAAAATTACCAACAGTGGAAAGGAAAATGGAATTTTTCCTTCGACAATTGAAAATTGCTTATGTCTTAACTGAACCATGTCCAACTCCTCCAGGAGACAAAATGCTGTCCGATCAAGTTAGTTCGATCAACGAGAAGATCTCAAGGTGGATTAACGATGATTACTTTTGTTGTGATCATATCCTTAGTGGTATGGTCAACACCTTTTATGATTAATACTCAAAGAAATGCAAGACCGCCAAAGAGTTGTGGGACATTCTCAAATTAGTCTGCAAAACTAAGGAGGCCTGCACCAAAAAGTTCTTGGCTTCTGATTATGTGGGCTTCAAGATTGAAAATGGAAAGTCAATCTTTGAGCAAGCAAAAAAATTTCAACTCATAGCAAACGATATTATTGTTGCTGGAATGTCTCTTTACGAGAACTTCCATGTAGGGGTTTTTTGTTACAAAACTCCCTCAATCTTGGAAGGATTTTTGTAATAAACTCATGCATAAAAAGGAAGATATTACTCTAGAACAATTAATGCAACACATCTTCATTGAAGAAGAAACCAGAAATCATGATGTCAAGCAAGATTTTAAAGAAACAACAGTAAAAGCTCATGTTGTTGAGGAAATGTCTCACAACAAAACCATCAAGAAAAATCACAAGAAAAATGATTTGAAAGCCAAGTCTTCTGAAAGCTTCAAAATATGGTTTGGCTTCAGTGCAAATGCAAAAGACAAAGGGTGTTTCTATTGTCATAAGATCGGCCATTTTGCTAAAGATTGTCGAAAACGCAAAGCTAATCTCATGAACCAGAAAGAGCCTAAGAAACTCGCTAAGGAAGATCTAACTGTTGTAATCACTGAGGCTTTTTTCATTGGAACCGCAGTGGAGTGGTGGATTGATACTGAAGCAACTTGCCATATTGCAATGAATCTTAACTCCTTCAAAACCTACGAAATAATGGGGGATGGAATGTCAATGTTCATGGGAAATTCTTTCTCTTCCAAGGTTGTAGGTAAAGGAAGCGTGGACTTAAAGTTTACCTTCGGAAAAGTGATTACTCTGAAAGATGTGCTACATGTTCCAGATATTCATAAGAATTTGGTGTCTGGTACCCTCCTCTCCAAGCATGGATTTAAGAAGGTTTTCAAATCTGATAATTTCATTATGTCTAAGAATGGTATGTTTGTCGGGAAAGGCTATACTGCAAATGGTATGTTTAAACTTAATGTTGAAAATGAAATATTTTTTGCTTATATTTCTGAGTCAATTGATTTATGGCATGGTAGATTAAGCCACGTGAATTTTAAGTCCATTAATCAAATGGTTAATAAGGGGTTAATCACAGTTTGTGATAAAACACATATGGATAAATGTGTGACTTGTAGTAAATGCAAAATTACTAAGAAAACCTTCAATTCAATAGAGAGGAAATCCATTTTATTGGAATTGATCCATACTGATGTATGTGAAATGGACTTTTTATTATGTGGAGGGCATCGTTACTTTATCACATTTATTGATGATTGTTCTAGATATACCTATGTCTATTCTTTACGATCTAAAGATGAAGCTTTAGACAAGTTCAAGGCATATAAAACAGAAGTCGAAAAGCAGCTGAATTCAAGCATCAAAGTTATTCGATCAGATAGAGGAGGAGAATACATCAAGTCCGAGTTTCAACATCTATGTGAAGATGAAGAAATCGAAAAACAACTGACAGCCTTTTATACTCCTCAACAAAATGGAGTAGCTGAAAGAAAGAACAAAACTTTGACAGAAATGGTGAACTCAATGCTTACCAATTCAGGCTTACCTAAAAATATGTGGGTAGAAGTTTTGTTATCTACTTGCCACATTTTCAACAGAGTCTCACGTAAGAAAGTCAATATGACTCCATATGAAGCATGGAGAGGAAGAAAGCCGAATGCTAATTATTTCAGAGTCTGGGGTTGCTTAGCTCGTGTTAGACTACCATATCAGCAGACATCAAAGATTGGTCATAGAGGCATTGATTGTGTATTTATTGGTTATTCAACAACCAGTAAAGCCAACAGATTCTTGAATTTGAAGTTTCCCTCACCTCATACAATCATCGAGTCAGTTCATGCAAATTTTTTCGAGAATATTTTTTTGAAGAGAGAAGGCAAAAATGAACATAATATTCCTTCAGATTATAATACAAAGAAGAGAAAATCCTCTGAACCTTCAGAAGAAGTTGAACCAAGGAGGAGCTCTAGAATTGCTAAGCCAAAATCCTTTGGACCAGACTTTTATACTCTCATGATTGAGAATGAGCCTGTAACTTATTTCGGGGCAATGTCCTTACATGATGCTCCGTTCTAGTGAAAAGCAATTGATGATGAAATGCATTCAATTATGTCTAACAATACTTGGATATTGATGGATCTTCCTCCTGATTGCAAACCAATTGGTTGCAAGTGGATCTTCAGGAAGAAGTTAAAGTCAAACGGAATGCTGGATAAGTACAAGGCTAGATTGGTAGCAAAAGGTTTCAAGCAGAAGAAGGAGATTGACTATTTTGACACGTTTGCTCCTGTTGCAAGAATTATTTCTACCAAGCTTTTGATTACCTTAGCTGCTATCAATAATTTGATAATTCATCAGACGGACGTAAAGACTACTTTCCTCAATGGCGATCTAGCAGAGGAGATTTATATAAAGCAACCTAAGGGGATTGTATTACCTGGACAAGAAAAAAAGGTGTGCAAATTAATTAAGTCATCATATGGCTTGAAACAAGCTCCAAAGCAGTGGCATGAGAAATTTAAGAAGGTGATGATATCTGCTGGATTTAAGATTAATGGAGGAGATATATGCATCTTTAGTAGATTTCAAGGAAACTCTGGTGTTATAATCTGCCTCTATGTTGATGATATGCTCATTTTTGGGACAGATATAGAAAGTGTCATAGAAACTAAGAAGTATTTGACTTTTAGTTTTGACATGAAAGATATTGGCGAGGCTGATGTGATTCTAGGAATCAAAATCGTGAGGTTCCAAAATAGTCTAGCACTTACGCAGTCTAGCTATATCGAGAAGATTCTGAAAAAGTTTAATCACTTTTCAGATTCTACAGTCTGTATTCCAATTTATCTTAGTGTGAAGTTGGTACGCAATCAAGGTAAAACGATGGATCAACTCGAATATTCTCAGATTATCGCCAGTCTTATGTATGCAATGTACTGCACAAGGCCAGATATAGCCTTTGCAGTGGGTACTTTAAGTAAGTACACAAGGAATCCAGGAAAGGAGCATTGGAATGCTTTGCTGAGAATCCTAAAGTACTTGAAAGGTACTATGGATTATGGATTGCACTATATCAAATTTCCAACTGCAATTGAAGGGTACAACGATGTTATATGGTACTCCTTATCTATGACTGCCTGGATCTTCACATTAGGTGGAGCAGCAATGAGGCAAACATGTATAACTCATTCCTCTATGGAATCGGAGTTTATAACACTTTCCTCTGTTGGAGAAGAAGCTGAATGGTTGAAAAACATATTGGAAAATACCCCAATATGGACAAGACAATACCACCCTTGACAATATATTGTGACAATATGGCTGCAATGCTTCGAGCTAACACCGAGTGTTACAATGGAAAATATAGACAGGTGCGATTGAAGCACAATCATGTGAGAATGATCCTAGCTGATGGAATTATTTCTACTTAGTATGTGAAGTCCAAATCAAATTTGGCAGATCTATTGTCAAAGGGCTTCGGTAGGGACCAAGTGTCCGAGACATCAAAAAAGATGGGATTAAAGCCTGTAATTGAATAAGTTGTACTATTATGGGAACTTAACCCAGTGATATTTCTCCTGAGTTTAATGGGAAAAACAAGTAACATAATAACTTGTGTGAGCACATCAATGTTCCTTTCCCTATGATGTGATGTGGGTGCTCAATCCTGTAACTGAGGAGGTTGAGATTTAAATCTCTTAATGAATCTATAAATCGGTTTTCGATTGGAGTGTATAGGATCACTTCTGATAGATTCACTGACTAACCTTTGAGGAGGCTGAGACTTGTATCTCTTAATGAATTCTATAAATCGGATTTCTGATTGGGGTGTACACAATCACTCTCGATAGATTCACTGATTTATCTTGCAATGAGGAGGATGAGATTAAATTCTCTTAATGAGTTCATAACCGGTATTCGGTTGGAGTGTGCAAGGTCACTCTTGATAGGCACACCGATCTGAGTGTAGAAGTAGGGCCATTTCTATAGGATCTAAACAGGCTTGATCCTTAACGACACTCAGAAGTATGGATTCCGGACACATGGTCGAAACGTGCCAAGCTTTAGTACTTTATCTCCGAACAAAAATGTGTGTGTAATATTTCTTATTCATCAACGTGGTTCTTGGTTCAAGATATCGTTCGTCAAGTTCCTACATGAAATTAAAAGGTACATACATTAGGTAATCATTCAAGTCCAAAAGACACCATTATTAATACACATGACTATACCGATTAACAAAATAAATTTGAAACAAGTGGGGGATTGTTGGAGTTATGTTTCAAGAAGCGATTACGAGCCTTTTAGCCCCTATAATCACCGTTTTAATATATCGGTTACAACATATGGTTGGCTCATATTTCACTTAGATGAAGATTTTGGTTTTAACTTTTACTTATATCCTAATTTACTTTTTGGCCTCTTACATATGCGAATGGACCCTTTTACCCTCAATTTTTTTAATACAAAATACATACAATTTCAAATGACAAAAAGACCCCCATATATATATATATATATATGTATACACACACCGTTTGTCACTGAAATTAGGGCTTGGTTTCTATGGAAGTCTCTACAAGAACAACTTCGCACTGATTGCTCATAAGAGTGCCCATCGTCGTTCGTGTGCTCGTCGTTCTGTATCACTGCTGTTCCCGTGCCTCGACTGTAAGCTTCGTTCCGAGCTCGCAGTCAGACGTTCATCCTTGCCCATCGTTATTGTCCGTCGCCGCAACTTGTCATCCTTGTCGTCATCCTTCTTGCTTACATCCTTCCACCACCGGATTAATTTGACACTGGTTAGTTCCATCATCGCCCGTAGGTTCTTCATTGCTCCGGCGATGAGGACTATGAAGATGAGAGTGCACTGTTCTGTTTCTTCACTGAACTGATGAATAAAAATTGGGGCTTTTCATTGGGTCTTTGTTATTTGTCGCTCAGTACATGGAACCTGGCCAATTTCAAGTTCTCTCTCTGTATTTTCTATATATCTTTTTGTACATACTTAATTTCAGCGAACCAATCTCACACACGACAAGCTTTAAGTGTTGACAACACCAAGTTTATATCGGTGAGCTCTAAGCAAGACGAACCAACTGCTAGCTCCATTGATTCTCACGGTGATTGCTTGTGTTGTTTGTTACCCAAACCCATTTCATACCCCTCTTTGCAACTTCACACACGACGGCGAGGTGGTTCATGGCGACGACAGGTTCATAACGCGTCCCGTGGGTTGAACACGCCAAAATCGTGACGCCGGTGATGGCGGTGATTCGTTCTTGGCCGTCTGGTTGTCTTCAACTCCGACGACAGTGGCGTTGGATTTTGAGCTAGGGTTTGATTATGGAGATGAATTGATTGCGCTATATTTAGGGCAAGACGACCAAAAACAAATTGTTACGAAGAGGTAGAAGATGGAGAGAGAAGTAGTTGAGGAGAGAGAAAGGGGTTTTCGCGTAAGAGGCAGAAATGGAGAGAAAAGTAGTTGGGGAGGCCATTGGAGTCGCCAGAGTAGAGCAACGTTTGTGAGGTGGGATTTGGGTGATGGATGAGCAGAATTGATGGGTGGAGTTGATAAGGGACCTGTGTGGGATTGGTGGATTTGTGGAGGGGTGAATCGGGCATGGTGATGGTATAAGGAGGAGGTAGAAAAGGAGAGGATAAGAGAGGAGAGAGAAAATGCCACGCAATATGAAAAAGCAGTGATTGTGCTGGAAGTTTGGTCACAAAAATAGTTAACAAGATGTCGAATGGTAATATAGTCATTTAACACCTTAAAATTATTTTGATCATGACATTTGGGAGAGAAGTGAAATGATAAATCACTAATTTAACATAAAACCAAAATATTAATCTGGATAAAATATGAACTTATAAAAGTAATACTATTGCTTAGGTGTCAACCGATTAGTAGTAGTCGGGCTTTCGTCCCCGCTCCTCTCTCTCTCTAAACACACACTGAAGCGTCAATTCCCCTCTCTCTAGAAAAACTATTTCCTGGCCGTCGTTGGTTTCTTGATCGAATAGCCGTAAGTTTCCATTGATGGTTTTCTCAGTATCCCATTTTCAACTTCTGAATCGGAAATGCAGCTTCCAATCTTCTTCTTCTAGGGTTTCTGAAGCCAAATTCCATCACCTCAGCCTCCGATTCACTTCAACGTACGCACACATCTTTTGAATCTTCAGCTTCGCCATTTTCTAGGGTTTAGATAACGCACACTAGCACTGACTGTTTTTCCCAGATATACATTGATAATCTCGCTGTGTTTTCACTGTATTTGCTCCAGATGGTGAGTATTGTTTCAGTTCATACATTTTACTGATTGATTAGCCCTAGTTTTCTTCAAATTTGAGTTACACAGAGTTTTGTTCAATGTCGGGACCAGCGCGAATCAAGTCGACAAACCCTGCAGATTCGGAGTCACGGCCGGTCCTGGTGCCAGCCGGGAACAAAGCCAGAACGATCGAAACGCGCAAGTCGGTGTTGAAACCTCAGAAGAAAGTAGAGAAACCGCAAGCAATTGATGAAGCCAAGGCAAGAAAAGCTACTTCTTCACCAGCACCGTCACCGTCACCGTCACCGTCACCGCGGCAATGTATTAATGTACCGTCGTTTTTGAAGCAGCAGGACCACAAACTTCTGAAGTCGAATTCGTCGCTCAGTGCTTCGTGTTCGTCGGAAGCGTCATCTGATTCGTCGCACAGTGGTTCTTCCTCGACTGGGAGGATAAGCCGACGGAGTGTGCCACCTATTCTGAGAAAGCAACGCCCTTCAAACACCAAAAAGATTGTTACTGATACTAACATTGTCTCGGCAGCTGCTTCGCTGGTCAAGAAAAGGTGCGCTTGGGTGACTTCGAATGCTGGTAGGCTTTTGTTTCTTTTGCTCAATCTAATTGTATTTGCTATTTGTGATGAACCTTCAAGTATAGTAGCTATTCTCTGTTTGCCTGTATATGATCTATATGTGATTATGGTAATTGGCGACCATGAAAACATTGATGCATAAAAGGGAGGTTATAGTGAAGTTATATAAACCCAAATTCACGATTAGTTACTGTGACAACTCTAACTTGTCATTTTTCGTTGTTAACATTAGTCTGATGATTACAGTTTACAAGATAAATGCTGCCAACAATATCTGAAGGGTGTCGCGCATTGTTCTGTAGTGAGAGTTAGCATATATTAGTAATGATTCTATTTGGGGCTTGAACATCAAATTAGTCTTAGTTTTTCACTGAAACGATCTTGGGGCAACTAAAATTTCAAGTGTTTCACGTGATGACTAGGAAATATATGTAGGCCAGGTCCTTGAAGTTGTTCATCCATCCTTTCCTATTAGTTCACTATTCATACTCCACTTTTAGCAACATCAAAGTTTATATATATATATATATATCTGAGGTTATGAGTCTCCCAGTTTCTTACTTGATATTGAACTTTTCAGAATTTTCTCTTGGGGTAAGAGATCACAACTCTTAAAATCCACATTGTGGTTTCTAAACACTATCTAGATTACCATTGCCATGAAATGGACCATATGTTACATATATGCTTTTCATAATATTGGAATGTTTCATTTGTTCTTAGTTTATATTACTTAGGTCTTCCTTAATCTATATCTCCCAACTGAGTAAAAGTCCCAGTAGGTTTCTAATTGCTCAGTGCAAGTTAGGCAAGGAATGAAATGCCTAATTTAGCTAAATTTAACTCAATGGCAAAGGTTTTCGATTATGTGGGTTTAGTTTCACAAATTCCTTTTCAAATTTCATCATTTGACAATTTCTAATATTGAAGTTGAATCATAGATGTCTTTTCACATGGCTCATGTACCTTTTGCATCTCTTTTGTTTGTAGCAATTTCATATAGAATTAGATTAATTCTCGTTATTGGTAAGCTCATTAGTTTTTTTTTTACATAATAAACCATCGTGGTCAACTTTTGGTTTTCTTAACCCCTTGTGGTTATGCTAAGAAGCACGGACACGGATATGGGACACGGATACGACACGACACGGACACGGCAAATCCAAAAAAATTAGGACACGGACACGGCGAATAGTATATATATATATATATATATATATATATATCAGCATTAATAATTTTTAAAAAAAAACACTGATATGTTTAGGTTGGAATATATATATATATATCACTGATATGTTAGTATATATATATATCAGCATCTTTAGGACACGGACATGGCGAATTGTGGCATCTTTAGGTTAGTATATATATATATCAGCATCTTTAGGGTAGTACAAAACAAAAAATAGAACATATCAGCATTAAAAAAAAAAAATTTTAAAAAAAATTAACATATCAGCATTAAAAATTTTCAAAAAAAAAAAAAAGAAAAAAAAAATTCCAGAAAAGTGTGTCCGAGCCGTGTCTGAGCCGTGTCCGAGCTGTTTGAGCCGTGTCCGAGCCGTGTCCAAAAATTAAAAAAAATAAAAAAATTCCAGACACGTTTTTTGGCGTGTCCGACACGTGTCGGGGCGTGTCTGACGCGTGTCCGTGTCCGACACTTGTCGGACATGGATTCTTCGCCCATTTTGGAGTGTCCGTGCTTCCTAGTGGTTATGCCATTCTTCAATCTCAACTTTATTACTCAGTATTTATGCATCTGCTAAGAATAAAATGCATCCTTGAATCGAAAATGTGCACATCGATAATCCTATCCACCATTATAACAAGGAAAAACAGTTGAAATGAATCAGATCTTAATAGCCTAATAAGGAGTCTTCTTTGTGTACAAAAGTTATAAACATAGAAAGTATGGTCATTAAGTTCGTTGGCTTGCAAAAAGAGAATTTTTTTATTAATTTAGTTGGCCTATAGAAGATATATATATATATATATATATATATATATATATATATATATATATATATATATATATATATTATTGAAAGTAAGTTCAACGCACTCTTACTTGGAATTAGTAATACTAATTATCACAATGATAGCAAAAAAAGCCAGAAACTTAAATTTCTTAATTGTTTTCTAGATTCTTTTACCTTTATAACTATCCTGTTTTGGAAACCTTTGGAAGAGAGGCTAATCGGTTTGAGATGGCCCATCATGATGCAATCGGTAAAATAAAGCTAAAAAATTATCAATCAAGATAACATAGATCAAATGCTTCAATACACTTCTCGAAACTTGGATGATAACTTATTGGCCAATTGGGTAGCTAGGATTGCTTATTAGTGGCATGAAGAGCCTATGATAGACTTGGGAACATAGTTAAAATAGTGCCCCTAAAGGGGCCTTATTGCAAAGAAGAGAATTTGAATCTCATCAGTTATGTGGGATTCATGATTCACGGTTGCATTATTGATCCATTGACTTGAAAGTTAGAGATGTAATTTGGTCACACGATGCGTAAAGATACACTGCATGCAACACCTAGAAAAATCTAAAGAAATTATAAAATTAAAAAATTGAAAGGACAAAATAGATGTAGAAAATAAACAAAATCTAACATCAATAATACATTCAGCATTGTCTAAAAAATCAGTACAGGCATTACCATATTATATATTATAATATTTGACAACAAGCATATTATATGTCTAGTTAAGGGTTTTACTTGCTTCATTTCTTAGTCATGTCATAGATTTACAAACATCTCACATTTTATTATTTTATTACTATTTAAAAAAATTACTAATGAATTTAAAATATGCATGGAAACTCATAAATCTAAGATGTAACATTTAGTTCTTTAATAAATTTAAAATATATATGATCATATCTATTAAACATTTAATTTGAAAATTAGTTTTAAACTTATCTTATTTTTTGTATTAAAGAAATCCTACCACTCAAATATCCAACCTTGATGTACTTGATGACCAGGAGGAGTGTCCACTTTAGTGGTTTGCTAAGAAGTACGGACACGGATATGGGACACGGATACGACACGACACGGACACGGCGACACGGCAAATCCAAAAAAATTAGGACACGGACACGGCGAATAGTATATATATATATATATATATATATATATATATATATATATATATCAGCATTAATAATTTTTTTAAAAAAACACTGATATGTTTAGGTTGGAATATATATATATATCACTGATATGTTAGTATATATATATATCAGCATCTTTAGGACACGGACACGGCGAATTGTGGCATCTTTAGGTTAGTATATATATATATCAGCATCTTTAGGGTAGTACAAAACAAAAAATAGAACATATCAGCATTAAAAAAAAAAAATATTAAAAAAAATTAACATATAAGCATTAAAAATTTAAAAAAAAAAAAAAAATTCCAGAAAAGTGTGTCCGAGCCGTGTCTGAGCCGTGTCCGAGCTGTCTGAGCCGTGTCCGAGCTGTCTGAGCCGTGTCGTGCCGTGTCCAAAAATGAAAAAAAATAAAAAAATTTCAGACACATTTTTTGGCGTGTCCGACACGTGTCGGACACGGATTCTTCGCCCATTTTGGAGTGTCCGTGCTTCCTAGGTGGTTGGAGATGAAAGTGAAGGAGGAGACAGAATTGAGACCGTGAGAAATTGTATATGGGTATTGGGAGGCAAGAGAGTGAATACAATTAAGAGAGATTGGGTTAATATCGTTGTGCAATTGCAGTGAGTGGTTGCCATTGCAAAAAGCATTGTGTTCTGCAAAAGAAAGATGACTCAATCTCACACTACATTGTGGTGATACTGAGATGGGTAGGGCAACTATCATGTGAGATGACAATGTATAGGCATTAATTGCAACTCATGGCATGATATTATATTGAGACAGCATGGCGTCGTCTCACCTAAATATTTTATTGGGTCCCATAACCAGATTTGAAGCTAGTGAAACAAAGGTGACTTGGGCGAGTTAGCTCGGTGTAGGCAATACTTTGAACCTTGATGCAAGTGATAGCCCATCAGTATAACGTGAGACCTTGAAGTGAGTCATATCCCATAACTATAATGAGATTTCTTTTGGGGGTTGTAGATAAGTTCAAATATCATTTACTGGAGTATGATATTGTTTACTCGTTTGATTTGTGTTGAGAGAATATCATAGGAGTGATTTTAGCCTATGATAGAATATTGATTGGAGTGATTATTAGATTGATTTTAGGAATACTCCATCAATGTATTTTCCATATTTATCACTTGTATTCTTTCACCTATAAATATTAAATAGAGGTGTTCATTGTAAACAAAAATCAAGAGAGTATAATAAAGATATGTGGCCCTTGGGGCTTTGTGTTCTGTGGATGTAATCCCTAGTTGCTAGACCACATATCCTTTTGTTCTTCATTTTCTATTACTTTCTTCAATTTTAACAATTTGGATTAAGGAAGAGGGTGAATCAAAGCATAAGATTAATGATTTCAGTCAGATGTTGCTTGAGATGTAGTTTTGAAGATTCTTTTGAGCATGGAGAGTGGTGACTGCCAAATATGGTAAACTACAAGAGGGATAGACTACTTGGAAGTTATACATCTTATGTTGTGGTGTGGACATGCGTTAGCAGGGGATGGGGAGAGTTTCTAAATGCATAAAAAATTCTTAGTTGGGGATGGAGGGAGGTTAATACTTTGACATGACTAATGGTGGGAGGGCCTTGAAAGCAGGTAGGTTCAAGGTGAAATCTTTTTATAATCAGTTGATGGTCTTTTTGAGTATGTATTTCGTTGAAAAGATGTCTAGAAAGTTAAGATTTCTTTTAAGTGGTAGTCGTCTGTTGGACAATAGTTTAAACTATGACTTGTATGAAGCAACCTCTCTCAGTAGGAGCATGTGTTGAATTTCTGCGGAAATATATATCTGCCTGCTTCTCATCTTCTCATCACGAAACGGGTGTGGGAAAGCTCTAACAATAATATCTTTTAAGGCGTGGTGATTAGTTGATGATTACTTTATGCTTCTATATATATATATTTTTTTGATAAGTACTTTATACTTCTATATTGATATATGGTATGATGAGAAAGACGAGAACAAGGAAAGAGAAGAAAGAAGATAGCATATGGAGGGAATTGCGCTTCCCAAATATTAGAGAATAGGGGGATATAGGTGGAGTGAGATAAGAAAGAGGAGACACAGAGGGCTGTGGTAAGACAGAAAGAGATCAGGCTTAAGTATCCAATATTTGTTAACGTCTCTAAAGTATCCCTTGTTTTACCCATAAGATGCCTAATTATAGGCCTTACAGAACTCTAATAACACATAAAAACTTCCTAAAAGTACATCTTACCCAATACGAATGACATATAGTCAGATATTGTTCCAGGAAAGTCCAGCTATATGAACTTATAATTGTTCCATGTAAAACAAATACTGCATATATCAATTGACATGCCTTCTTCTCATGATTCTCTCATCAATTCTGATGCATTAGCAATATGGTAATTTCCTTAATTTTGAGGAGGGAAAGGGTTGGAGAGGGTTGTGATTTTTTATTTTTTTAATTGCCTGAATGTCTTTAACACTCAAGTCTTGATCTTCATCTTCTTCTCTCTTCCGTAACAGGAACTGCTTGCCTAGCTCATTAGTCATCCTACGCATAGTAGATTAGGATTTTTGAAATTCTTTTATCTAGGACATATTCTTTATATTGGTATAAGAATTTGCATGAATATACTGATTCTGGCATCTTATAATTGAGTCTGTTCTTCACTTAGCGGGAGGACACCTCCTCACTTTGTAATGTTCGTTTACAGTTTTCTTGCAGGTATATGTTCTTTATAAAATATTATGAAATAACTTCTAATAGTTCCATCTGCTGATTGGTTTTCATTTGGTGAAGATCTGTGTTATGCTGATTTTCATGACAAAGAATGGGGAACTCCCGTTCATGATGACAAGTATGTAACCCTACTATTCATAAAATATTTTGTTTTTATTTCCAATTACAGTATGGAACTTCATTGAATGGCATATTGCCTCTGATTGTCATCAACAACTTGCAGGAAACTGTTTGAATTGCTCATCTTATCCACTGCCTTGGCTGAACTTACATGGCCTGCCATTCTCAACAAAAGGCATATGTTTAGGTGTGGTTTCATCCTAGTGCTTGCCACAATCTTTCACGGTCAAAATATATGTGAATGGACCAAATGGTTATTCTTATTTTATGGGTTTTAATTAGGCTGATTTTGAATGACATGTATTCCTACACAGGGAAGTCTTTCTAGATTATGATCCAATTGCTGTCTCAAAATTAAATGAGAAGAAGATAGCGACACCAGGAAGCCCTTCCAGCTCTCTACTATCAGAGCTAAAGCTGCGGGCCATCATTGAAAATGCACGCCAAATGTGTAAGGTAGGTGCAAATTTTTCATTTCCATTTGTCAACCAAATTATTCCTATGCAGAACTAAAATCTTCCTTGCTAAGATTTGTGAACCATTATTTATTCATTTGGTGAGGATAGCTCTAGACTAGAATGTAGTAATGGTGGTATTAGCTTATCATTCCAGGGCTGCTTTAAATGCAGATGGTTCTAGGTTCTAATTTCTCGAGTTAAAAACTGTGGGTGTTAAAAGTTCAGTTTTGGAGTGAATGAGTGATGGAGTATCACACACATAGGATGACTGATTTAACAGATTGGGTTAGATTGACACTGAGGAGAATCAGGAGAATCCTGAGGTCGCCTTTGTCCTTGTTCTCTTCTGGTGGTGTTCTAAAAGTTCTTTGTTGTGAAGTCATTTCTTATAGGAGTACAATAATGTAGTGGAGTGGTGGTGGTAGCAAGTCCACATGCCAAAGCAGTTTGACTAAATGGAGCACACAGAGGGCAACCTATGGCGAATATGTCTCAGGTAACATGTGACATCTGTCTCTTAGATGGAACAAGGTTGTAAACTGTATAGAAGCATACCTCATTGAGCCCTCAGTTTGAGCCACCAAGCTACAAAACCCTTGGATTCTGAATGGACCTTGGCATAAATGTGGAAGTTACACCGCAGCATTTAACTAAGCTTGCAGAGGTCCCTGGCTCCTGCTTTCATCCCAGCATGCAAAAAATAAAACCTAGGGTGCATGCACCAGGTGGCTTGTGAGGCAAGATGATGTAGAGCGAGGTGGTAAGGTTCATGAGTGTGAGAGATTGAGCAGTCAAGAGATGGTTCAGCCATTAGTGAGCTCTAATTCTTTTAAATCCAGCTCTTGTCCCCTGTATTGTGATTCAAAGTTGAGGCATTGAGTGCACTGAATAAGGAACCAACATGAGATACTTGGCATGGTGAAATGTTGACTAGTGGTTCTAAGTCCCACACATCTATGACAGAAATGTTGACTTGTTGGCCAGAGGATGGATAATCAAGACATTTGGAGGGTGATGCATGAGGAGGTGAAAATATGTCATGTAGGGGTGTAGGCCATAGGAGTGATAACGCATGGTATGGTGTTGGTGCTTCTTAGGCCATAAGAATTGCTATCTGCACATGTATCCACAAAAATAAACTGAGTGGATGGTCGCAACATCTGATAGGATGACTTGGGCTTACCGCCTGGCATACATTCCAGTGTAAGCACAAGTGAATAAAGATGATTCAGTTCCCATTTAAAATATGAGTTGAGGATCAATTCTCTGCTTAAAATTTTCATTTGATGTGTAGTCACAGTATAATATAACAAGATTGGACAAGTTGGAATTACAGTAAACAGTTTGATTTATTTTGAATTGTGCATACAGTCTCGATATATTCTTAATTCTGTTTGTGGCTTGCCAATAATATGCAGATAATAGATGAGTTCGGGTCTTTTGACAAGTATATTTGGGGCTTCGTAAACCATAAGCCTATAGTCAGTCAATTCCGGCATCCCCACCAGGTTCCAATTAAGACATCAAAAGCAGATGCGATAAGTAAAGACCTTGTGAGAAGAGGGTTCCGAGGCGTTGGACCTACAGTCATCCACTCGTTCATGCAGGTGGCTGGAATAACAATTGACCATCTCATTAGTTGCTTTAGGTTCCAGGAGTGTGTGGCTGCAGCAGACGCAAGGTATATAAAGAAGGCACCCAAGGCTAAGGTTGAAGAGAAACAACCCGAGGCTACAAGTGACTTGGAACTTGCAAGCGTAAATTATTTGGGTTTATCCAAGGAGTAACTAATAAGGACATAATTGATGGGCTGTAATTGACACCTTGAAAGGGTGGTCAGTCATTCCGTGTTCATGAGAAGGTAGTTTGTGTACAAATGACTGAATTAATTTGTAGTATTGTTTTGTAAATAAAGAAAAATAGGTACATAAGTATTGTTTCTAAGTCTTTGAGATGTGGATGTTTGGTCTTTTTTGTACAGTGAGAGGTGACTTAAGTACATAAAACAATTTTATTTATTTATTAGGCATTTAAAAAATTTAATAATCATAAAGCAGGATCTCTCTTACCACCATGAACTTGTGGACTAGTGTTTCACAACTTATAAACCTTCTTGTGGTACTTTATGAACGTGCGTAGCACCTTTCTAGAAGGTGACTCTCAAGTGGTGTTTTATTCTTTTGAGAGCAAAAGCATAAAACAGGCCTAGAGATTGGCAAACAAGTACTTTCATTCTGGACGTGCATAGCATCTTTTCAGAAGGTGACCATTAATCAATCTTGTTCTAATGGATGGTTTCTAAATGTGTTTTTATGCTTTAGATAGCAAAAGGCAGGCTTGATGTCTGATAGTCCCATTCAGGGTAAAAAAAAAAAAAAAAAAAAAAGGAGGTTGTGATAGTCATAGCCGTTGGAGAACAAGGGATGTCGTAGACTTGTTTTGAAAATTATGAACACCAAAGAGATATCTATTACTTTTGTAAATGCATTTTAAAAAAAAATCATGAATGCCAAATGGGTGGAAAAAAAGTCAATATCCTCACAACGCGAGGAATTGAGGTAGGTGAGGGTTTGGTTATCCAAAGTTTAATGTCACAATCGTGAACACTGAAGGGGTGAAAAGTAAATAATATTCTCACAACGTGAGGTGAGTCAGTTCATCCAAAGCTTAATGTCACAACCAAATGGGTTAGGTCACCCAAAGCTTAATGTTACAATTGTGAACACCGTAAGGATAAAGTGGACAACATCCTCACAACGTGAGGTGGGTCGGCTCATACAAAGCTTAATGTCACGACCGTGCAAGCTAAAAGGGTGGAAGGCAGACAATATTCTTACAACACCAAATGAATGAAAGGCAGACAATATCCTCACAACGTGACGTGAGTTAGCTTACAATACCAAAAGGATGGAAGGTGATAATAATCAATACTCACAAAATGAGGTGAGTCAGGCCATCCAAAGCTTAATGTCACGTGCCTAGAGTTTCATATATATTTATACATGATACATGGAGCCTTAGTGACCACCTGATCTTGAAGTGGAGATTGATGCTAAATGCAAACTTAGTCAAACCATGATGATTTAACCATGGATGGCTCCAAAGGGTGTTTTGGCTTTGGGAAGCATGATGATTTAACCATGGACGGCTGCCGAGAGTGTTTTGGTTTTGGGTTCATCCTTATAAGATAAATGAGTTTATGTCTACATCAATGACATGAAAAAATCCTAGTCCTTTTCTTAGAAAAAATATCTTCACTTTCCTAAAGTCTCCAATTCTCTAATATTGATGTGGTGGAGGAGCATGGTTTTGAAGCTTATGATAAACCTTATATGTATCTTTTTATTTGAAGAAAAGTTACATGCATTTAGAGGTGTATAGTTTCATTAGTGAACTCTATAATTATCAATTGACCAATGGATATTTTTTAAAGAGAGATTAGGAGTTTAAGTCTAAGAAGAAACATGTGTGTGTGAGTACCAATTAAGAAAAAAATATATATAATTATCAATTGCCGGACAATTTTATGCATGTACACAATTTAACCACAAAAAGTAACATAAATACACACATACAAACATTTATATACTGGGAGGAAAGTAATTTATGGGAAGAAAAATATCATGTCGAACATGTTCCACATGAGTCATAATTCATATGAATAATTGACATAGAAAGTGGGAAATTTGGGGTGAATATATGTCTTGCAAGGCTTCAACCAAGGCACACTAGGTTGTATTACAAAATTTCAACCCAAGGATATGCCTATTGGTTGTATTGAGCTTTTGCTGAGTCTGATTCAACCATCCAAGTTGCAACCTCAAATAAAGCTATCCATTCATTTGAGAAAATTCAAACTACGTGTCCCAATAGTTTGCTTCTTCTCCTATGTGGTATTTACATCAATTTGTGGACTCCAAATCTTTCTAGAAGTCAAACTACAATACATGGTAATCAACTCCCCGTGTTGCTTTTCACCATTTCTCTGTCTGATTATGTTGAAGAATTTTTCCGGAAATGGCGGCCACGAGTGCTGCTTTGAAACTTGGATCTTTCGATAAGGAAGAAGCCATTTGTTCTGCCAAGAACCGTTGAAATTCCGGTGAATCCACTCTCTGGCTTGTGTTTTTAGCCTCACTGTTAGGTTTAGGCTTTGTTAGGTCAAGAGTAATGGTAGGTCCAGATGAGTTGAGTGAAGCTGAGCAGGGGACTGAACCAAGTGTCATGCAATGGTTAGAACCCGATGTCGCCTCCATACTTGAAGGGTGTGGATGGTTGTGTTCACCTTCATATGTTGCAACCAGGATTGATTGATCTTCAACACTTCTTTGCACCTGAACAGAGAAAATATTGCATAAACAGCTTAGAATCCTATCCAATCTTTTTCCAAGCTCAACTTGCCTAAGAAAATTGAAACTACATATTGCAATTTTGGATGTCTTGTGGGGAAAACCATTTAATTTTTTTCGGGATTAGGAAGGCGAAAATCCATCCCCTTGAGAGTGGAATCATTGTAGAAGATGCATTGTTTTCTGGAAATGATTGAAAGAAAGTGATTTCAAGAATTGCTGAATTATTTGAAATCGAAAAGAAGTTTCAAAGGAACAACCTATTGATTTTTCAAGAGGGTCAAGTATAATAATCTTCATCAGCAAAATTAATCTTAAATTTTAGTCTTACCTTCTTTTTGACAGGGCAGCTAGGAGCAAAGGAGCATTTGAAGTAAGCTCTAGGAGAGGGGTTGTCTCTGGTGACCTTTTGCCCATATTTCCTCCATTGATATCCATCCTTCACTATCTGAAATTCATATATTGTTGCTCAACATTAGAAACAAAATCTTTGCCAAGTACGATACCAGGCCTCGAACCCTGTCCAGAGGGTAGAAGTACAAATAGACTCCAAACCCGAAGAGGCTTGCAAGGATTGGTAGTAATATCAGAAACAAATTCTTCTATGTATGAACCTTAAAATGAAGCCTTAATAATGAAAGGGTGTCAAGAAATCTCGAAGTCCAATAGGAGTGTAGACTTACAAGGCTTGTATCGGATGCTTCAGTTCGAACATAGTTCCTTGAAATTTTCGCCTTCACGTGTTCTTCCCTGGGCTTCTTGCATGAATCTTCATCACTTGAGCTACTCTCTGAGTTCCCAGTTGTTGTTCCATTGTTAATAGTATTGTCATTGTTGTTGTTTGTGGTGCCCTCGGCCTTTCTCTTCCTCGATACAGTTGGCTCATTCTTGCTCATATAATCCATCAATTGGCCTCGCAAAGCATTGTAGTTCTCACACATCACAGTTAACATTTCAGTTAGCTTCTTGTTTTCTGCGCTCACCCGATTCAATTCCTCCACTAATGCACCTGCCTGAACACCAAAATAAAGGAACACAACTTTAATCATTCTTGATCAAGACTTATATTTATATAGTATCAAAGAACAAGTTTGCATATATGGTTATAGGGTGAGCATTATGGTTGGTCCATTCTGACCTAGAGGTTATGGGTTCGTAAATGAGAAGAGTCTCTCTATATAGAGATAAGACTGTCTACATCTGACCCTCCTCAAACTCTACAACGACGGTCTAGCCCAAAGGGTCATCACCGAGTGTGGTCTTTGTTAATCGAGAGAGAGAGAGAGAGCTAGGAGGGAAAGACTAGGTATAGATATAGATATGTACACACATGTATAAGTATAGAAATAAGTGGTGTTGTATAAACTCACCTCTTTTTTTACTGAGAGCCCCCTCCCCAACTCAATAGAATTGCTTTGCAGCTCCATATTCTGAGAGCAAGAAGTATAACAAAGATTTCAAAATTTAGCAACTCATCATCAAAGTGTGCATCACAAGAACATTTGGGCATGACCCAAACATAAATAAATAAATAAATCATGAATCTTCGCATACCGGAGCTTCGTCGAGAAATCTCAAAGGATTGATATTGAGATCCAGTGAAGTATCAATCAGATTTTTGTATTCCATAGCAGCTGAAAACTTGAAACCGGAGTAGAAAAAATCCAACTAATCTTTTTCAACACAGATGCTCTTGAACTGGCCAAGTGAATTGTTATCCAGAAGCAGCTAATGAAGTGCAATATATATAGAGATAGTCCTTGAAGCTATCTATATCTTCAACTTGTAGGAAGAAGGAAGGAAGGAGACTTTTTAGACAGAGGAGAGAGAAAGTGTGTATTTATTATAGGCTGAATGGAAGGTGGGCGGTTTTTGAAAAATTAACGTGTGAGATTTCGGTTGTTTTTTGAAGTTCTTCCTAGCAGTCAAAGTCAAGCCCACCCTAGAAAAAGAAGAATGGAAACATGTATCTGTCACATATACATATACATATATATATATATATATATATATATATTAAGCATATGTGGATATTTAATTGAACAGAAGTCTTAAATTGACCCGATTCTCTCTCTCTAGCTGTATCTTAATGTCTTATTGGTGGACTACTTTTTTCAAGTGGGGGTGTGGGGGATTGCTTTCTTGTCACGTTTTGCATCATTTTCCACGTTACGTAAAGTTTTATACTATTTATTTTTACTGTGTGATCTTATTAAGTGCTTATGTTATAGTCTTATAGCTGTTTCTTTGTTTTTTATTTTCAACAATCTTATAGCTGTCTTATACGGTCTTCTTGTACATACATACATATGTATATATATATATAACAGGAGACAATACATGGTTATTGACTTATTGATTATTATATATATCTAAAATGGCTAATGTTTTTAAAATATAATTCAAACATGTTTGAATTTTTAAATGTGTTGATGAATTTGTGGTTGTCCAAACTAAGAAGGATGAATTGTTCCATTCGAATTTGTCCTCTATTTGATTAGTGCACATTATGTCACTTGTATGGCGTCAAAGGTGAATGAATGTTCAAATTACAGAAGTTGATAAAATAAAATATTTTAGGGCAAGAGAAGCCGTCAGTGTAGGTTCTTGCTAGTGAAGCTGCTATCTATTTTTGTTTGTTGCAGCAAGTAACAAGCAAAAACTTTAGCACAAGTCACCATGTACCACTCATTATGTAGATGGACTATTTGAAGGACATTATCATTGTATCGATTGACTATACATTAAAGGACATGAGCTCAACTTGTGGTTTGATAACACTTTCCAGAATTGTAAGTATAAAGCGTTTAGGGTGCGTTTGGATACACAAGAGATAAAAGAAATGATACTATTAATTAAGAGAGATAAAAAAATGATAGTATTAATTTTTATTCATATTTGGATAGATAGGAGATGAAAGAAAAGAAAGAATAGTCATTATCGTTTGTATAAGATAGAGGAGAGAAAAATAATAATAATAATAATAATAATAATAACCAAATTACTATCATACCCTTTTATATAATAAGAAATGATTTGGTATTATCAAAATACCACTAAACCACTATACTTTCTCTCCCTATCTTCTCAATTTTAGAGCAAAATTGAGAAGATAGCTATCCCTCCTTATTTTTCTCTATCCTCTCTTTTCTCTCCATTTAATTCACTCAAACACAATGGACCCTATCATTTCTTTTCTTTTCTCACCTATCTATCCAAACATGAATAAAAATTCAAAGTTTGCGTTTGCGTTTGGATGTTTGAAAAAAAAATGATAGTATTAGTTAAGAGAAAAATGAAAAGAAATAATAGTATTAATTTCTATTCATATTTGAATAGATAGGAGATAAAAGAAAAGAAAGGACAATCATTCTTGTTTGGATTAGATAGAGGAGAAAAAAAAAATATATGATAATAATCAAATTACTATCCTACCCTTTTATATAATTAGGACTTAAATAGAATGACAAATCTATATATTTATTTGTGGAGGCTAATTTTGGTATTATTAAAATACCACTAAATCATTATGTTTTCTCTCCCTATCTTTTCAATTTTGGAGGGATAACAATTGAGGGATAGGGAGATATCCCTTCCTATTTCTTCCTATTATCTTTTTTCTCTCCATTTAACTCACGCAAACACAATTGACCCCTATCCTTTCTTTTCTTTTCTTTTCCCTCCCTATCCCTCCAAATCATTCCATCCAAACACACTAGTGATAATAGATGTTACGGACACTTAAAATTTATCACATTTTAATACTTATTTTTTAAGTAATTTTTAAAATTATTTTATCAAGCAAACTTAGTTGAATAAGTATTAATGACCCAATTGGTAGGTTAGAAGGAAAAGGAGTAAAAAAAAGATAACCAGGAAAGAACAAGTTTCATTCGTTTGGTAGATAAGGAGGAGACAATGAAGGAAAAAGATGATGCATAAGTCATTCTTCTTTGATTTTCAAATTTTTATTCCCCCAAAAATGGACCCAAAAGAAGGTTATAATTTTTTAACAGTATAATACTATCGTTTATATTAGTCATCTCCCTCTTATTTTTTAACAAACAAAGTAAGTGTTATCTCATTCCATTCTCTTCCATTCAACCAAATATAAAAAAAATGAATGACATTGTCCCTTCCCTAGTAACGTGTCTCACACATCTATTCTTCTCTCACTTTCATTGAATTTTCTTCTTCATACCAAATGATGAATTGTGCTATAAAAAAAACACATAATATTTTTATATACACATAATATGGTACTTTTTCTACCTTTCAACATGAGATGTGGGGGGTTTAAGTCTCCGAGAAACGAGTGTGTGATTTATTTGCCAAAGAAAAAAAAAAAAAAAAAAAAAAATTTCTTGTATGAGCTTTGCTCTAAAAGCCTCGGTTCCAGGCCTATGATCATTCATTTTCGTTCAAATCAACGTTGTTCCCCTATTCGACCAATCAATAGACATTTTTCAATATTTAAATATTTAAAGTAACTATTATGAAATAAGAATTTTTATTTATGCTTCATGGATAGGAAAGAAAAATATATATATATTAAAAGTAAAGAAATTATGGATGAAACATTTCTAGAGAAGAAATGAATTGATTGATTTTTTAACATTCTTTATTTTATTTATTTTATTATATTATTATCTATTTTTTGTTAACAAAAAATCAACCCATTCGGCAACTTTTTGAACTCTCGGGCTTGGTCTGCAAACCGGTGCATTATTAAAGTTGAAATCCGACCTTTAATGAGACTTAAAACGAAGATTTTTAAAAAATATATATATATATATATATCCTCAAAGATCTTATCAATTAAGTTAGCTCAAAGTTTTTTGTTGGTGAGCCTAAAGTGAGTATAGAGTGTCCGTGCACATGACATACCACACATTTTTGGAATCTTTGGATATTATCCTCACAACGTGAGAAGGAATGTACATGTACGATAACAAAAAAAATGTGTCTACCGAATAATAAAAGTACGTATGTCCCAAAAGACTAAACAGAGAAACCCTTGAAATAAAACTTTGAAATTTGGTCTGTTAGAAAAGAGAAGTAATCAACTGGGAATTAAAATGCATTGAACTGGATTAGTCCGTGTCAAAGTTGGCCGCCTGAGACTGTGATGTGTGTGAGATAGAGAAATTTGTTGAGCTCAAGTAAATCCTCATCATATTCATAATATTCTATATGGATCCACCGTCACTATGAATCATTTTTATTGGAGTCAATTACTATATTTTTATATAAAAGGTGTCCTCGTGTGACGTAGTCCTGTACGAGCCAATGGGTTTTGAAAGATCTGGATTTATAGGTACAATTTAAAATTTGACTTTTGAAAATTTAGAGGACTTCCTTCCACATGAAAATTATTGAATTTTATTTACTTATTTATAAAGTAAAGTGTTTCCACTAGTTAAAACCTTTCCCTTATTTTTCTGTTGCCACGTGGATATATTGGACGCTTCTTTGTCGACCTATTCTATTTCTATGTTGACTCTTGTCTAGAAAACACAGCACCTCCTTGGATAATATTAGTTTAGTTTCACATTCATATTATGCCTAGATACACATAAAATTAATTAGATTCATCACAACATAGAATTCAATTTGAGTTTGATATACAAGGACAACTCACTAAAAATCAAAATGTATTTATAAAAAAAATATTTAAAATATCCGTACATGAAATAAAATGTATGCATATTTGATTTATGTTGCTGCTTTGTGGATTCCGATCATCACTTTTCATTGTAAATACTCATCATTGATAGTGATATTTCACTTTCCATCCAGATCTGGTGGGCTCATTCGGACGCATTTGGACCAGGCGCTTGACTTAATATTGAATGAATGAATGATTGAGCCTAGTTTTGATGTCAACTGTAATAAGTGGAGGTTTATTCATTTATTCAAAAACTTAAACTATTGAATAGTACTGCATACTCACTCATTTCATTTTCCATCCAAATTCGATATGGGATAAGTACTCCTTATAACAATAAACGATTATTTATGAAAGTTTGTGAAATGATGTATCAGTTAGAATTTAATTTGAGTTCGATATGCAAGGACAACTCACTAAAAACCAAAATGATGTATGAGTTAGAAGAGAGAGAGTTATTTGGCTTAGCAAAAAAAAAGACAAATAACTTTTAGAAAAATTGCTTATAAAGTATGCATTATATTTAACATAGAAAAAGATACAAAAATAGATTACACATATATACTCCTTTCAATTCATATGAAATAAAGACAAAAATTGAGGAATATCTTGTTGGTATTAGCTCCATTCCTCTCCCCCACAATTAACATTTTACTCAAGATACTTACGATGTTATCATAATCATAACTTAGAAAATAAAAAATAAAATTCTTTGACTATGAAAATAAGAATTAAATAAATCTTTACCATGCCTAATGTTTGAGAATTAAAAATGATAAAATCTTAGACAAAATCACCGTCATAAATTGGACGGTGCGGTAGCAATACGTCACAGTCTTGAGCTCATGACCTTCATCAACCAAATCAACTCTAAACCCAAAAAAAACAATGAAAGTCAAGACACCTAACCCGAAGACTTTACCATGGACCATTGACCATAATAGCCTCAATAGGTACACTTGCTGTACTAGTGGGACTGATTGTTAATGTTCACTGAACCTGTATGGTTTGTCTACGTGTGTCCACATTCATGTACCGGTTTAACCTTATGTCCATGTCCAATTAATTGAAGGACTGAGGAGAGAGAAATTTTGAAAATTAAGAAAGAAAAAAAACAAAATTTCATTGAATTCAAATGTCTGGGGTCTTGGATTCTAACCACATGGTTTGAGAAAACTTTGTTAAAATTCA